ATTAATTAGCTAGAAAATGTCGGCCACTTATTCCATTCCTTGAGTTGAAATAATGATATTATGAATCTTGCCCACTTTGCTATGCAGTATAGACGCAAAATAGAATTTTGGGCCCTTATAGCGGCCCCATTAGAACAACTGGTGTATCGATAAGGATTATATGGTTGTTATACACTGAAGGGAAAAACTGTACAGATCCTTTGCGATAGGGAAAGATGGGTGTAAAAAGATTGTAAAGGATGAAAAGCTATAGTTTGTGTTCTAGATGTAAAACAAATTACTTTTTTTAGGTAATACTTACTTATTAGGGAATATTGTTTACCTAACTTTCTTAACCTAACTGAACCTAACCTAACTTAATCTAACCAATTAAGCCTCGTTCACACGGGGCGAGTTTACAAGCTACACGCCAGCGTGTAAGAAGCCGGCGAGTTGGCGAGTGTGCTTGTATTCGTTCACACGGAGCTTGTCCACTCGCCAACTCGCAGACGTGTAGAAAGACGCCGGCGAGTCGGCGAGTGCGCTTGTAGTCGTTCACACGATGCTTTTTCCACTCGCTCAGTCGCTGGCTTGAACCAAATCCTCCAACATCTTTGAGTAACAAGCGCACAAACAAGCACAAGCAACTGTGTTCACACTGGGCTACTTTACACGCCTACTCGCTCAAGAGCTGGCGAGTTGGCGTGTAAAGTAGCGGCAGCGTCAACTTTTTCCAGAGCTTTAGCCCCGTTCACACGGGGCGAGTTTACAAGCTACACGCCGGCTTTTTTACACGCAGCTAGTAAAATAGCTCAGTGTGAACGACGTACTCGCTCAAAAGCTGCTTGTAAAAAAGCTCTGGAAAAAGTTGACGCTGCCGCTACTTTACACGCCAACTCGCCAGCTTTTGAGCGAGTAGGCGTGTAAAGTAGCCCAGTGTGAACACAGTTGCTTGTGCTTGTGCGCTTGTTACTCAAAGATGTTGGAGGATTTGGTACAAGCCAGCTACTGAGCGAGTGGAAAAAGCGTCGTGTGAACGACTACAAGCGCACTCGCCGACTCGCCGGCGTCTTTCTACACGTCTGCGAGTTGGCGAGTGGACAAGCTCCGTGTGAACGAATACAAGCACACTCGCCAACTCGCCGGCTTCTTACACGCTGGCGTGTAGCTTGTAAACTCGCCCCGTGTGAACGGGCCTTTTTTTACAAGCAGCTTTTGAGCGAGTACGTCGTTCACACTGAGCTATTTTACTAGCTGCGTGTAAAAAAGCGGGCGTGTAGCTTGTAAACTCGCCCCGTGTGAACGGGGCTTTATTTGACTAGCTGCGTGTAAAAAAGCGGGCGTGTAGCTTGTAAACTCGCCCCGTGTGAACGGGGCTTTAAAAAGAGGGCCACCCCTTGCGACTCCATTAACTAGATTTTTTATGACTACCGGTACAGATGATCCATATAGATGCGATGTCTCCTTCAGTCCAATACATTCAACGATTTAAGGTACCAATTAACATTGTTATCGTATTTGTGCTAGTGTGCAAGTTTGCTGTGACTGGGGTATTTGATTTACACACATGGCAACACTGGCGCAGGATACTTTCACTTAGGTCCTGCTGATATGTTATCAGCTGTCACTGCCTGGCATTGGCCTAGTTACCTACCCGAAAACCGGCTCACTCCTCTTATAATAGATAACTATACCATTGACTATGGATATCACTGGACATTCCATCCACATCTTAAAGTTGTAGCTAGTTAAAATAAAGATTTATATAGCTGAATTTAGTCACTGATCATGGAGTGTGTTGATTTAAATAACAAATTTCTGTACTGTAGAATAAGTAAAGCCAACTTTTTCACAAAGCCATACTGAAAGAACTTATAGAATCTAAGGGTTATCATTGACTATTGGATACTGGTAGACCCCATCTATATGGACCAGCGGTAGCCAATGTTTTGTTAAAAAAGAAGTTGTGTGAGCCAGACACAGAATGCTAGTGACTGTGTAGAGATATAAAGTCAATGCTAGTGGCTGAGTTATTATACATCAATGGTTGTATCATAGATTAAAGGAGCCCTTTAATCTGTGGTTGTATTAATAGTCCAAGGTTGTATCCAATAATCAATACCCCCCAGCAAACCTGCAGACTAAGCGAATTTCCATTAACCTGATTGGGTTTACACTAAAATGCCTCCATAAAAATAGCACATTTATTTCCTATTTAAATAGAATTAGTTTAACGAGTACTTAGGTTTGCTGCAACAGGGAGGGTAAAAATGATTGTTTTTTATAAAATGATAATAGTTTAGTAAGAAATAAAAGTATTTTCCAAAATCTATCAAAATATGTTCATAAACAAGCAAACTACAACAGTTGACTTATTCTCCATAAGAATAACATGGGAATTTTAAAATTACAATTTTTTTGAATTTTCTCTGTAACAATTAGGCGCATAATAACGCTTCAATATGCTAAATTATTTGTTTTTTTAAGCTCTACAAAATGGTTTAAAAAGAAATTGTGAAATTTTGTGTTTTTAGGGTCAAAAATGCAAAAAACCTATTTTTACCCCATAAAACCCCCCATAAACCCCCGTTCCCATAGTCCGATCATGCTGGTTCGCGAACTCATTCAAGTTTATCCCGCCTTACACCTTCAAACCAAATTTTATCAAAATCGGACAAAAATTACTCAAGTTATCGTGCAGATGGACACATATATATATATATATCTATATATAGATATATACAAATTTGAACGAATGGTGTTTTTGGCCTCTGGGGACATCAAAATGAAAAAGTAAATCGGTCCCAGGCTTAGGTCTTACCATGAGACCTACAGTAATAGCTACTTCCCTATAGGGAAATTCGCTAAAAAAGTATTACAAATTGAGGAAGAAAATAAAATGTCAGATGTAAGATTACTATGAGTGGGACATTCAACTAAGGTCTAGTAATTGAACAGAAATTGGCAACAGCTACAGCACATGGATAAAATGTCAAATGTCTACTACAGACTATTAAAGTCAATGGTTTTTAGGTACTGGAGTGCTCCACGGTCTTAAATTCCTACCTACCTCTTGTAAATGTTAATACTTATAGTTAGATATATTGTAATACATTTTATAGTCCACAATTAGTTGTCTATTCAATTTGGAATCGATTGGTTAAAATGTTTCCAAATTTTACATGAATTTGTGTCAACATTATCGATTTTAAACTAACTTCCCGATGGGCTAGAGACTTGAAACTCGAAACATATAGCTCATCACTAATGGGTGACAATGCAATATTACATAATTTTGTTTTAAAACGTTTTATTAGCTTGTTTTCTTGTCCGTTACAATTTTGCAATCAATTTTAAACCAACTTCTCGATAAGCTAGATACATGAAACTTGAACAACATAGCTCACAAGTGGATGACAATGCAATATTAAATCATTTCGGTACTTTCCTGTTAAAGGGAACATTCTTATTATCGATGTTTTTTTTCGATATATCGATATTTTTGTTTACCAATCCATTACATATTGACAACTGATCTTGTTTAGGCTAAAATAGTCTATTATATGGATTAAGAAATGAAACTAAGCTAACCTAACATAACCAACCAAACTTGCTGTACTATTTAAAAATCCCTTTTGATAACAGAAAAGGCAAGTTAAACATGGAATGTTACACAGCAAGTTTGGTTAGTTATGTTAGGTTGTTTTTTTTAGAACAGTTTCATTTATTTTATTGTTTGTTGATACTGAACAATATTTTTCCAGTTGTCAGCTGATATATTTCAATTTGTTAATATCGATATATCGAGAAAAAAACCATCGATAATAATTAATGTTCCCTTTAACAGGAAAGTACCATTATTTCATTTTCATATTTCCCTTGGGCTACATCCTATGGGCTTCCAAATTTTCTATGTTTACATTTTGGAAGAATGTAAATATATCAAATGTGAGATCAGAGAGTGTGACAGCGATTAATATTATTAGGGTCGTCGGCATGTTTAAACATGAAAGCTGCACTTATTTCAATGTTAACCAATGGCTTGAATTCCCGGTGTTAAATGTGTATCCTTTGTAGGCTAAATTTTTCAACATGTGAATTGCTCATTTGTTACAGTAACAAAAGATCAATAATTTTCAATAATTATTTTGGCAAAATAGTTTTAAAGTTGACATGATATGTTGACATAAAAACACAGTATCTACCAAACAGAAGCATAACACAAATTTGTCTTTAGCTAATCCATAAGTATACAACCAATATACATTGGCTACTTTGTTTAAATTGGTAAAAAATTCAAAATGTTCTTTCAAGACTTGAGATTGATCAATGCAACCAATCTGCCCACTATCCTATCCCTGTGTGAGAAACAAAACATGACAACATGATGCCTGTGAGAACTGAAGACTCTTACTTAAAATCAACTGAACTCATCACTGACTTGGCTGATAACAAGATCCTCACATGAATTTAAAGTATGCATGCTCATTGCTCAGGAACTGAAATGTATGACTACCTCAAAAACTGTCCCTGTATGTTTCCCCAAGAAGTTGTCATAAATTTATAATTTCTGCTCATTTCCATACCCCACGACATAGGTGGTAATTTTATTGATTATTACTTATCAGCTTTTGTTAATATTTCTGCTATGTATTGCAAAGCAAATCCTTAATAGCACGAAAGCAAGATCCTTAACACGACGAATACATTTCTGATAAGCTAAGTTTTTATTTTTTAAATGGTTATCTTCAGGGGCACAAAATTTAACTTTTAAATAATAATTTAATAATTTGTCACCATAACCCTAGGTTTCTTTGTCTAATGTTTAGAAACAAGATAGGCCTACAAATAATATACAAATCTAATTAACTTTGGTACATGTACACATTTTGTTATTCACGATTTTTTGGTCCTTTTTTATAGGTGGTTTAATGGTCCCACAACACTTTACAATTATTAGTCGAGAATGCATTTTGTAAGAACAGGGTAAGGATTTAGATGTGATTTTAGCTCAAAAATTATTTTATTATCTTTGACTAAAAATACTCTTTAAACAAAAAATTACACATACACATAGATGAAATTATCCAATAAATATGGTAAAGTCTAGACTTCTTCACAGCTTTTCTTAGAATTAGAAATAGAGTACAAGCATTGCATGGAAAATTCAACATATATACACTAAAATATATACTGTGTAAAAATAAAAACAAAAACTCCATTTTGTTCTCAAATATTCTTATAAATTCAATAAAACTAAAGTAATGAAACATTATTTCAAATAACTAACAATTTTAATAGCTGTAAAATTTAACTGTTCCTACTATAATATGGATGGATTATTTTTCACCGCAAACCAGAATTGAATATTACTTTAAAATATTATATAAAAATAATAGTAATAAATAGTATGATTACTTTCTATAATTCTAGGGTCATGACAATCGGGCAAGATTACTGAACATTTTTATACTTTTTTATGTTTGAAAATAATTTAGAATTTGCTTTGAGTATCTTTTCAGTTGACTCACACAGATCAGTCCAGTCGTTCCTGCTAGGAAACTGCACCGGATGAGTGTATATATAGTACTAAAGGATATCCATTAAAAAATAAATGTTTGACTGTGTTTGTGAATTGACTTTGATGGAAAAATCCTGACGTCAGAATTATTGGAGGTTTTATCAATTTGGATCTGGAATTTGGACTTTCCACTGGCAACAAACTGTTTTCATAATTTAGGTACTTGGTTATTATTTATTCTAAATTTAAATAAAGGGTTTCAAAATCACAGTAATTATTTTTCAATTAGGCCCACACCTAATAAAATTAATATTGACAGACTATTTGAATATAAACTTACGGTTTTTATGGTAGTAGTAAATGTTAATAATTTAATATTTGACAAACTAAAGTAAATTGTTATTTTTGGTAGAGCTAATTCTTTTCAGCCAATGGAGAGAATATTATAAAACGATTATTTAACTGACAGAAATGTAAATTTTAGGGATAGTGTAGATTTGAAACTGACTAGACAACATTTGGTTAAACTAGGTAACATCGAAACATTGATGTGCATGAAAAAAAGCTCAGATCGCGCAGTCTTGTCATAAAAAGAAATTATAAATTTCAAAACAAAAATCTAGCCTCAAAGAAAAAGCTAAAAAAACAAGATAAATATGTGAACAATCATAATTAGTTAGTATGACGCATGTTTGACAAAAACCAACTGTCTTTAGTTGATTGTCACATGTCACAATATTTACAATTATAGAGTCGAGGCGATTTCTCTCGCTATGTTGACAGACGTTTCCAGTAATGTGACTTAATAGTTTCCGTTTACAGTCTTGAGCCTTCATAAAAAAATTTAAAAACTAGGCCTACATATTTTAATACCATGTCCTGTTAAGAAACAAAATTGTACTAGTGGTTTTGGTTATAAAGAGTTATTATTTTTTAGTAAACTTTTTGGGTTTGTAAGATAAGAATGAATAACTTCATCAAAAATCCTAAAAACTTGCATTAATTAATTTGATTTCACGAATAAATGTTTAAATGGTTAGTTTCAGTATTTTCTACTATGCACATCTTTCCACTTTGGCATGTTCCACCACAGTAATCTACAAGATGTCTGCAAGGGGCATACAATCCCCTCAAGAAGTGCAGCAGGAGTTGTTAGAGGTCAAATGTTTAAGGGTCTTTTGTTAGATTTAAAGTCTTGGAACTTGGAAGTCATGAATAAGAAGCACCAAATGACCCCACTTACAGGGATTAGGTCAGGTTAAGTTAGGGATCATGACTAGGTCCTGAGAGAATACTGGGTCAGTTATGTGAGTGACTAACATGTTATCTGTCAAAATTGCTATGGCAAACAGTCCTAAATTAACTACCCCACACAGTATAGATAGGTCGGCCTACTCAAGACAACCAAAAACATATAATGCTTCATTAAATACTCCATTTTTGTCACATTCAAACTAATAAAAAAAAAACCCCGAAGCAGCATTCCCGCATGCTACTGTGTTTTTGGTCTTGAGGGGGCCTGAAAATGTACAGAGCTCCGTCTTACCGCCTACAATAATAGGTACTTCCTTACCACGGAAACTTGCTAAAAATTTAATTGCTGTTTAGGTTATAACAATTGTAACCGTAAACAAATTTTCCAAACAAGTATGAAATATTTAAATTTAAACATTCTAACCTAGAAAAAATGCACTCAATAATATACAGTGGATATATTTTTAGAATTGTGTAGATTGTGTAAAAACTTATGTACTAAAATGGAAAAAAAACGATGAAAACATTAACTTAAATGAAGTATAACCAACAAACCTATTTATAATTTGGTAATGTGCAGAATAGATCTTTAAGTTACTTTGCAATTTCAGGCATTACATTTATTATTTGTACAGATTTTATACAAAATATATTTTTGTGTAAAAACAAAGGTAAATTAATCTAAATTCAAAAGTGAAATTCTGAGTTACCTAATACCAAAAGTAAAGTCTCGTGCATAAGCTAGTATAAATTATAGGGATTTTGTAAATAGTAATAATTATTTGTTAATTACAAAAAGTATTCAATATTTATCAAATAAAACTCAACATTCCCCAAAAAACAATTGTCTGCTATAAGAGCCAAAACTAAATAATTTCAGATAAACTTTGTAACTTCAAATATTTGTTGAACAAATCCGAAACAAAATAAGCTAAACAGTAAAATAATTAGTAGCAATAATAAATAAAATTTCATCCATTACATAACAGTTCAGCAAGACATTACTAGCTAGATTGAGCTACATAAGACATTTACTTTAGTTTACAGACTATTTTCTATATTTTTAAAGATAACACATGTGCGATTGCCTAAATTATCTTTGATTTCTTATATAACATATAACAATGGCAATGAAAAACTATATATGTACAGTTAACGGTTTCCATTAAGGCATATTTACATACAGACAGAGTGAAGAAAAGTGATGCAGTTTATCTGTAACAAAAAATAAAGGTAAATCACTGTTTAACAATAATCACTCTTTTCTTTTCCAAGTTAGAAGTTTCATGATTCATAAAACATCACTTGATGGGTTTTGGTTGTGGAAGCACAAGGTAAAATGTCACAACAAATGTAACAACGATAAAATCTTCAAAAGTCAAATTATTATTTATTTTATTTCCAAAAAATACAAATTTGCAAAACTCATAGAATTTAGCTACAAAAGCCGTTTATAGCTTGTCTGCAGCAAATATTATAATTTTTGTTATTTCACAGTGTTTTGTTTTTATTCAATCAGTCTTTTGTTTCCCTTGTTTTTCTGTAAGTAAACCATACCATGATACAGAATAAAAAAAAACAAATCAAATGATCAAATGATCATTGATCATCATAATGATAATGGCCACTTAAATACCGTATTACTGGCGTAAGATTCTAAAATGAATAAATTGATCTTTTTTACATAGTGTATTAAAATTTAGTTTTACATTCAAATTGAATTTATTTAAGGTTATTTTGATTTCTCATTCACTAGCTTACATTCCGTTTACTGATGTCAACCACTGCCAATAACTACTAACAAAGTTATTAAGTTTATTATGTTCGTTTTACTAGTTTTTTAAAATTATTCAACATAAGTTCACAACTTTGTTAATTTTTTTCACTGTTTTCTTGGTTACTTTATGTTTGTAAAACTTAATAGTTATTGTAAACATTTTAAACATTAGTACTATCTAGCAAATTTAGTGGAATAAATCATTCATTCTCTGACACAAAACTTCTTTGAGTTTGTAGATTTGTGATCTTTGGGTGACAATCAAGTCAAACTTGACAAAACACTATAATTTTGTAATTAGAGCACAAGGGCCTAGATTTTTTAGGATTTTTTGAGAGGATAGCAGGCTTACCTGAATGGGAAAGAGTCCAAACTGGCACTTGAACACAAAACTTTACACTATATACACAATTTGTGTATATAGTGTAAAGTTTTGTGTTCCTGTGCCAGTTTGGACTCTTTCCCATTCAGGTAAGCCTGCTATCCTCTCAAAAAATCCTATAATTTTGTAATGTTTGACACGGTCGTGGCCCGAAGACCACGAATCTACAAAAGGTGACTGTTGAAGCCTATCCAGAGCCTTTATAAGTAGTAAACTAATTACTCAACAGATTTAGCATTAGAAACTCAATCAGGATGGTGAAATTCAATGAACTAACTATTTACCTTTGTTGCTTGTTAAGGAGCTGGTATCATTTGGTGGGTGTGACTTTGTTGTTGTAGGATACAACAGGTGGTTGTTTGGAAGGAGTGGAGGGGGGAGAGTTTGTCGCCTCACCTCCCCCCACCTCGCTGCCTGTCACCACCACATCAACCTCCATCTGCAAGCATTAAAATAACAGTTGTGTCAACTCAACAGGTAAATGTTTGGAATATGTTCTAAGCCAATTCATTTGTATTTTTTCTACTTTAACCAATCAGATTAAAACTCAGAGTACACTAGATAGCAAAGGACACAAAAAGGAAATGGACAGGAGAGTTTCTGGTGAATACTTATTTGATGAAATGGAAGCTGCTGTCCCACTCGACAAAACAACACAACACGCCTCGACATGAAAGGCACAGAATATAAGTTGAATCCACAAGCATTCTCTTGTTGTGTTTTGTTTCCCCATGTATCATATACTTTCCCATCGCTTTTGGCTTGAGGCACTTGGAAGGACCGCACCAGGCAGATAAGGAGACGGAAAGGACACAGACACGAACTTTCTGGTTATGCACGCTCAGGTAGAAATAGTTCGGCTGCCTCCGTGCACCCACTGAAAGAAATTGTGCCATGAAGCAGTTACCTCTTTGTCCCATCTAGTGTACCCCTAACAGAATTTGTCCATGTAGTTTCCTTTCCTGTCTAGTGTAGCCGAATCTTATTGGTGATCTGGAGAAGAGAGGACTGTGATGTCAGATGGTGGAAGAGAAAGAACGAATGAACAGTAAAGGATGGAGAGACTAGTTGACACCAAGGATCGGAGATAACCAAATTAGAAGAGGACTATAGTTTGCCCAATATTCAACTTGAGTGCTTGTATTATTCGATCATGAGTCTGTCAATTGAATTAATAACTAAATGCAATACAAAATTACATCTAAAATTTGTGCTTGGTTAAATTCATAAGGGTTGAATACATAAGAACTAAAAAAATACAACTCTAAATATATATATAGGCTTTATTAGGAGCTTACTGAACACTAAAATATATTGTGGTAAACAGTATAAAATGTACTGGTAAATTAAGAATAACAGAAAATTAAGTTAAGAAGAACTTTTTTATCTTAACAAAATCTTGAACAACATTGATTTGGTTACCTTGTCATCGCTGTCCGGGATAGGGCCATGTTCCGCTTCGTATTCCGTTAGAACTGCGTCTAGATTGAAGCGCCGACGGTAGTTGACAAAAAATGACCTCATGTGGACCTCTGTCTTGGTTCCTATCACCTCCGCAATAGCTTGGAAGTCCTTGCCGTACTTCCTCATACCTATGTTTCAACATGGTTGGGAGATAATTGGTAACAAATTTTCATAAAATATACTAGTGTTAATCAAGAGTTTACTATGGGTATTCCTTCACATTATGTTATCAGACTGAATCTACCATCTCCATTAAAGACAGTTGTACAAATACTGAGGATTTGTAAAATGCCAATGAAGAAGTAGTAGTTGTCAAAATAATTATTGTGACAAAGAGAGGTTTTCTTATAGCTCTTTACGCCTCTGTAGTAACAACAGTGTAGCTGTAGTGTAATAACTGTTAAATAGTTAATATGTACTTTTTATACAAAAATATTTTTTGAGCAGTTAAATTTTTATATATTTAAATTTTTACTGTTGTAAATGTAGTACTGTATCTGTATCTACATATTAGAAATGAACATAACATGTACTTTTACGTATCAATTATAGTTTTTGACCCTTTTTTATAATCTGTAACCCTCACAACGTTCCTGGTTCACATCACGACAAGTTTATCGGACAGAAATATTAGAAAATCTATTAGTACAACAGCTGTTCAGGACTAAACTTTCCGTGATAGTCTTAACAATCACTTGACAAAATGATACGTCAAGTGGAATTATAAGTGTAACTATGAGGTTTACCTTGGACAGCCAACAACAGTTCGTCGTTGGTCCACCGAGCGTTGATGCGACTGTTGTTGTCCGGAGGTCGACACTGGTCTATACCTGCGCCGGTAGCTCTCTTTAGGGCGGACAGTGATTGTTTGTTGTTTTGGACCTGTAAACACCACATACTGTCAGCAATGCCAACAAGTATCACTGCAACCTTTGACTAAGATCTTATCACATACCCTTGTTAAAGATTCGGTCAGTTTTGCGATAGCAATTAACGTAGTTGGATTTAGCCGTTGAGTTGCTGTTATAAATTTCTTGCTTCTGTCAAATAAGCCTTATTTAAACCAGGCCAAACTTAAAGTACAGTTTACCAGAGACTATGGCATCTTTGAAGTTGCATTAACTACCAATCACAGTTGAACAAAAACTAAGAGAGAAAATAAATTTGTTTTACTAAAACACACTGAGAGTGGCTGATTCAACTATGTTTGTTTTTCGAATAAAATGGCTACAACCCATACACTCCAGTATCTAAGAGACAATATTGTAGCCTGTTTTGGAATAACAATAAACATAGTTGAATTAAGAAGAACAGATAGAATGAATGTGATGATGTGAACTACAGATTTCTACCTAAACATACTACTACCTACTGTACTTCAACCTGATGACTGCCAATAAATCATGTTAAAATGTTTATGTGATGTGATGTGATATGATGTTTACATAATACAGTGGTTTTCTCATGACAGAAGTTCTTTACTTAAAGAAATAAATTGTTTTCTTTCAAATTTATTTACCGTTTTTTTTTTATGAAAGAAACCATGAGGTCTTAATGTTTACCTTAGAAAAAACAATTTTTGCCACACTACCCTGTTTTTATGGACTTTCCATGGAATTAGTCCGGAAAACGGCTGTTTGCCACAGGTTTGATAAAATGGGATTGTAATGATTTCTAGTTATTGAAAACCTCATAGTTTCATATACAACCTCCTCATCGACGGCCGTGCATTAATTGCGCCAAGCCTAAGCCAGGTAGGGGTGAGTTGCGAGCAGAAGGAATGTCCTTGTTTACGTGTCAGCCTAACCGAACATATTCAATTATACAGAGTGAAAGAGGGTCGCCACTTGGTGTACTTAAGTACAGTTGGCTCAAAACAAAGAAAGAAAGACAATCCCTCAGGTAGAATGGGCCATCCTCTGTAATAACTATAGACTCAAAGATTACGGGTTTCCAGTAGCACTCGACAATATTTATAGTAAGTTAAGCGACAACTGCGTTATGTCGGCAACAGTACATCGTAGAACTGTGATTAAAATGGTTTTTATTTGTAAAAGTAAGACGAAAAAAATTAGCCGTCATTCGATTATGTAGGTCTAATGTATCAATTGATTGCAAACTATAGTATAACGCAGATTTTTGTGGAATGCTGGCAGTCCGGGGTGGACGCCACTAATAAAGGCTATGGGTATGTCAACAGGGGATTAGAACGGCCCATTCTACCTGAGGGGGTGTCTCTCTACGTTTTGAGCCAACTGAAACGTATTGGGTGGTTGCCTGGAGTAGTTGGTGCAATTCAGGAATACCTGACTACCTGACTCAGGTCAGTTGGCGAAATTAATGCACGCTCTCATCAACACCCTCAGTAAATTATAAAAACCTTCATATCAAACATCATTATCTTTCTCATTTACACTAACAGTTTTAGCATGGCATGGTCAAGTGAGAACTGTTCTTTAATTCCAGACTTTAAGCTGTGATTTGAAAGAGAGGCTAGTGAGAAAATACAAACATTCAATTGGTTAACATAACGGTTAATTCATTCACTGTTAGAAATAACACACTTAAATACTAACTTACGATATGTTAATTACTAAGAGTATTACACATTATGCTGTAGGACATTATGTTGTAATGAAATGAACTAGTACTTGAGTTTTGGATCAACACATGAATGTAATCTCTCTTTCTGTTGACAGAGATTTCAGATAATATGACTAACCCACCTGAGCATGTGGAGGCTTAATTAATATCAGGACAGCTCATTATGACTAACACAATTTTGTTAGTAATTTTAATTCATAGACCTATTCTTTGCAAACACACTTATTATAATAAGTATATCCTATTAGTAAGCTTAATTTGCAATACAACAAATGTAGTTTATGCTGATGTACAACATATTTTTGTAAATGAATAATAAATAGATAATTGATTTGATAATAAATAGAGAATTCATAAACCCAATTCATAATATTCATGTTCCTTCCTATACATTATTACACTCAACAACATAGAGAAAGAATTCTTCAGTTACCTCACCTCGCATATAGACAATAACAATTATTGTGTCATACAACAAAGAAAAACAGCTTCTTGTACTATTTGAAATTGATTATAAATTATAATCAATCTAGATGGTTAGCAAATGATTCTTGATCGAAGAAGTTCCTTTCTCTACGCTGTCTGGTAATAAAAATGATAAAACAAGTCAAAAGAATTTGCCACAAATGTAGGCCATTATACGAAGTAAATACCTAAAATTGTTTGAGAACCGTATTAAACCACATCTAAGAGGCATGACTAATAATAAAACAACTAACCTACCTCAATTTTAGTAAATGGACTGTTTAAATGAAGATTTTACTACAGAAATATGGATGATGAATCTTCATTTAATTGCAGAGTAATATTTAAAACAAGAAAAAGGCATTCACTTTTGTAAAAGTATTTAATTTACAAATAAACAAACATTTATAGAACATAATATCAAAATTACTTGTTTTACTCTTTATTGTTCTTCTTGTATTCCATCCAAGAACTGTATGAAAATTACTTACTGCTAATTCGCTTAACACACAAAATATTATTACAGGATTTCAGTACAAGAATACTAGGCTAATTTACAATAAAATTTTATTGCACTGGATAGTGAAATGGAAGAGATTACAAACTAAAACAAAATGCTGTTATTAGGTTCTTAAATTCGAGTGATGGTCTTAATTGTCCTTGGAGCCTAGTTGTGTTAACTCATAAAACAATTACAGAACTAAAAAGAAAGTTTCTAATCTCATAGTGCCCTGGATATTTAAATTACAATCCATTTGTTATTTGAAAAAAACATTTTGAGATGGTAAATAACTTTTCAGCGGCTGTTTTTTAAATTAAAATTGCTTTAATAGCAGGAAAATCCAAGATGGCCGTTAGTCTCCAAGGGCTCTTTTAGGAAACAATTAAATTACAAAACCACAAGAAAATGTCTGTGATTTCATAGCGTCATAGATATTTAAAATACAATCAGTTTGGTATTTTAAAAAAATATTTTGGGATGAAATAACTCTTCAGCAGCGGTTTGAAATTAATCCAAGATGGCCGCTACACAGCCTCCAGGGACTCTTTAAAGTTGCAAATTGTACACTCTGCTCTTATTGTTCAGCATAACTTTTCCTCTAAAATTTACTGCTTGATTAAATTATTGTGTTTTAGTTAGAAGAACATGTTTCTGCAGTCTTGTTCATATTATTTTACAGGGCATGGTACATTCAGTCTATGCATATTCAGCTCTGTTTTTTTATACATTTTGCTAAGTACATAGGCCTAGGGCAGGGGCGGACTGGCACCACAAGGTGGGCGGGAAGTTCGGCCTTTAGAGGGCACCGAGGGGCACACCCCTGAGGAACGGGGGTCCTCCCCCAGAAATTGTATTACTTAAAAATTGTTTTATATGCTATTTCTACACTTGCAAAGCTTATACAAATCTGTGAATTTTTGTAACTGGTCTAATAGAAAAATATTTAGAAGTTTTATTAGAACATGCAAATTCAGCGTTCAGCACACTCGTACCAGTGGTGACGGAAATATGAACTACAATCAAGATTCCCCTTCGCTACTCACTTCGCTCCGTACAGTGCAATAAATAGGAACATGAAATTAATCAACGTCTATCGAACATTACCAAGTTTGCCAAAATCGGCAAAGAAGCTTGCTTGCACTGCCCTACAAAGCATGAATTGTGTTCATCAGTGGAAACGTTGTGTTATCGGCAAGAGGCTACGTTTATGGCGCCTAGTCTGTAGTGCACTACACATGAATTTCACCATTACAGTGAAATAATAAATTTAATTAAAGTGGGCCTACTGCAAGGACTACGAAGAGTTCCTGATACCCGACACCATAAAAGTGTTAAAACCCATTTTGATTGATTGCGGACGTAACAAGGAAATATTGCACTAGGGCGCCTTGTCAAGTGTTTTTTTTTTGTCTCGAGGGCGCCAGGTAAAATGTTTTTTGAGGGTGTATCCACCATGTGGCAGGTAGACCGGCGGCCCAGTTGCCCCTGGCCTAGGACCTACCTTTGGTCATTAGCATAATCGTGAGGTTTTCCTCTTTGACTAGTCAGTTTCAAGATTTTAGAGATTAAATTTTATTTGCTTAAAAGATGCTTAATTTTTCAATTAATAAAGCTTTAAAATTATTCTTGCTACTAAGAATATCACCCCTTAAAACTGTAGCATAGAACTCGATATGGATGGAAAATTGGGAAGTGTTTACTTCAGATGTTCGTAGTTCTTTCCGTTGTGTCTTTCCTTACTCATTGACTTAATTAATAAAATGAAGCAGTCATTTAGTTTATACTGTTCACAATGTTTGTGCCCCAACACTGTCGCTCCTTGGCACAAGTTGTAAATTAAAATAGTATGAAGTCTTCAAGGGATCTTGTTTGTACAAAAGAAAGCACAAGTTACCTAGAACTCATTGTCATTGGATCTGTTTCTAAAATAGCCCGAGGTTGGTGATCTCATTGAGAATTTTTTAACAACTCTTTTCAGACCAAGTCTTATGAAATTTAAGTAAAACATTTTCCTTCTCCTCCACTGGTTACAAACACAAAGACTAAATTGGTACTCACAGTTGAACCAACACCCCTCAAACACCTTTTTCCAATTCTCTTTGTACTTGCCCTTGAGAAAAGCGATGAGAATTTTCCTGCCTTTCTCGACATTGACGTTGGTCGGTAGACCGAATTTCTCCAGCTGCTCAATAAGTTTAGGTCTCTTCAAATGGTACACCCAATTAAAGCTGGATCCCAGAACAAGCTCTTCACTCATCTCCTGATCCGACTCAGAATCCGACACCAGAGATATTATTTCCTAAGAAATAAATCAAATTAATTGTACAAAAGGTTGTATTTTCAATTTCTCAATTGAGGAAAGTCACATTTGTGTTTGAATTATTTTCATATCTGATATGTTTGTACTTCTTTCGGGAGATCTTCATCAAATCTATCGCAAATCTTCGTAAGATTCTAATTTTTAAGCGTACTTACACTGCATTTATTTCTATTTTAAGAACCAATTGCCTCGGTTTCATAATTTACAACTTAACAACTACCAAGTACCAAGATTTTTATTATTTTTATTCTTCTCTTATAATTTGTATTCTTCTATAATTGTTATTCAAGAATTTTATCCTTCAAAACATTTAAACTTGTGAGAAAATCTAAAAGTATGTACCTAGATAATGTACCCATCTCTATCAATTTGGTCAAATTTCACAACACCCCTTTAACCAACAAGAAGTAAAAGGGTCGTTAAGCAATTTCTTTTAATTTATATTCCATGACTGGAGCTTAATGTTATCAAAATTATCCATTCTTGTGGCCATCTACATTAATACTAACTCTTTTTCAGTTTACTTTTACAACCTTGTAGTAAGCTCATACGAGAAAAAGGTTTATTTTATTGTACAATAACCATTACTGATTTCAGATAATACAGAAGCATTTTCTTAGTTTAAGTTTTTTGACACAATCATCAATAAAATTTAAATTTAAAAATCTGTTAGCAAGTTTACACACCCAAGTATTTGAAGTGAAGGTGTACAAAATTATTGTAGAATAACTAGGGCGTCTTGAGAAGTTTCCCTGCTAACGATAATAAATTGGACCAGTTTTGGACTTCAAGGAAACTTACAGACACATTTCGGAATCAACTCCAGCAACATTACTTGGAGGAAATTGTGTTATTAGGTAAGCATTACAATCTCGGGGCATTCCAACTTTTGCACTGGAGAAAGTATTGATGAATCTTTCTTCTTCAACATGCCTATTGTGATTTTCTATGTTCGTCGATCCAACATTGCTTTTTTTAATTTAGCATCACTGTATTCTATCATGTTTTCCAGTCTTAATGAATTCAGCGTCTTGATGTTTCAGGGACCACTTTGAATTCATCATTCTATTTAATCGTGCTACTTAGGTCATTGAAGACAAGCACGATTTTACAATTTTCCTTTTCAAGCGAGGAAAACTAAGTACCCTTTCAACTTAGACGATACATTAGGCATTGTGAAACTCCAAATACATATAACATGTTATAAAATGGTAGAATAATGGTAAAATGTTAAAACACTTAAAAATCACGATTATGTTAAAGTTAGCAAACAAATCTTACCAGTTGGTAAACTGCTCCGAGGAAGGAAGGAATGTAAAGCTGCGTAATTTAGAAAAGAATTTATTGAAAGAAATCTGTTACAATTCAATCACACATAAACTTAGTGAAAAGACAAACAATTTAAAGCAGAATCAAAATATAACAAACTTTGTTCAGTTATCTTACCAGAAATATTAAAGTTACCTGATTGTTTATGACACTAGATATTTCGCAACAATTAAAACACTTACTTTGATTTATTCTTTAAGTTTTAATTATATTCCAAAGAAGTTTGAAAGAGAAAACTTTATTCTACAAAGAAATACTTGTACTTGTGCATATTGATTTAAAACAGTGAAATGATCATTTTTCTGATTTAACATTGGAGTTTCACAATCCTAAATAATTACTGTAGAAATGTATTTAATACTTCTAAACAAAACTTAAATAAACAAAAAAACTACAACAAATAAATAATAGGCATACACTGTGGCTGTTAATGACTAAATTTATACACTAGTTAACAATCAGTCCAATAAAAATAATTTCTTAACTTCTAATCTTAGTATTTTAAGAAAGCTTTATATAATTGTAAACATTCCATAATATACTAAAAATAAAAAAAATAAAACTCATTCACATTATAGATTCTCTCCATGTCCCTCAATTATTTGGGAGGAGGCCTACACACAATAGAATTACAGAAATATTATATTATAAATAGATATAAATATTACAAATACACTGTAAATTGTTAAAATAAGGTACAAACAACCTGTGATCAAACGGATAGAATTAATTCTAGAACAAAATAAATAATTACACACTTAAGAGATAATAATAAATTAAATATAATAATAAACAAAATAATAAAAACATGAACTTCTTTGTCCAATGGCAATATGACATAACTATATTGCTTAATAAGACAAATTAGGTCTTTCTTAATAGGAAACTATTATTGATATTAACACAACTATTTGCAATGTGACATTTTTGTGTGATGGAAGGAAGTGAAATATATTATTCATCATACCGCTACAAAATCAGCCATTTTTAATGCATATGTTGCGGGTCTAAAGTAGCCTTTTTACTCTCCAGGGATGTATCGATTGGTTAATCAATTGTAGTTTAATGTGGTGTTGTAAATAGTTTGGCATATCGATAGTATAACATACACTAACACAATTGAATAACGTACTAAAAAGCAGCTTGTTTCCATTAGGAAATTAAATTGAAAACAAGTTAGAAGTATTTTTTAAAGGTTATCTTTAACTGAAAAATATTTTAGTTTTGTAACATAGTTTGTTCAAATAGTGGTGCAATATGACAAAAAATATAGTTCATCACATGGGCAAAAAGTATCTTTTCAACAATTTCTCATTTTTCACCCTAGTGATGAAATATACTATTGAATAGGTCAACTTTATTTTATTAGTAAACAGAGGGAATAAAGTTGCAGCCGTTAAAACTAGCAAGAATATTAAACTCAAAATCAAGCTTACTTTTGGCCTTTATTCTTTACTTGGGATTGTATTCTGCATGTACCCTGTTCATCTAAAATATGTTTTATTGGTACAAAGCAGAAAAGTGGTCCTAAAGCCTTTGAAGATCTGCTCTAACCCTTGGTTTACAGCACAAAAATCCAATTAATAAGGAGAATATGCATATAGCACATATCTGTTTGAACTATTAAGTTAAACTACAATCGTTGTGCTAGATAAAAAAGAGCTTACCACAATAAACCCAATTCTAAAAATGTTCAGCTGATGATTTATTTTAAAATGTTTTCATCTCTTACCTTCACTGCATAGGTTGTCTCATACTATTAGTTGTTGAAAAACAGGAATATAGGCCTAATGTAGTTCAGTAGAATTGGACGACAATTCAACCATAAAATGTTTGACTGACATTAAAATAATCAGTAAAATCTACTGAAAATACCAGAATGCCGCTGATCCAAACTAGTTGGGACCGAACCCTATTCTAATTAACTGGAAACACAGTAAAATCTCATAAAAAAATTAAAACAATGTACTTTTATGAGTGAAATGAGCAATCACAGCAATTTTTCGATAGCGGAAATATACACTATTAATTACTATAATTGCAACAAGGTCCAAGATCATCTCTCGCAATTGTGTTCTTCTTACTACACAAACCCCTTAAACAAAAATCAACAGAAAGCCATCAATGAATGGACGCTCGGCCATAGGTGATTGTTCCGAATTTTGCAGTTTACAACAATCCTCAAACTTTTGGTAACTTATCAAAATTTACTTTTAACAATGTTTTTTAGTTGAAATAGATTTAACTTTTCCCTAATAGTTGGTTCGGATTAGTGCCACTCTGGTAGTTAAAATCTGAAAATTTTTGGTCAACAGTAACCAACAAACTTCACTACATCACACCGTGGAAACGACATCCAGAAAAGATTAAATGTTTCTTTTGGTAATAGTCGCATATCCAAAAAAGACCCTGTATAAACTCCCTAGTGATTGTTATCTTAGCCTAGTAAATACTACTGCAGTATCAGTTTACTTGGCGCTTGAGTGCCACTATCTCTCGGTCCGTGGCTCGTAGCATCTGCTCGCCCTGTCCTGCGGGTCCCGACGCCATTGCTACAAGGTCGTCGTGGTTCACGTACATGCCACGTGGCGGCTTCCGCTTGTTGCGCAGTAGCAGTTGCCGGTCACGTGGCTTTGTCGGCCCTACAGTGGGTCGTAGGTTGCCGGTACGCCTTTAAATTACAAAAATATAATATTAATTTTCAGCAGCAACAGAATTATGAAAAACAACTATGGCACTAAAATAAATATTTGTTTAGGTTAACTTAAGAGCAATAGGTGACATTAAGTGGGTGAGTAAGGTGACATTTTAGTACTTACTAAAGACTTAGGTTACCAAAACAGAGTAAAATTAGAAACCCTCTCTGACAGAGACAGATCCTTCTCTATGGCGCTATTTAGTTGAGTGGGGCAAAAATCATTCTAAAGCTGATAAACTAAACTTAATTTGCCAGTGTTGAAAGAAATTTGTAACTATAAATGAATGAGTACTTCTGCTTGTTAAGATAATTTTTTATTGTAAATTTATGACATTAAAATACATTTATTGATAGACATACTTTTACAGGATCAAAGTAATCAACTATTACTCCTAACTTTCTGTCAAAATAATTTCAAGAACGCATTAACACTTTGTTTAGATACCTCCTCACAACTGAGAATACTACAAACTGATAACCTAACAATTACTTATAGTAAAATTCACTAACTTTTGTGTCGAAGCAAAAATCTTAATGTTGTTGAAACCACCGTTTTCCTTGGATACCACAAAAACACTTGTTTGTTCAAAGCAGTAAGCTCAATATAATTTTTTATTGATGTTTGATCTTTAGGTAAGGATTTAAAAAAATTAGGAATGTTTTTGGAGCTCGTAATATTAAGATTACAACATCCGGATTGCAGGATTTTAACACATTGTTACTGAGGTTCTGGCCAAACTGATTTGAAAATCAATCATAAGTTTTTTAAGAATTTATTTAAAATTAGTATAATTAAAAAGATAATTTATCTTCACAGTATATTCTAGATTTTAAAATATAACATTTTTAGTTGGATATAAGTTTCAAAATTCCTAAATTCGACCATTACAGTACAACCCCTCCAACCCGTCAACGGAGGGATCAGGACTTTGGCCGGAACAGTAAAAAGGTTGAATTATCCGGGAGCAACATCTTCGGAATTTTGCCGTGACCATGGGAGACAATTATGACGTTTCTGTTGGGGCAGGAGCAATCTCAGATGACAAAAACAAGGTTTCCATGAGTTCGGGAGATGTTCAATATATTGCAGCGATTGCTTAAGACGATGATTTTTCCATAGCCAAAAGAATTTTTCTAGGATTTTTTCACAATCGCAGAAAACAACGATTATGTTCTGATCCCTGCAAGAGGCGTTTAGGCTTAGACGATGACAATTTTTTTCATTACCGCAGGAGATGTGCTAGATTTGACCACTATCGCTGGGGATGACAACCGAGATCACAGTTGATGCTGATGACGTTTCTGTTACTGCTAAACATATTCAAGGTTTTGCTGTGATTGTGGAAAACGATGATAATGTTTCCGAGACAGCAGGGGATAAACAAGGTTTTTACGGAGTTTGCGGGAAACAGTGATCATCTATACGACCATGGGAAATGGTCACGACATTGCTGCAATAACATCGTCATGGATAGGCGATGGGTCGGTTGGATTACGCGAGGTCGGATTAGAGGGGTTCTACTGTACAACTTAATACTAGGCCTTTTCAATTATGACACTGATCGCACTTACTTCCAGTGAGTGAAACACGTGTTGCACATGTTGCCCTTGGGTGTTGCATGGACATGACTGCAAGTCACATTGCAGTTACTACAGGACGAACCTTCTCCCCTCTCCTGCAAAACAAAAACCATGAAATAATACATCAATCGGTAAGTCTAGTTGTTAGCTTGTTCCCTGTTGTTTTAATTCAAGGAAAATATATATTTTGTTCGATGTTTCAACAGGCCATCTACAGATAATCTTTAAAATATCGTTGCACATTGAATATTTTAACTGCAGTTAATTTCTTGAACTATTGATGAGATAAAAATGTAATTTAAAATCAAAACCCTGAGAATCTCAATAAAGCTTCTAGCCAACACCCTTCAAAAGTCCCCAACTCTGTACATGCCCCCCTAGTTAATAATTTTTTTTCACTATGTTTAAGAAATTATAAACATTCAAAATTGAATGTACACTATACAGGTGGGAGAGTATGTCTGTGAAAATCATGTAAAAAAACCCCAGATAACTTAGTTATTCTGTAAATCATGTAAAAAAAACCAGATAAATATTAGAAGTAATTTACAAAGACTAGTTCTTTGTTTGAAGTTGATGATTGTGATTTAATGTTGTTCAAAGGTTTATTGCGGACATTTTTCATCACGATGGTAAAAAACAATACACAACGTTTCGGGATCTGGAATCTGATCCCTTCCTCAGGTGGAAAACCTAACATTAGAAATAACAATACACAAAAAGACCAACCTAAGTTGGAACACGCAACAGAGAGTAGCAGTCAAAAAAATATGCACTGTATAGAAATCAAGTCACCAACTTAGGTTGGGCTTCAGGGCCGTCGCGTGGGTGGGGCGACAAGGGCGACCGCCCTGGGCGCCGCGGCAAAAGTAATGCAACTAAATTTAAAAAAGTTAGATGTACATAATGTATTTTGGAAAGTTATGTATAACCACGAATACTAGTTCTATTATTCGTGTGTGTAACTGAATGTTGAATATTACGTTGTATGCCTTTATTGAACAAATACATTTTATTTGATACCAATCACTTTAAAATTTGAAATGTTTTCTTAAATTAAATATCAATATAGTATTGAATTAAATTTAGTAATAATAGCCTAATAATAAACTCCACTGTGGAGTTGAAGGCTCTGTCCCAACTTAATTATCTTAACATAAATCAATATTGCAATGTCGCGGTGTTGCTCTTTTTTGCTCTGTATTCTATTTTTATTTCGCCCGACCGGCCGACGGTCGACCTTGAGATCCACCCCTACCCCAATGACTCCTTTCTCCTACGGCAGTCTCAGCTCAGCTGTCAGCTTAGTTTAATGAGTGATTAAGAGTTATTTCATATCTAAGGTGGTTTTCTTTTATTCTGTATAAAAATTCTATTCAGCGAGTAGGTTTGGTTAGAGGTTTTGCATACCATTGCATTAATTTCAATTTGCTATGTATTAATTAATAACATATACAGTATAGTACTTTTTAAACATTTTAATATTTCCTTAGGCTACATTAATTGGGATTTGGTTATCATCAATTAAAACAGATTTTCATACAAAATTTAAGAAATGTATCCCTTATAATTTATTAATCCCTGATTCCTGACTCTAGTATTTTTGTAAGGTAATTCAATCCCTTTAGTTGTCTGTTTTTGGGCATTAAAACAAAGATAGTGACATCATCACTCATTGTGTTTGGGGGGGGGGGGGGGGGCGCCGTGCAACATCCAGCCCCGGGCGCCAAAAAACCACGCGACGGCCCTGTTGGGCTTTTTTGTGTATTGTTAGTTGTAATGTGTCAGTTAAGTTTTTTTCACCTGAGAACGGGATCAGATTCCAGATCCCAAAACTTTTTGAATTATTTTTTACCATTGTGATAGAAAATGTCTGCAGTAAACCTTTTAGTTGTTAGAAGTTTCATCTGCAGTTTTAATACTGTAGATGTACAAGAAAAAAGATTTGAATAGAATAATGATGCCATCCACGCAAACTTCCCTCATGCATTCCTTGGTTGCATTCAAGTCATCAACCCACAGTATTAACAAGTAAGACAGTATTTAAGCAGAGTAGTGGGCACTTATGTATTACACTAAGCAATTGAAAAAGTTACATGAGTAGTATATTTTATATTTTTGCTACACTAATGCTGTTAAAATGTAGTAAAGATTTATAAAAAGGTGGTTTAAGTCAAAGAAATTTTAATTTTGTGTACACCTATAGAAATTTAGGCATCTAAAAAATGTAAAACTACATTATAATACCCATAATGTTGTAGTCAAATGTGTGTTTAAAGGTTTTATAAAAATAATAGTACTAAACATTTCAAATATGTGATAACAGTGAGAAGGGACCACTGTTCTACAGTGTGTATAAGTACACACAAATTGTAATTAGTGCAGGTGATAAACATTTCCCAATCTTATAATCCTCAAGCAGTGGCAAGCCAGGGCTTTACACCTGTGTAAAAAACAGTGCATCGAATAACAAAACATTGATGATTCAGCTCCCAGCTGAACCGGAACAACTATTACTAACCCTGTATACAGGGAACATAACCCACTTTAACCCAGCGTTATGAAAGCTTCATATTTATAGAACGGACAGAAGGTAACATGCGAAATTAAGTGCGGACAGAACATGGTTGGATTAGTGAGTGACGATGTTGAGATACAAGCAGGCGGTGGACATCAAAATGTATCTGAGCTTACGTCTTTGGCCTCTTCAGACACCCTTGGAGGGGAGCAACTTTTACGTTGGATACCCCGATGGATCGTCCACTTCTGAAAACCACATATAGTGCTCGTACACTTGGAATGTTATTGGTTTTGGATTTTTCCCTTAGTGGCATAATATTTAAGTTTTATTTCAACCTTAAGCTTATAAATTATGGTTATTATTTTACATATAACTTCATAAAATGGGTTTGTTTTCATAGTTAGGATCCGTTCAAAAGTGTTTAAAAGATATTTACAACATTTGCCAGAATGTATTTATGGGATTGGAACTATTAGTATTTTACATTTAATTGTATGTCATAGCATATGATTAAAAAAAGAAAAAATAATACACTACACCTTTTAACAGATAAACGGCAAAACAATTTTTGTTTAAATATTTTGAAAGAAGTTATTCTTACTTTAAAAAAGCATGTTTATTGAAATTAATTACTAATTAATGTAAGGTCTTAGTTTGTAATCTAATTTAATTAAGAATTTCATAGACTCTTCAAACAACCACCATACAAATCAAGAAGCAACTTTATAGTAGACTGACTAAAAATGTTTTGACTCACTAAAATAAGATTCTGCCCTAATCAACTTCTAAATACAACTGTACACTACGTTGACAAAACCAGAAATTTTGAAAAAAATTTACGGATAAATCTTATATTGGCATGAATTTGAACTTTGAATGGACATGATGCATACTGTGTCAAATAAAGACATGAAGTAGATAAAACACCAAACCAAATTTGTTTCAACATCTTAAAAAATTGTGAAATATATTTTCTTTGGAAATCACTTGTTATCTCCTCCAAGCCAACTCGCACACGACCCTCCAGTCAGGTCAACATTATTTGAAGGAAAGAAATCCAAACAAAAAATTGTCTTGTTGTGTCTCATTATGTATAGTTTGTGGCTAGTCACTATAAGTGGTTTGGAAGCATTAAATATTGGAAAGTAAAATTAAAACATGCAATGAAAGTTGTATGCAGTAAGATTTCATTCATTAATACAATTTTCAAACTACAAGGTACTAAAAGGCTCAAGTTAGCTTGAAGCAATACAATTTGTACATATAATTGACCAAACTCGCTTAGACCGAACTAAAAGGCCAGTGTTTGTATTTTTAATTTTGTATTAATGTATTACAACAATTCGTTGAGCTTAATCATTCCATACATATACAAGTCTTTTTCTTTGATGATACAAAAAAGTTTATTGATTAAAATATGCAAAAGTAAATATAGTTGTTCTAAATTAGCCTTTGAGAAAAGAAAATCATAAATTCTAAGTGTCTAAAGTCAAATGACATTAAAAAATATGAAGCTTTCATAAAAAAAGGTAATTTTACAATGTAGGCTTACTCCAATTATCAGGAATAAAGAATTTTGATTTAATGATGGTTTAATTTCTTCATTGCTTCCAGTATATTGTGTTAATCTTGAGCAGTTTATCGTGCATTTATTCAGATGAGGGTGTACTACAATAGCTACCATTGTAAATCGTAGCTAAGTGACCTAACTAAATTAAGTATCCAGGTTGCTGTAGCAGTAAGGCCTAATTCCACAGATACGCCAGCCAAACGATAAATAACTCCACACTACGTAAGATGCAAACTCCACCAACCAGTTATTTGACGATGACAAGTGTTCAGCATAAATAAGAAGACAAAAATTGACAACTGCGCAATGTGCCTTGGAACTAAAAGGTATCTAACAAAACCTATCTCACAAATAAGTCGACATTAGATAACAAGAACAGGGTTTAGACCCTTCCCTTTAAGAAAAAATGTAAAGAATGCCATTGGCGTAGAAAACACAAAAAAACTATAGTCCATCTATTAAAAAGTATAGGATTGACAATGGTAACAGGTAACCTATTTAATTAGTATCGTTTTTTAATCCAGGGGGCAAACTATATCAATAAATGGATGTCTTAAGTTTTATGTAGATGAGTCTAAAGCTAGTCTCGGGCTTAGTTACCCTGTAAAAATACACTAGGCTCACCGATACGCGAAGTTAGCCTTTGTAACAATAAAAACCTTACCTACCAGCCAGATCTTTATGTCTTAAGCCTCTTTCTCAGGAAATTTAGCTTGTCTAGTTACAGATGACTTTGATTAATCAATGGTTGTCAAGTCATCTGAGGTTTAGTGTGTGACGGCCTTATGTTTTTAAAAGCAACCCACATGCTTGGAGAAAAAGGCTGAGCCAATGAGGGACTGGTGTTCAACAGCAACACAGCTGGGGATTAGAGCTGAAGCCTTGTAGATAAATATGTCAGAGTTAGCAGCCTGTACTGCACACTATGTGGCCTATGTTTGTTTCCATAGATCACTTTGTTTCTGTCTTTATGGTCTTCGATTAGTGATTTCCAAATTATAGGTGCCTGCTCTTAGATTCGAAAACTCTATCACAGCTATATTATGCCGATATACCTGCACACTTAAACAAAACCAAACTCAGCAAATCAACAGACCAAACACACTCCAGGCTCAAAGACTGAAGGTTGCGAGAACTTCAAGTCAAAACAAGTTTTGCGCTCTGACAATCCAGAATCTTTTAATGTTTCATGAGTTTACCAACTTCGGGCGGGAATGACTTAAGTTGACACACCATAGACATATTGTCTAAACTTGAATAAAGAATATTTGATTGATTGATTGATTGATTGACCATCGTGAGCTAGCTGGACAAGTCATAGACGAGCTGTTCTCACAACGTAATATTCGACAAGCGACATATTAAGGCTATCGGCAAATCGATGAGCTACACATCGTGAGAAAGAGGCTTCTATTAAGATAGACCATACCTTTCCCAATCTCCCTTTCGGTATACCTAAATAAATAGTGTTGAACATCATTTCCTACCTTATCTTCATTCTCCGAGTCGGAGTTGGATCCAAGGTCGGATGCAGCGTCACTTCCCGCCCCCTCTTCCCCTGCTCCTGCCCCCCTCCCTGACAACTTTCGAGCCTGGCGGTCCATCAGACTGGTTCTGCTGCGGGTCTTCTTCCATGAATAATAGTACTTCACTAGGGTAGCGATTGTCTTATCTGGTAACTGAAACAGTTCAAAGACATCCTGTAGCAAAATGTATAGCATAGCAATAACACTTATCCCCTTCAAATCGTAAAGTAAGAAATGTATAATATTATTCCTTCATTGTATCATTCAATCAATAATTCGATCAAATTAATTTCACAAGTGAAATCTTTAAGGCTGACAAAAAAAAAGAACTGACAAAAATTCACTATCAATATAAAAGTAGGCCTAATGAAAATACTTTTTAAATAGATGCTAAATAGATCACAGACAAATATTTCAAAACCATAATGATTGTAAAATTGTATCTTGAAATAAATGGGTTGATTAGTTAAAATTGAAAATACTCATTGACGTTTTGGTCCTCTTTTTGATCCAAACCAACTACAACTATTGTAAAACAACTGGTATTTTCAAACAAACATCGAAAGTGAGCTAACCATCTGTCGTATCCTGTGGAAGCTTTTCCCGTGGAACTGGTAAGCCTGCTCGAACAGCACCTTGTCTTCCACAGTCCACTCGTCGGGAAAGGGTGTGAAGTTGGCGAGGTCGCAGATTGCCTTTTCCAGGTCATGTTTGTGCCAGAACAACATTCCGAGCGCCTGCTCCCCGTTGTATCCGTACTTCTCCTTGGCCAGCGATATGTACTCGTCCACTGTCAAAACATCATCATTTAATCTTCCGGTAACTGAGCTTCAGGTATTCCTAATTTTGATCAACCAAACTTTAAATACAGGGGTGAAAAAAGTGTCAATAATCGAGAAATTATTCCAACAAAACAAGTATGAACACCTTGACCCTAGTTGACATCAAAGAATCGTAATGATTCTTCAGCCTAAAAAGGTAAATTACAAATAGAATAGGTACTAATAAGTTATTATTTTTTGTAGTAAATGAGATGTTTAGAAATCTATATAATTAATACGCTACATGAAACTTTGTCGGTTGAACTCCTCCGCCATTTCTTAACCGATTTTATTCATTGACGTCTCATTGGAAAGAGCGTGTCGCGTAGATTTGCAAACTGGCCTTACATTTTTGAAAAAGTTCCTTGGGCTCTGCCCCAGTGGCTGTTAAAGTTCCCATGTTATCCTTATGGAGAACATAATTGTTTACATTTTGATCAGCTGTATCATTTAATTGCTGTTATTTATTTTTCGATTCAAAGTTTTTTAAACTGATCGAAAATTACTTTACTACTTTACTTCTCTGCAACTGCTCGATTTCAAGCAACGTATTTACTAGTAGTTTTTTAAACTAGTTAATAAGAAGGTACAGCTGGCGTAAGAAGTTATCAAGCCAGATTTAAATGGTACCGGTAAAAATAACATTTGAAAACTCAATGAAATATCACAATATTGATACCTACTTAGCTGCGGCTATACCCTAAAACATTCAGTGGTAAACAAGGGTTTTTTCCACTTTGTATTTTTCTCAGATTCAAACAATTAAGTTAATTTGTTAATTTATTTATTTGTTCAACATTTATAGCAAGTTATTTCTCTATATTTAGATGGACCATAAAGAATGTGTTTTTATGAGACATCTACTATTCTAAGTGATTCCTTTAACTAAGAAACAACAATTTTACAGATTATAAATCTAGTAACTAAATGAAATTTTATCTTTGTTTTTTTTAAGTTGGTGGCCTGCTCTAAATCTTACATTTGCCCATCCACAAAGCCATGGAGCATATCCAAAGCAAGGGGTGAGCTGGTACAGTACAAAGGTGAAGTGTGCTGATAAACAGTAGTGGGAGGAACCCATGACATCGCTGACTTGGGCCCAGAGTCCGTGGCACTACCAACTGAGCCACCAACTCACCAAATTGTTGACACTAAATAAGTTTTAATTGCCTACGAAATGATTGCCAATGGCTTAAGTATGATATTCTACAATGATGTCATTTGGAAAGTCAATAAACAAAAATGAAAATATCTACAGTACATAAACTATTATATTACCTTCAACACACTTAAAGAATATTCTAAACCACACTGGTGCGGAAAAAAAACTCTCAAAGCTTGCTTGCAGTGAAAAAGTTGGACCTGTTGAAAGAATTACTTTAGGGGCACTAGTCTTCTATTTAAATCAACAACATATCTTAAAACCATCATTTGAAAACATCCTGTATTTGGCCTGAATTTGTCATGAATCCTTCCAATTCAAAAAACTATCTACATCAATCAATTCCTAAACATTTTGCTGTGTTGCTGAAATTTATTTTTTCATTGTCGAAATAAACAAAGCCCTCAGTGTTGTCCATACACTGTGCAGTTTGAAATTTTACAATTTGTGTTTTGATGTCTGGTTCATTTTCAAACCGTTAACTTGAAACCATTCTGACAGATGTTTAAGAGTTTGATTTAGGGCTAAAAATATTTCATGATTGCTTAGGCAGATCATCATTGTATATCAAAAACGGCAACGGTCCTAATATAGAGCCCTGATGCACCCCCATAGCAATTGTTTCGCATTTAGAAGCATACTTAATGTTTTCTTTTATAATAGCTGTTCTTTGAAAGTGAACGCTTAAATAAGATTTTAACAACAACAAAAAATAGCAGCTTCTGAGAATTTTTTTTATGGGAAGATAATTTATCAAGAAGAATTTGATGGTGCACGGTATCAAAGGCCTTGGATAGTTCACAGAACACACCAATAGTGCTCTGTGACCCATCCAAGCTCTGTGTTATTAACTTTATAAAATGAGCCACAGCGGAAGTGGTACTTTGATTTTTTCTACTAACCAACTTGTTCAGCAGCTAAATAAGATATTAATTAGTTATTAGAAAATAGACATGTGATTGAATGCAGCTTTTAAAAAAAATTTGAGCTCTAAAAAATTAATTACAATACATAATACAGTACTCAGTTGCTTCTAAATATGTGCCATAAGAGAGTAATATTTAATCATTCAAATCTGATCAGTGTAGCCCGTTATTTAAAAAAAGTTACATCAACTTACATTTTGTATCTGATATGTCGACTGTCGGAGACCAAACGAGCAGCGCTCTGTCAGGGCATTGGTCTAACCTTCTCTCTGAAATATCCAGACAGAAATAAAAAACTGTTGTACATGCTATTGCCTGTAATAATATTTTAACATAAACTTATAAACTCATCACCTAGTGTATTTTCATACGAGATACAAAGTTAATAGTTTATTTTATATTAGCTTTACTGTAGCCTAACATTACCGGTACCAGAAACAATTTTTTCAATGCCTTGATTTTTTTAAGGCATTTTGGAGGAGACAGTAAACAGGAGCTTTGTTTGAAATCTAAGTCGAAATTTATTCTGCTAGCACAGATATTCAGGGCAAAATTCTATTTCTCTGAATATATAAATGAAAATGTGTTAAGTTATTGGTTAAGTTAAATTTTCTTCAATTGACTGAGATTTAACTTAGGCCTACCTGCAACTGGTATAAAATCAGGAACAACAGCTTGGTAATCCCGCCCCACCCGGATCTTCTCAGCTGAAAAGGGAGAAAACTTGATTTATTTATTTTACATACCAACGTACATCTCCAATTGTATAAACTAGACATAACAAAACAAAATAAACAAATAGCTAGGTTATATTTTCTTTCGCTTTTATGACTCCACATTTAATCTAAAAAAATGTCATACAATTTTTAAACACGCCCCCATACAGCCTGTTGTAGATATTAGCATGAGATTGTGTTGGGCTGTGCCACCTCTTCAAAGATTTTGTTGGGTTTGGAATGAATCAATTCTGTCAACTTTTACGAAAGATCCATCATTGCTGGAGAAGACTGAAGACCATTCTGACAGTCCCCAAGATATTTCAGCAGAGGGCATACTCGACGGAGCCCGTAAGCTAGGTAGCCAATACCTAAGTACTGAGTCTGGTCTAAATTAAGGTCTCCTAATTCGCACTTCCACTGAGCTAACTTTATAATTTGTCTAACAGGATTACGGCTAGTGTTTGTGTAGTTAACAATGTCCATTAGAAGGAAGGGGGTCTGAGGTGTTATTATCTGTCTCTGACAACAACTGTTTGGAAGGTGTTTGATTTGACTTGAAGTCGAAGCGAGGTAAGTGGCGTTTGATTTCGACAGAACATTCTAACCATCATCAGACCCAATAGGCCAATGACATTTGTTATTGGACGTATTTTTATTTACTTTTTGTAGTTCAAATAACCGGTACAATGCTGATCAAAAAGTCATCATCGTTTCGTCATTAATTTCAGAATGGCCCGTTCACTTCTTTTATCTATGTTGCCAAACTAAGTTACATGTGGGCCTACTGTGCAGACTGAGATAGCCTAGGCCTAACTGAACACAAGATACATTTACAGGGTGTTTCAGTAAAGCGTAGCGGGCTATGCATATTCAGATTCTACATGCAAAAATAAGTCGAAAATGTAGAATAACTTTTTTTCGACTTCAGCTTAGTTTAGCCAAAATCCTCCATTTTGTATTTTTTTGAAAATAAATTAATAACTCAAAAACCTTTGGAGATATTTTTATAATACTTAGTCACCAACTAATACCGTTAACTTAAATAAACCCTCCGAGTGTTATGTGTCGTGTAAAAGCGACTCATAACACATCCGCTGTAGTGTTATGTGTTGCTTTTGCGACTCACAAACACTGTTTACGGCGACGGTTCTGGGACTGACTGAATCGGATTGAACTGGATCGAGTTAGGTATAGTTTTTTTCAGCAGATTCAGAGCTTTCTCCTGATGTCTGTTTCTATACGCTTTTCACTTTGTTTCCAAAAATATTGTAGCAGACAGCTGACGTGCGTATTTGGAAACAGCTTGGTTAACCTCGCACCGATGACTGATGTGTTTTATTACGTTTATCATTGTTTTAGAGTTAAAAATTAAAATTAGTGATATACGTGGTGCATTATAAGATGATTTAGGCTAAGTGATTTTGAAGGGCTGGTTGATAATCCTGAAGAAGTAGGTAGTGATATTGATGTAAATTATCAGCCAGATTCCTAGCTATGGTTAGGCTATGCATTCTTAGCCAAACGCTATGTACCGAAATCTGTTTTTTGCCCATAACTTATTTATTTGCAAACCTAATTCCTTATATTATTATATTTTTGGAATCCTCATAAAATTCTGAACAAAGTGGCTATTTTAAAATATTTGTAGACCTATAAGTTATAACAATTTATTGAGCACATACATAAATTTTTGTCATTTTATTTTATAATTTTTGAGAAATGTTAACCCCACAAAAATTGTTGAACATTTTTTTTGTAATGTTTTATATGTTACATTGAAGCCCATAATTTTCCAAACAAAATGATATATAAAACAGTATAACCTACTTTACATTGTTTTTAAGTTTCTAAGATACATTTTAATAAAACCTTGCGATTGCGCAATAAATGGGCGAACATTAACCCTCCGAGTGTCCATAGTTTAGGCCTTAATGTCCACCTATTTTTGGCCCCTTTGCAAGGTTTTATTAAAACGGATCTGAGAAGCATAAAACAATGTTAATTCTAATGTTCTATATACCATTTTGTTTGGAAAATCATGGGCTTCAATATTATATATAAAACATAAGGAACATTTTTTCAAAAAAAAAAATTTTTAGGTAAAAAAAATATATAATTTCGAAAATTTTCAAAAAAAAAATAAGTTCGCGCTCAATGAAATTGTATAAATTATAGGCCTATAAATATTTGAAAATAGCCACTTTGTTCTAAATTTAATGAGGATTACAAATATATAATCATATAGCGAGGTAAGTTATCAAATAAATAAGTTATGAGCGAAAAACGGATTTCAGTACATAGCGTTTTGCTAAGAATGCATAGCCTAACCATAGCTAGGAATCTGGCTGATAATTTACATCAATATCACTACCTACTTCTTCAGGATCATCAACCAGCACTTCAAAACCACTTAAATCTTCTTATAATGCACCACGTATATCACTACTTTTGATTTTTAACACTAAAACAATGATAAACGTAATAAAACACATCAGTCATCGGTCCGGGGGAACCTAGCTGTTTACAAATACACGCACGTCAGCTGTCTGCTACAATATTTTCGGAACTAAAATGAATAGCGCTTAGAGACAGACCTCTGGAGAAAGCTTAGAATATTACGGAAAGAACGATACCTAACTCGATCCAGTTCAATACGATTCAGTCAGTCATAGAGCCTTCGCCGTAAACGATGTTTGTGCGTCTTAAAAGCGACGCGTGACCCTACACAAAGTGTGTTGTGCGTCGTTTTTATGACGCGTGACACTCGGAGGGTTAAGACCAAAACCTGAGACACTTGGAGGGTTAAGCGTAGCTGTAACTTAACTGGCCATTGTTGTGTTAGGCCTATCATTTAATGGTTTAACGAAGTCTGACTTTCACCATTCTCGCAGTCATAAGTCACTTACAGTGACCTAAAACCATACAAGTCAAAGGATATGAGGCCAGTAGGCAGGCAGGTTGCCTGTAACTTGAAATACAATAAAAACAGGACACTGGTCTCATGTAAAAATGGTTTAAAAGGTTCACGACCAGTCTCCACATATTTAAGCGACGCTGCAATCATTGCCGCGGGCCGAGGTAAGTTTAGGCATTTAAATTTTAATATTAGGCTACACATAGACCGGGTGTCACTTAGTAAACACTTAGTGACACCCGGTACTTAAGGTATTCTGTAAAAAGATAATTATTTCATAAGGACAACTTACTTTGTCAAAGCTCTTTAGAAAATATTGCAATAGGCTAGTGTTTTAAATAAAACATCTATTGTCTAATGCAAAAAAATCATTTGTTAGAAGGACTTCACATTTTTTTTAAAGCTCTTTTTCTAAAAAAAAAGTTTCCGAACTCACCCATTAGTTCTTTCTACTAAATGTTGTTCCTTGTCCACCCTCTCAACACTAGCCAACGATATCGCAATTAGTTCTTCTTCATACATTTTATAATAACGCTAAATAAGGTCAAACACAAGGGCGCACACGGAACTAGGCTCCGGGAAACCCATTACATCACAGGGCGCTCACGGAAGCTGCTTCCAGTAGTGACGCAAACCACTCCCCAAGGTCGACTGACAACTGAGAAGGGAGAGTATACAAAACCGATTCCGCAAAAGAGGTTCGTGAAGTAAATCAGGCCTCAGCCCAGCCCAACACATAAGTTACTATGGTTTTTATAACAAAAAATGTAGTGACCCGGAGGTAACTTCCGTGATGCGCCCGATGGAAGGTTAAATCCTTTGAATAGGAAGGATATCTTCAGGCTAGTCTAAGTTAAACTAGGCTAAACTTTTAAGTTAGGCATGTAAGTTAAGTTAGACTATACCTAGGCTAGCCTACTCTTGTAAGGTTGTATGGATACAAAAGGAAAGTTATTTACTTGAAATAAAAAAACCGGATGTTTATTACCGGTATCGCTTTTGACAGCCTACGAGTCTTCTAGGCCTAGACTAAAACACAGAGATGTATGGGTAGGCCTACAGAGGAAACAAGCTTATGGAACAGCCGAGCACTTTCAGCGCTGGTGGGGAGCGAGCTGGCGTAGTGGTTAGAGCGCGGGACTTCAGTCCCTGAGGTCCCGGGTTCGATCCCCGCCAAGTCACCAATGGATTTTATCTAAGTGATAATGCCGCAACCCCTAGGTCTAGCCTGAAGTAATGTGAAAAACAATCCCAGGCTCGTGCCTAGCGTCCTAGGACAAAAAGAAAAAATTCCAGGGTGGAAATATACTTGATATGAGCTAGGAAGGAGCGTCGGAGCTTACTGTGCGGAAATTCCTAACGCACAGGGCACAAGGTCTTCCTCCACCGTATACTTAAGTGTTGTAATAGTAGATCTACATAAGGATGAAGGGGGGGGGGTTAAACTTGACCCTAGACACCACTTAAGTGTACCATGGAGTGGATCCTCTATTCCTTATCCTTACTTTTCTCCATGACTAATACCTTCCTCCCCCCCCCCCATTAGTTTAATTCACCTGTGACTCATAAAAAGATATGAGGGACGTGAAAATTTTGTTTTATGCATTATGAAACAAATTTACTTTTATTTACAAGACGTTTTATTTGTCAATAAAAGTTTACATACCAAAAAAACTAAAAATATGTTGAGCCCTATCTTACCTTCATCTTCGCTGCTGGATTCTGATGCGTGTCCGTTTGGGCTTGGTCCGCGAGATCTTCGGCCGTTTCGAATATTATCTGAATTCCTTTCCGACAAAACCATTTTTGGAACTAGCTATAATAAGTTATGATAAATTACAGCTAAAGGGTGAAATTTTTAAAAATCCCAACAATATTCACCTATACAACATTTGAGTAATGGTTACCTTCAGGGGACCGTAGTTTAATCTAAGCTTTCAGTATGTGAGGCCTACTTCATATAAACCAGTACACCTTAACTTCATACGTACTATACAAAAGTCATATGAAAATACATTTACCAACACGTCCCTAAAGAACAACCACCAAATTTTCGTGCAATTTGTAAGGGAATAAAATGTATTTTAGTATATTTAACGATTTAACAATCTTTTCTATTGATATTGTTGACTTTCTAATGGATGGACCAGCTGAGGATTATCGTATGCGTTTTCGCCTGGTTCCTCAAGTTTGTGTAGAAGAAGCTTTTAATTAATTTACTTTATTTTTGTTAAATGGTGCGAGTATTTAACCTTTGACTATTAATAAAACAACTTCTGTATCCAATAGCATAGATAAAACATACTCCCTTGTCTATGCCAATAGTCAATGATTTAACTCATTACTATAGGTGTACAATGCATTTGTATGCTTGAAATATTGACGGGGAGACGGGGGTATGCTACAAGGCTATTAAAAAGAAAAAGAGGTTGCCTCAGTCGCGCGTATGACGTCACCCGCCGACCCAGATCTGTTTACAAATAAATAAATGAAAAACAAACAACAATAACAAAGTACTTGACAGGTGACAGTTGTGTGAATTAAAAGCAGCACCGTCCGGGTTGGCGGGTGACGTCATACGCGCGACTGAGGCAACCTCGGTATGCTATGAATATATAATTGGGTGGAGCAAGCATTCAATACTTTAAAGAAAAACAACGAGTCGATTTCCCTAATAACTTTGACTATTCAATGGTTATTTGTAAAACCATGGATAAAACATATTCCCTAGTGTTATGGTGGTTAGTCTATGGTTTACCAGTGTGGTGTATGGTTATATTGGTACCGGTAGTACTGGCATTTTATGGACACAGGTATTGTTTAATTTCTTTGTATTGTTTAAAAATATAAAACCCCTAGCTGTTTTGACCGCTCTCGTGCAGGTTAACTTTTGAATGGTGCAATAAATTATTCACCTGAAAATATACTTAGTGCATCATTTATGGAAGTAAACTTCCTATCAAATTGTTTACTTGTGTCCTTGCACTTTTTAGGCATGAAGTCACTTGTCCACAAGCCATTACTTCCGCAGTCTTGAGAGGTCGAAGCATCTATGTTTTATCTATGGTCGAAGCTTGTAGAGAAGTGAGTAGTAAAGCTGCACCATCACAGCCATAACAAAATTGATTTTTTAGCGAATTTCCTTTAAAGTTACTAAGCTATTACCATAGGTGGTAAGACCTGGACCCGGGGCCGATTTAATTTTTCGTTTAATGTCCTCCGATGACAATAACTCCATCCTTGAGAATTCATATACACACATATTATTTCTAAGTCTCCTCAACCACGGCCACCTTTTAAACACAGACAACACCCGTCTTTTGAGCAGTAATTATTAGCTCTCGTTGGTAGATGAATGGATTTATCTCTATGGTCGATAGGTAGTAGGCCTAGATTTGACCAAACTAGAAATTCCATCCCCGTGTTAAATTTGTAGCCAGCTTTTTTTCTACCAAAATTGTCTTAGTTGATGTGAGCCACCAACAGATTGTGCTGATCTAAATTAATGATTTCTGTTGAATACTCAATCTTTTTTACCAATTCAAACTAATGAAATTACTTATTGTGAGCTATAGCAGCTGTTATGGCCCATCAACAAAAAAGAAATCGTAGAAAATAGTTTTAGCCACTAGCGCATTCTGTGACTGGTCCACACAACTACGTTTTTTTTTACAAAAAATTTGCTACAGCTGGTCATACATATATATTATGAGGGAAGCATGTTTTTTAAAGCCTTTTTTCTCAGCTCTTGTGCATCTCAGGGTATGCATACTGTCAGAAGTATATTTGCCTGTAAATGTGCAGAATCCCTTTAAAATTAAAATATGCTCAAAAATAAGCACAAAATGAATTTAAAATAATAAAAAATAACATTTAACTAAATTTTACTTTTTCTCCACATGGAGACATTTAAAATTACTGTTATACTTTAAATATACAGTATATTGTACAACAATGCTTCAATGTACAAAACTATTTAATTGTTTTGAGATGGCTGTAATGAAAATTTCACAATTTCGTTTTTGACGGTTATAAAAAAACACAATTTACAACCCCATAACACTGTCCCCTACCCGATCTTGTTGGATTGCAAATTCTTCAAGTTTATCCAGCCTTTACACATTCATGCCAAATTTCGACCAAATCCGACCAAAATTGCTCAAGTTATCATTTTCACAGACGCATAATAGGCTCTATAGATTATTAGAATTCCAAAGACTTTCATGAGGTTTGCTAATAGCATGTGATATGATTAGGGATTAAATAAATTAAAGGAGATTTAAAAATGACACTTTTGTTATCAAGGGTGACTTGTTATCGAGTGTATTGTTTTCAAGGTCCCACTGTGTACAACAATTAACAATTTTAACAAATATGGTGTTTTTGGCCTCAGGAGATGTAAAAAATAAAAAGTAAATCGGGCCCTGGTCTAAGTCTTACCATGCCACCTTCGGTAATTACTTACTCCCTGTATGGAAAATTCCCCAATATAATCAAGCGGACTAAAAAAAAACAAATATACATTTATTTTATATACTAAATGTTATTATAATAAATGAGAATCTAGCTAAAGCTGCTTTCTTTTGTATGGCCAAAGGATACCTATCTATCACATGATATCTTTTTTTGTCAAACATGAAGATCAACTCTGCATGGCGAGGACGCAGGGTAGATAATGATGGGGAACAAATAGACCAGTAATTTGTTATATCTTTTATTTTCAAAAAGGTAACAACAGTCGTTATAAAAGTACATAAATATATCCCTCCAAAGTATTCAGAGAGGTATAAGGAAATCTTTTAAGCTCTGAACATCGAGTAATGAATTACTGTTCAAAAGCACTGTCACTTAAAAAACTAAGTGTTGTGGAACTTCAACATCTAATGAATATGAAAAACATTAAAATTAATAGTATAACAAAACAAGATATCATAACAGTTCTTAAACTAAATAAATATCACTAAGTTATGTAGGATATATAATGCCACAAATAACACAAACAATCAATTAAATATACTTGGAACAAAAGTTACGGTTTATTCAAGCCGATCCGTCATTCACTGTAGATCCCTGTTAACACCAAACCATCGGCCCTGGCGGCATGGTCAGTTTTGCATAAAAAAAATGCAGAATGAGTATTTTTTAATCCCTACCAAAACTTAAATTTGATTTGATATACATAAACTTAATTTTCATAACAATAAAAAAATTAGATACAAATTAAGTCTAAATAGATGGCAATTACAAGTCATATTACACGGGCAAAAATTGAATTGCCATAAGAATAATCATACTACGCAAAATTAATTCGTAGAATGTCTGATTCTTTTTCCTCCATAAAAACTAAGTAATGTTAACTAAACGCATGGTAGAGTGTCAGTGTGTGAGCTTGGTTTCCGGTGAAGGACATTAGTAATCAGCACGAATCTTCTTCACTGTAGACTTCCCTCTGAAAAAGAGTAAATAATGTTCAAAAGATAGAACTAGTCTTTTAAATTAACTATAGTACTTATTTTACCAATGGTATGATTCACTAAAATTCTTAATCATAAATTTAAACAATAAAACTATGATAAGATTCCTGAAACAGCTAGATAGAGTTTAGCTAGCTTCACCATCACTGATTCCATAGCTACACTCCCCTGAGTGTGCTGATAAGACTCATCTATTCTCGTCTTTCTGAATAAAGCTACTCCTCTTCCACTTCGGCATTAAGTCCTCTTATCTCTAGTTGTTTCTGATCCTGATCAGAAACAACTAACCACAAACAAAAACACCACACACTGAAACACTAACAACTGATCAGCTTAGCTGGGAAAATCAGGATCCAGGGGTCTATAACACCAAGAAATACAGTATTGCATACAATAACACGTTTAATCTAGTGGGGTTGACACTTTATGACAATTTTGTTAACTTGATTTTTATTAATATCACTAAAATTGTCAAAGTTGTTTGTTTATACTAACTGTACCTGCTAGATGCTAAATGTATACCTGTTATCTTGACAATTGTTAAATTCTTGTACCAATTTAAGTCTTCATTGTAAACTGGTTTATTCCATTAATAAACAAATTGAATGAAGCATAAATAGCTAAACAAATGTATGAGCTTTGGTATTCTAGAGAGTTTGGTACCTTAAAACAGCTGTTACAAATTTCTTTATGTCAAGATCTTTCTACAAACCGTTACCAACCTCTCATTCCTAGAGACCTGGAAGTAGTAATCAACTTTGTGCATTTTCGTCAGTTTGTCAATGAACTCTTCGTCATGTGTGATAACTATGAGTTGGAAGTTGGAGCTGTGGTTGGCTCGGATGTTGATAAGGTTGACAAGAGCGCTGCAGAGTCGATCAATGTTGTCTCTGTCCAGGTTCGTAGTCGGCTCGTCTAGCGTCAAGATACCACACTTGGTGCTGAATATCTCTGCCAGTGCCATCCGGATGATTAAACAAGCCAACATCTACCGACATCACCATATTGTCATAGAAATATCATGAAATTCGTATAACTTTGTGTCACAGTTTAATAGAACTAAAATACTATTAGGTACCTATTTTTTTTTACATGTGAAAGATGCCATTGTCATTTTGAAATTCATGGGAATCGTCACAGCCGATTTTCAATTATTGTTCTATTGCTTGATCCAAAAAAATTAACACTTTTCTGTGATATATTAAAATTAGTTAAAATTATTTAACTATTTGTTATAAATGAACCCTTATTGCGAAAATTGTAAGCAATGACAGATTTGAGAAAACTGTGAATGATTGGGTGCTATTTAATCTTTTCTACAAAGTTAACGAGTTCCTGCACTAGCGACGTCATTCTTTACACTTGCCAGTCCTCTTTATCTGTCCCCTTGGATACTACGGTACTGCACTAATATCTTAAATAAAACCAAGTAACCTATTCTTACAAAACATGACGCACCTTCTGGCCAGCACTACAGCGTCCCCTCATATCAATTTCTTGTCCATTCTTGATCTGCACCACTCGATAATTGTAGTTTCTACGCTTTGTCTCCGAACCTTAAACAACAAAGGTCATGTGATATTTCTATAGAATAAAAATCGGATGCAGTAGCAAACACAATAATTATTATATAATATATATCCTTGGTGAGAAGCTGTGGAAGTTTTTGTGAGTTGGTAACCTAAATACTGTCTGATGGACTCCGAATACCAAATATAACCAAATAACCAAATATACCGAATATAAAGGAAAATTATTGTTAAGATTTTATTCTGATCCCAGGATTTTCATAATGGTCAATCTGGTATTTTTAAGTAAGAAAACTAGCTACAAAATTGTTTTCACCAACTTTTATTCATTTTTAAAATGCCAATTCTGCTAGTTTTAACACTAATTTAGAATTCAAACACAAATAATACAGTATTTCAAAAGTTAATCCGACCTTGAGGTATAATTCAACTTGAAAAAGAGAACATGTTATAAAATAAACACATTAGTTTGTATACATATAAAAAAATATATAAATTGTTTGTTGTTAGGAAACAAATTTTATTTAAAACTGGTTGCTTTGAAGGTTAACAATTTGTAATAATTCTATAATCTTTACATTCTATTTCTATTATTTGTATTTTATTTATACACTCTTTTCCTTAGAGGGGCAGGCATGAGTGAAACTCTGGCTCTGGTGAGTGTGATTTAATTCAGAATCACTGTTTGCATTATGTTATGTAAATTTTGTAATTGTAATAAAGGTACAGTAGAACCCCGGTTAACCGAAATAAAGGGGGATAGCTGTTTCGGATAACCAATTTTTCAGTTAACCCATCATATGCTAAAAATAGCCAATGTATCACCACAGTCAAAGTGTGTAGAAAAAATTAATTTAAGAGAATGTCTATATAATTCAGTGTTTTATTTCAGCTACAAAAATGTTACAATGGGATAGAAAATACTTTAAACCAGACAACTGAAGTTATTAAAGCATTTTACAGCCCTATATTATTTTGTAGAACCATTTTGGTTAACCCGGGTTTCGGTTAACCCGGGTTTCGGTTAACCCGAATTCGGTTAACAGGGGTTCTACTGTATTATTAATTAAATTTATCTCACACTCAAATTTAACCTTATAAGAAAGAGTTACTTAAACACTATCACACTTCAACAGCCGATGTAAACTACAAGTTTTCCCTTACCTGTTGACAAGTCCTCGTCATTGCGTATCATGATGGTGTCGATGTCGTTGCCAGCGTATATCTGGGTCCACAGGTCTCCGATGATGTCGTTTATGTGTTTCATCCTCTGGTTGTGGAAGTGGTTAAGAGACCACTCCAGAGCTTTGCTGTACGTGTGGAGATCAGCATAGGCTGCTTCCGCCACCTGAGTCATAAGGCAATAAATTAAGTGAATTGAAGAAGCGAAATTATTTTTAGGAAGATTATAGGACTATAGACATAAAGGTGGATCTAAAAATTCATAGATGGTATACAAGAGGGATACAGCCCAAAAAATAGAAGTTTTGAAGATCAAAACTGACATAAATCACAAACTTTTTCTTTTTTTTCTATTAGGCTCTAGCTTGGGATTGTATTTCACATTACTTCAGACTAGGTCCTGGGGTTAAGGCATTATCATTTAGGTAAAACCTATTGGTGATTGGCAAGAATTTTTACCCGAGACCTCGGGGACAAAATTTCCAAACACAACCACTACACTAGCTTACAACCCCTCATAATTAAAAATAAACTGACAATAATCAAAATCAAGGAATTAAATAAAAGGGTGAGTGATTCTGAAAGAGAAGAGAAACTCAATTACAAAATATTGGGTTGGAAAAAATACATGAATACAATAAGAATCTGTTCAAAGTGGATGTAATGTATGAATACTTTAGTATAATGATAATACTTCCGCCGCAGCAAATGTGCAGAGTAAGCAAATTTCCTTTTGTCTGATCGAATTTTCACTGAAATATTTCCTTCAAAATGTTATATTAATTTCATACTTAAATAACATTAGGTTAACTATTTGAGTACTAATATATATACCTTAGTATGAAAGAGAAAACAATAAAAATCAAATTTGATCAACATCAAAAAAGATTAAATCCCTGCCAATAGCTTTTGAAAGGCCATTATTCATTAATATAATAAGGATACAAATAAAAAGAGGGCCCAATGTCAACACTTGAGGTACACCATAAATAAATTGCAGATCAATTCCAGTATGTCATAGTTATGATTCACACCATTTTTGGTCACAAATGTTCTTCACTTTTTATTATTTTAAGAGTCCATTTAAAGAAAAAAAAAACATTTATGAACATTCTCAATACAAATACCCAAGGATTGGTGGTATCGAGGAATGACACATCCCTACAAACAGGCTACAGTGGATATTGATCAAGTTTCCTTACTGAGCTAATCAAGGGATAATTAAATCTTTGGAACAGTTTGCCATGCATGTTAACAAAGGAGTGTTACCCTCAAATTGATGAGTGCATCAGAGTATTTCTTTTCAGCGTTTTTCAAGCAGCTTTGTTGCAGTTCTTTCCGCAACATTTGAATATTATTCTGCAATTCTCGCTTACGTCCTTCCGTGTGTGCTTTCTGAAAATAACAATATTTTTGAAATTTAAATTTAGCAAAGAACAGCTTCTCAGGACAGGGGCTTATTATTAAATCTGTAAAAGGTTTTGTACATAGACCTACAAGTTGGGCATACACTAAGTTGTAATTTGTACCCTTATGTACGATTTTCTTAGTCAACCTTTGACAAAAACCCCCAATGGACGTAATATTGTGAGTTCTGTGTCTTATGTCTACTATGGCCTGCCTGGACTTTTTCTAAGTGAGCTAGCTGTTATCCCGTTTTTCTTATAATAACAATAATTCAAAAAAGGATAATTATAGCCACAGTGTAATTGCTATACTGATTTAAATAACTTTGTGGGACATCAGATATGTTAGGGGCCCACTGGGCCCGCTTCTTTTCTTGTCCTTCTGTATCGATCTTGTGCTTTTCATATTCAATGTCAGCCTCAGTGCTGCATAATAACAGTAGAAACCCCATCAGATGAAAATAAGTGGGGACATGATGACAAATGCCATAGACTTTCTGCGCTAACACAAAAGGTCCAGGTCCCAATGGAATTCCATCAGACTTAAGGCAGTTGGTCGGAAATTTACAGGCCTTCTGCTAGATATGTACAACCACGGTTTATTGGAAGGCTTGTTTCCGCTGTAATGAAAATTTCAATGCCTTGTGCTGATTTCCAAGGGCAAAGGGGATCCCCGTCTGCATACAGAGCTCTATGCATGCTAGACAGGACAGGGAAGCTTTTTAAGTGACTCCTTAAGCCAAGGCTTGCAAAGGCGTAGCAAGAGGTGAACTTTCTGATTGTCAGTACGGCTTTCGAGCGTGTTGATCATTGATACAAGCTGTGAGTGAGGTGATCCGTACTTTTGAGAATGCCCAGCAGATGAACCACAAATCATGAAGGGTAGTCATGTTGGACATAAAAAATGCATTAAACTCAGCCAGGTGGGCTGACATGCTGGGTGCATTGAAAGAGGACTTCACACATCCCCTGTACCTGTTTAGAACGCTTCATAGCTATTTACGGGATCGGTAGTTGGTTTTCAACACTCCAGAAAGACTGCTGCGGAGAGATAAATCAACGGTTGCCGTTCAGGGCTCAATTCTCAAACCTGAACATCACTTACAAAGGGATCCTATGTATAGAAATGCCTCGGGAGATTTTCCTTGTTGGTTATGTGAACAATATCAAAAGGATATTGATGAGCTGCAGAAGCAGTTGGCCGTGGGTAAAGTGATGATGTGGATGGATGAATCGTGGAACGCTGTTTCTGCATTCTCCTAGGGAGTGAAGAAAGTCGAACAGCTGTGATGCACCAGTGCAGCTGACCCTGTTAGAGCATCTCTGGCGTACCAAGGCACCCTCTTGAAGTATTGCAAACAGTGTTTCCAAAAGGGTTTCCATTGTCTGGACTGATTGGTAAGGCCGGGGCCACACTCATCTTATCTCGCCGAATTTTTTCCACGGGTGTTACCTGTGGGTTTGAGAGATACATTACGGTATATGGGGCAGGCCACACTAGAGTAACAACGTCCGTGAATGCGTTTGTCTGTCTCGCTGGTTTTACCAGAGAGACTGACAAACGGAATTGCACGTTTATTCTCTACTAACATTCCACGGACGTTGCACGTAAAAACTAGTCGCGGGGCATTGCGGCTTATGGGAGTGAACACACTTATCTTATCTCGCTGAATTTTTTCCACGGACGTTTCTAGTTTTAACCCGACTGAGCACTGTAGGGGAGGGGGGGGGGGCGGAACACGGACACGGACAATTTTTATTGCCAGTGTGGCATGCTTTATCAGTCTCACTGGTTTGCCCGAAAAACCTATCTCGTAAGACGAGTGTGGCCACGGTCAAACTGTTCCACGTGCGTCGCACGTAAAAACGGAAAAAACAGTCTCGCTGGTTAAAGGTTACAAGTGTGGCCCCGGCCTAAGTGGGTACTTTACACACCAGGGTAAAGTACAACCTTTAGACCCTGATGGTGCATAAGGCATTTTCCTATAAAAAAAATTAGGTACATGAATGAAGCAAAAATAACATGAGATTGTTTAAAAAATGAATACGGTATCATGTTCAAGTGAATACTATTCATGCATGTGTTTGTTTTATCAGCATACGTTAAGTTACCACGTTATTCACTCATATTATTACTACCAAATGACGACATTTCTGAGAGCTACAAATCTAAACTTTACCTCTCTAAAGATATCTTCCTCTTTTTTCTTTAGCTTTTCTTTTTCTTGGGAGACTTTTTTTAAGTCCATTCCTCCTATCTTTGTGGATAGCTCTCTTATTTCCGCTTCAATACCCTCCTTTTCTTTTCTTTTCTGTCGTAGTTTCAAATTATCATCAAGCTCTCTTTCTCGGACCTGCAACCATAACAAAATATTTGTTAATATGCAGATATTTGTTAAATTGATGAGATAAAACTTATGATGAAATCAAACAAAGACGTTGTTGATAAGTTTTAAACTTAGATAAATTTAAGGAAAAAACATGATTTGGCTCAATAGTTTGACAACAGAATTTCCATAATTTCTCACTCCCAGCATATTATACCTCAAGGTGTTACAATAAACTTATGGCTATCACAAAACTCATCAACCTCCAGCTGTAGCCAATTTGCATTCATGAATAAGTTAGTTGAAAGTGACGTGAGTTATTCTGTAAACCAATATTGTATTGAGAAGCGCTCAAGAATAAAGGCATTTTGATTTGATTTGAAAGAGCCACTCACAGACTGTGCTACTTTGACAAACTATATTTTCTCTCTCAGTTTTTTAATTTGATACTATAATATTTTATGGGATATGAAGGATGCAATGGCTTACAGTAAATGGTACTATCAGTTTGGCTTGATTAAAAAGTGTCCATATTTAACAGAAACCAGTACTTTACATCACACACTGAAGGCTCAGCTGAGTTTATTTCATTAAAGTAGTAATTTTTTAAACAATTTTAACAGCTCGCTTTCTTGTCTGTTTGGTACAAATTTTGCAATCGATTTTAAACCAACTTCCCGATGAGCTAGAGACTTGAAACTTAAAACAGAGTTCACAATTGGATGATAATCCAATATTATATAATTTAATTTTCATATTTCCCTTGGGCTACGCCCCATGACCTTCCAAATTTTTTAAGTTTACATTTTGATGAATGTAAATATATCAATCGAAGTCAGCTGTAAAAACTTTAATTTGACAGTTTGTTCACAGAGCATAGGTTAAAAGGTACAGGTTCTGCTCCCGAGAGATTCTAAAGTTTGATGATTATGAGAATAGTAGGAACAATATGTGATTACAGATTTAAAAAAATGTTTGGTTATGTATAAATAAGCCATTAAAATAGATTTAACATATTTACACATTATTTAATAATTTATAAATAAAAAAAACGTTGTAAAATAACACGTTTTTAAACACACTAATTGAGAAAATAATTTATAAATATATGGAGAGAATAAATACTTGTAAGATTTAAAATGAAAAACGTGGGGCCATGCATGATAAGATAATAATAATTAAACAAGTTAAGATAATCATAAATTAGCTATTGAACGCGCCCCAAGTTTTTTGGTTTTTAAATCTTACAAGTATTTTTTATTCTCTCCACATATTTATAAATTATTTTCAACTTTTTAGTGCCTTTAAAAACGTGTTATTTTACAAGTTTTTTTATTTATATATTTGTTATTGTTTTTTTAACCGACCTGCTGGTTAGTGAGATGAGCCTTCACTTCATCCATCTGCTCCAGCAACTCCTTCTTGTTGCCTAGTACAGCCTCCTTGTCTCGCTCCAATCTGCTGATGTTCTGCCGAGTTGCAGCCAACTTGTCAGAGCCGTTGCACTTCTCATATCTTGTAATTGCCTCTTGCAACTTGCGAACTTCGTTACACTGAGTCACCAACCTGTTCACCTGCGAAAATTGTGACGGCTTTAGCTTGTGTTGTTCAAAGAGTATTTGGCTATTGAAAGTAGTTTTGTATGTTTTATTTTGTTAATTTGTTGTACATATTAGTCTGGTAGGAATAAAGGAGGGTTTAACACATTTGATCTCTTTTAAGAAGAAAGTGTATAAATGGAAGAAGGTGTATAAACTACTGCTCACGCAAAAAAATTTTACAAGATATCTCCCTCAACACACTTTTAAAACTTTGATACGGCAGATTTCAAAAAAATTCCACCCCCCCCCCCCCTTCAAAAAGTTACCGCCCTTTACCCTCAAACCCCCTTATACTCTCATTCCCCACCACTCACCTACTACCTTCAACCCCCAATACATACTCCTCCCCCTCCACTCGCCTACACCTTCAACTTCTCCTACAAACTTAATTTCCCGGCACTCCTGTACTACCCTTAATCTATTCTACTATCCTCAAATCCCACCTATTCCTTCATTCCCGCCACTCCTACTACCCTCCACCCATCCACCGCCCTCATACCCACAACCACCACTACACTTAATTACCTTAGCCCTCTCAGTCTCCAGTTTCTTCTTGTGAGTGTTGCGAGCCACCTCCTTGTCTCGTATGGCTGCCTCCAGCCGTTCGCTGACTGGTAGCATCTGCTCGTTGATCTGTGCAAACTCCTCCAGTAACATCAGTTCAGCTACCTGCAGTTCTGACAGTTTATCATCCAACTGCTTCTTCTGCTGTACTCCTCCCTGGATCTGTATTACAAGAGCAAATCAGCGACGTTAACATGGTACCAGAACAATCTGTAGTTGTTTTACCAGAAAATAGGTAAATTTTGTATCGAGTTAACTTAACAAAAGTTATTAGTTTTTTTTTGCTGTCTTACTTACACACCTTAGGACTCTAGGCTCTAGCCCATAACCGTTCTACACATTACTTCAGGCTTGTCCTTATGGGTTGCAGCATTACACTTAGATATAGGCTAATCCATTGGCGATTAGCAGGATGTAAATCTGGAACCTCGGGGACTGAAGTTCCATGCTCTACCACTAGACCCTCTCGCTCCCCAGTGGTATGAGACCACCAATCCAAGTTGATAGTGGGATATAGTATTTTTGTTTGAAGTTTATTGGTAGTGTAGAAGGATGTATAATTTTCTTGGCTTTTGATCGAATATCAACGTACACTTATAAACTGTTTTTACATAAGAGTTAACAACAAACAATTGTCAGGGAAAAATTTCTGTTGCACTTAACTTCGGAGTAAAAATTGCTTAGTTGGAGAACTATAATAAAATCGACAAAGTAATAAAATATGACAGAAATAATGATTTATTCAATTTTAAGATACAAAAAAACTGCTTTGATTTCATACAATTTTTAACTACAAAATATTCCCTTCCTTAGTATGCCTCATCAAATAGTTGGCAAAACAAATATTACGGTGTTATATTTCTACTGAGCTAGAGGTTCCCTAACTTTTCTACAAAGCGTAACCTAAAAAATACATTTTCATAGAAAAAAGCCTCTCTATACCTTGAGTTGCTGCTCAACTATGGAGTTCTTCTCAGATTGCATCTTGTGCAGCTGCTGATTGTGGCGGTCTCTCTGGGCTTGAGCAGAGTGTAAACTCTTACGCAGGGTCTGTAGTTCTGTACGCAGCTTGTCCTGCTCACTTGTTGCTTCCTGCAGTGTTCTGTTGGATCCTAAAACATTGTTGTAACTGAAAATTATTATTCCTTGAGTCCACAACAGGCCAAAAGTACTGATAAAAGTAGTGGCAGGTTCATGATCTGAGCTCACGACATCTCTGCCTTGGGCCCGAAGTCTATTGTGCTGCTGACTGAGCCACAAACTCACATTATCTAAATTTCAGAAATTTTTAATTCCCTTATGGTAAAGTAGTTTTTGTTGTACTTTTACTAACAACCTTTGAATGATTACCTTAACGATGTCTTTTTTAACGAATCAAAAACAGTTAAGTTGCTTAAGACAGGGAAAAAGTGAAGCACAACATCAATGGGAAGACGGTCGTAACGGGCACCACTAAAGATGACGACTAGTGAACAGAAAGCTTTTTGTGTTTTACAGTTTGTAAGATAAAATCTGTAGTCATGGGAAAAGTCGTTGAATCTATAGTCGGAATCACGGTGCCAGCAAACAAAACTGTTTGGTTTTCTTTTTCATTTGATGTGTCATTTATAGCAGTGAGTTTACTGTAATAAATAATAGTTAATATTATAGTGTTAAGACCACGATATTCATCATGAAACGTCCGGTATTACTACAAAAGTTGATTTCTCATTTTAAAAGTTTTATTAGTGATGAACTATACGTAGTTATTACCTGAGTTCATATAGCCTATTGAAGATTTGTAAATACTCTAAATAAGGTTGTGTTGATACGTACTGTTAAATTTTAATAGTAAAAAAATTAAACCAAATACAAGATGAAATTAGTAAAAAAAAAAAAAAAAAAACATGTGTGGAAGAAATTGATGAAAATGATAAGTGAGAAAATTCATCGATAATAAAAGCTGTGGATCAGATTAACCCAGAAGGAACCCAGAAGGCAGGAGACCACTTGACAGCGATGGAGGAGTCAGATGCTGAAGGATATGGCTGTGTTGGGCACTACTCCTGAGGCAGCCGAGAGCAGAGAAGATTGGAGAGGCATTGTAGGCGAGGCCAAAAACTTTCTTAGGTTTCAATGGCCAAGGTGGTAAAGTAGGGTAAGGATGAAATTGTTAAAATGTTGTAAATTACACTTTTACCATTAGATTATGTTAATTACCATACTTATTTATTATTTTTATTTTTAAAACTGAGTTTATTAATAAACTTTGCCTATTAGACACAGTAAAAAAAAAACTTAAATTTACGATATAAATAACATGTAACATAGATTAATAACGTTGTCCATATAAATGATTTTGAATGATTTTACATGATTCTTTTAGCACTTTTATGACTATTTCATTTTTTAATTTTGATGGAAGATTATATTTTTTTTAAATTCGTCAAAAAATTTTGTAATAGTCCCTCTTGCACCAATCATTATGCCGATTACTGATATTGAATTTAGATTATATTTGTTTCTTAAATAAGTTTCACATTTACTATAAATTTTCCTCTTTTCTTCATCTACTTCTAGGGGTTGGTTTGATGATGTTTCGAACCTTATTGTTGGATCAATTACAATTCCACTTTTAGATTTTGTATCATAAATTAAAATGTCCAATTTTCTGTTCGATCTACCATCTTCAGTGCAATGTATTTCTTCTACTACTTGCCAGCCTTTTTTTCGTAGTTCTTCTGCGATCATTGCTCTTACAGCATGGTGTCTTGCATTACGCAGTAAGGCACCAAAGGGACAAGAGCCAAGGACATGCGGAAGGGTTTCAGGCTCCTTGCAATGTCTGCAAAGGGTTCCATCCTGGCTTCGCCCTGGTACGCTGCGTACTGGTACAACACCAGATATCATTTTTAATGAAGTGATCCATTCTCCTGTAGTAAGGCCATTTTTTTAATAAATCCATGTGTTGCTACTAGGCACTTCTTTGAATAATTCTATTCCTCTACCTTTACATGGTAATTTAGACCAAAGTTCAAATTCTTTCAACTGTAATTTTGATCTCAAATTTAAACCAATTCTTTTTTTCTCTTTAAATTCAAAATCATGTGTAAAAATATCATCAATTTCTATTTGAAGTTTTTGAAGTGACATGGTAATTCTTTGGGGGATGTTTATTAGCTCGTTTACATGGCTATTTTGTACGTTTTTTAGAATTACACACATATTTATATGCTGTATAGAACTTTCCCATTTTGCTCGAATTATTCCCAGACCTTTGAACCTTTTAGGGGAATATAAGAAAGAATTGGGTGTGTCACTTGGTAGAGTGCCAGATAATGGTAATAAAAGTTTATATTTACCTCCTTGTGGCATCCTAGCTTGCAGTTTTGTTATATTTTGCTCCAAGCGTTTCAATTCACTTTGGTGCTGATCCAACAAGGCTACGTCTCCCTGAAAAATCAGTAAATTTGATTCAGTTCATCTCCATATGAACAGTTACTCATACAAATCAAGATAAAAGGACAACAAATTATTAATTTTTGGACTAAAAGCTAGTTAATTGAAAAACAAATTAATTTACTTAATATTAGTAGTAGGTTTTTTTTCATTCTTTGTGACACATTCTATCTTTTCATCTAGCTCATAGACTTCCTCTTGTTTGGATCGTTTAGTTTGTGCTTTCGGTGGTTTGGACGGTTTCTTGTGAATAACCAATGTAAGCTGATTCACACATCCCTTTTCATAGGTAGATACACAGAAAAACAAGTCATAACCTGTTTATTAGGGCTGTTTGATATGTACAGATGTAATTGCTGTTCCTTTATTGTTTAGTATAATCAAGTATTATAGTAATTTTTCACTTTATCAATTATTAATGAGATAGTGACACACACTTAGATGAATATTTAAGCTGAATATGAATATATATATATATATATATATATATATATATATATATATATATAATATATATATATAATATATATATATAAAAGTTTATCGGCATGCCACAAATTGTTGAGTTCTCGCCTACTCTCACAGAAAACTAAAATCCGTATATACAAAACTATAATAAGACCAGTATTACTATATGGCTCAGAGAATTGGGTGATAAGCAAGAGAACTGAGAAACGACTTATAGTGTTCGAAAACAAGATTCTAAGGAAAATCTTTGGACCAACCTTTGAAAACGGAGAATGGAGAGTTAAGCACAACAGGGAGTTGAGAGAGTTGTACAGGGACCCAGATATTGTGGCTGAGGTGAGAAGTAGGAGATTGAGATGGGCAGGCCATGTGTTAAGAAAGGAAGAGGGATCCTTAGTGAGAAACGCCCTAAACAACAATCCCGAGGGTAGAAGACCTCCTGGAAGGCCCAAGTTGAGGTGGAGAGATCAAGTGAGAAGAGATCTGAGAAGAATGGGAAGAAGAGAGGATGAAGCAATGGATCGTGCAGTCTGGAGGCAGTGTGTTGGCGAGGCAAAGTACCTCCTTGGGTACCAAGAGCCACGGCAGTAAGTAAGTAAGTAAGTATATATATAATCGCCTGATGGTTTTACATATTTTATTTTAGCCTGAATACAGGACTGATCCCAAGTTGCCTGGACAAGAGGTTCATATCATTTTCTAAATTTTAGCCTCCAGATTGCAATTTAATAGAAATAAATTGCAAGTAACTGCATTCATGCAATCCAAAATGTTGCTTAAGAAAAACTTCTGACTAACTGATAAACCCACGTAATAATATTAGAGTTGACAGACTTTAAACAAAGCAACAGGGCCTTGAAAACTGAACCTAGAGATGAATGTCGGTTAGTCAAATTAGTTGCTTTGTAGCAAAATTTAGGATTACATAAATGCAGGGAGAGACACTAATATTTTGAATTTCTAGCATTAACAACCTACTTGAATACTCTTAGCCATTGCTTCGTCTGACTGAGGGCTCATGAGGTCACTCTGTAGTTGAGAAAGTTCTTGCCTCACTGCCTCCAACTTACGCTCCACCGTCTCTAACTGTGACCTGGCAAACAAAAAATGGATGACTTTGGTTGCAGGCTAGAGATATGTTAATGACGTTTGCTCAATAGTTAAACTCAAAAGAATCTCCTCTACTGGTGGGAGAGGCCCACCTAAGATATAAACTGAATGGTTTAGATGAAAGTCGTCAGAATGATGGATTCTTCGTGAATTGCACAGTTGATTGATAGCTTGTTTCATAAAAAAAATTGTTATTTAGTACACAAGTTGGAGAAACTTATATTTATTACTGATAAGTCTAGAAGGGTTGAAGATAGAAATCAGAAAAAAGTTATGGCAAAGATCTTATACTCACTGTAAGCCAGGTATCTCCTCATTCTTGAGCCTAGCAATGCGCTCGTATGTCGGCCGCAACTGTTGTAACCTGCTCTGTTGCTCTAGCAGCCGCTCTAGTTCTCGCTCCTTCTGCTCTATATTCCGCGGCAAGCTTTGCATCCGGCCTTCCAGCTAATCACAAAACACAACTTGACTTGTGGTAAAGAAATCACAAACTCTCTCAATCTTACTACAGAAATGAACAGTGGTAGTATTGAATTATACCACTGTTTGTACTTTTCATACTTTTTCTGAGAATATAACCATGAAAATATAACAATTCCAACATAAATGACATTGTTTGACAACCACACATACCTCAGTGATAAGATCTGTAGACTCCTGGGCCTCTTGAAAGCTCCGGTGACACAACGGACAGCAAGGCTTATCTTTCTGCAGCTTCTCTATGTATCTTCCGAACATGAACTCGGACGCCTTCAGAGTACCTTTTTCAGCCTGGAAATATTTACAAGACTTTCAAACCAACAAGTCATTTTTAAACCAAGAACCAAGTCAAGACAGGTTGATACAATTTTCCACTGCAGAAGGGCATTCATTTAGTTCCCCTGAGTCAAATTAAACTAAGAAAAGTTTCGGTTTAAAGATTTAAAAGTTTCTAAATTAAATATTTTGAAAGTTCTGGTTTTGAAATTGCTGACATTTTTTGGCATCCATATTTTTTCTGTTAACACCATTTACAATCAAGCTGGCAGCAATGGAGCAAACAAATCATCAGTAACACTGATGTAACAAGTAATATAGAGTGTAACAGGCATATTTATGCAAGTGTAAGGAGTTAAATTTATTTTATTTTAGTGTTTGTGATTTTTAAGGTTTAATTTACTAGCCACATATTCAAATTATTATTATGTCAGGGTCTGGGTCCAATTTCTTTCAGATTTGATAGTATAATAAAAATTTTATTATTACCTTTATTTTTTTAGCCTTGACTGGACAAATAAAAAAGTTTCGCGTTTCAGTTTTGACATTCGAGATTGGGATTTGATTTTTAAGTTTCGGTTTTGTTGAGATTCTAAATTGCTGGTTTTGACCATCACTACAACACGTAAAACCTCCTAAATGTTACCTGCAGTTACAGACAGTTACCTACAGTTAGCTGCAGACAAAAATTGGGACGCTCTTTTTATGTGAATGAATAAATAAACTGGCGCACCTGTATATTGTCCACCTGTGCTGTCACCTCTTCCAATACCACCTCGTAATCTCGACTCTCACAGGCGTTGTACAGCTCCTCCTGATCTTGCGCCAAAGCTCTCGTCTTCTCCTGGTGTTGCGCCCTCAAGTGTTTACGGTCCGTCTCCAACGTCACCAACTGTCGCTGCTTCTCTGTGATGCGCGACTGTAGCGTCCGGATGTCATGAGCCTGCAATGCAATCAAATTCTGGGTAACTTACCAAGTCAACAGAAAATACAAATGTTCTACATATTATAAATTCTTTCATTTTCATTTTTTATTTATAGTTCATCCTTATGTGATTTTTTTAAATATCCTAATATTAATACAGTCTTACTTTTTCATTCCTAAAAAACTCTACTGACACGGAGTCCATAAATGTTATAAAGATAGTGACATACTTTGTGTAATACTAGAATTTATGACCAGGTTCATTTAATTGATGATTTTAAAAACACACCAACACACTCTTTTATTGTACACTTAAAAGTATTGTTCGCCTAGCTTTTACCCCAAAATTTTACTAGAAAAAACATTAAGCATTACAATTTCCAACATTCACATTTAAACTGGAAATTTCATTACTTAATTCAGGTTTTATACGTTAAACAACATTGTTTACAATTTTGCCCTGTTGAGTGGGTCTGTCTATGGACTGGAAAATAACACAGAATTATTCTTTCTGCCATTCCCCTATCCCCTCTGCAAGTTACTGAAGACAACAAAGGTTAAGTCTTACCAATCTGTCAATACAAGACTGTAGTTGATGTTTGATTCCTGAATCTGGAATGTTGCCTAGCAGATGGACCAGGTTGTCTTCTGTCTTGTTTCTCCTGAAGCAACATTACAGACAATTTTAATAAACAATGTAGCGTACAGTGTACCAGTGTACATAACGAAAACATCTTCAATCACGTCAGAGCTAACACGTTCGCTGAGGGCCACTCACCAGAGAGTACTCTACTTCCTTTCCGCCACAATAAACGCTCACCAGTGAGTGCCGGCATCGCCTACATTCCATTCAATTTCCGTGCAACAGCACACCGGGAAGAACGGGCATTTTTATGTCTGAGTTTAGCTAGGAGTGAGTGCTTTGTTGTGGTGTAGGTTGGTAGTAAATTTCCCCTTGAAATCCTTTTCTGGCTAGCTTAGAAATCAACTTGTTGTAACCTCTTCCTCCCTCCAATTGGCAATACAATGGGACCGACTAGTTCCAGCACATCACCACATGTCATTTGTTATTCTTCAGACCAAAATATTTTATAGCCAAACGGGTTCACTCAATGCTGCGCCGGACTGGGGCCCGTTGGTGGGCTGCAGTGAACGTGTTAAACAACCGGCCTATAGTATTTAGTATTTTAACTCTGTGGGTATGGCTTTATAATTTCTGAGGTAGTGGAAAACTTGCATCAGGTCAATATAGAGTGGATTTTTTGTGGATTCAGTTTCAAGAAGAATATTAATTGATAAAGCTAGTTGTGGTATTGTAGGCTATAATGTTCAATTCTACCGAGTGACAGAGTTTTGAACTATTATATTGTTGTAATAGCACAATGCGGCAACAACGTGTCCTGTTAGTTTTCATACTTGCTAACACACTTAAATGAAACTGACTGCGAGAACTCAAGATTTTTTAACTTAAGAAACCTTTTATGTGCTCCTAATGAACTACTGTGATCGCAGTAAAACTAAAACTATTGTACACCAATAGATACCACTACACATGTCAATTCTTGGTTTCGGTATTTCAAGAAAAACCAGTTAAACTAACAACCAACCCATCCCTATTTTATAAGTATCAAACTTACAGTTTGCGAATCTCTGCTTCTTTGGCAATCTTTGCTTCATTCTGTACGTTGAGTTCCGTCTGTAGCTGACTCACCGACTGCAGCTCTCTCACTTCTTTGTCTAGACTTGTCAACTCATCTTCTAACCTTAGAGAATGCAAACAACTTAATACAGATTACAATTTTAAACACTATCTAGATAAAAAACAAAAATAGTGTTTTGCTGTTGATGATTTAAACTGAATCTGCTGGTTCTAGTTACAAAGCTCACATAACATCTATAGTTCCCATCTTATAATAATTTTTTCGTCATACTGCAGTAAAAACAGCCGTTTTTAATGAATGCGTTGCGGGTCTTAAGTAGTATCTTTGATACAACTAGAAATTTCATCCCCATGTTAAATTTGTAGCCAGATTTTTATCAAATTCGTCGTGGTTGATGTGAGCCCCTGGGGACAGATTGCGCTGATCTGAGTTACCAAATCAAACTTAGGCAATGACTTATGGTGAGCTATAGCAATTGTTACCACTAATCTACTGAACCATCAACAAAAAATAAGGTAGGAAGAAAATTGAGTTTTAGTATCTAACGCATTCTGTGACTAGCTCACACAACTACGTTATTTTTTTATAAAAAACTGGCGACAGCTGGTCCATATAGATGGGAGGGATGGCTACTTCAGTATAAACTATTCATTAGTCAATGATAAAGGTTATTTAAGATTTTTCATGATATGCCTCTAATATCAACAAACTGGTACTGTAAAACAAAATTTATCTAAATATTGACTATTGAGTGGTACCTTTGACTGATACAACTAATCATGCCATCCCCATGTTGAAGTTGTCGCCAGATTTTTTATCAAAATTGCCGTATTTGATGTGAGCCGCCAACAGATTTTGCTGATCTAAATTACTAATTTTTCCCGAATACATAACTTTTTGTTAGCTACAGCAACTGTTATGGCCTATTAACTTGGTCAGCAACAAAAAAATAAGGCAGAAAAAAGTGTTTGACAGTACCGGTAGCGCAAAGAGTTCTTTTTAGCGAATTTCCCTATAGGGAAGTAGCTATTACCGTAGGTCTCATGGTAAGACTTAGGCCCGGGACCGATTTACTTTTTCATTTTGATGTCCCCAGAGGCCAAAAACACCATTCGTTCAAAATTTTATATATGTATATATATATATATAGATATATATATAGATATATATATATATAGATTTATATATATATGTGTCCGTGAACACGATAACTTGAGTAATTTTTATCCGATTTTGATGAAATTTGGTTTGAAGGTGTAAGGCGGGATAAACTTGAATGAGTTCGCGATCCAGCATGATCGAACCATGGGAACAGGATTTTATGGGGTAAAAATTGGTTTTTCTCACTTTTGACCCTCAAAACACAAAATTTTCCAATTTTTCTCTAAACCTTCTTAAAGAGCTTAAAAAAACAAACAATTTAGTATATCAAAGTGTTTTTGTACGGTTATTGGTTACGGAGAAAACTAAAAAAAATTTAAATTTAAAATTCCCATGTTATTCTTATGGAGAATATTGTAAAATGTTGTAGTTTGCTTGTTTATGGATATCTTTTGATCAAACTTGGCAAATATATTCATTTTATACTAAGCAAAAATTATTTTACTTAAAAACACACACTTTATTAGTTTCCTTGTAGCAGCAAACCTAGGTACTCGTTAAACCTAATGTTATTTAAATAGATCAATTGAAAATCAATTCAGCCAAATGGAAATTCGCTTGGACGGCAGGTTTGCTGCGGCGGGGGTATTTTAATAAAAAATTGGCAACAGCTGGTCCATATGGATGGGATGTCTCCTTCAGTATCCAATAGTAAATAGTAGTACACTGGTTTTGAAATAACAGGTGATTAATGGGCTACTGTCAAAGTTTGTTGGCAACATTGATGTCTCCGTGTCCATGGGAGATGTTCAATATTTCCTTGTGATCTTGGAGACAGTGGTGATGTCTGATGTTTACAAGATTGCAGTAGACATCCAGGATGTTGCCACAATCGTGGATCACGATGATGTCTCTGCAACAGTGGGAGCCAAAAGCTCAATCAAAATCTCCGGTTCAATTTAATTTGCTCAACCAATTTCTATTAAAGACTTACTTATCCCTGCGTGTCTCAGAAGTCTTGATGTCCTGTTCTAGCTGTGTAAGATCCATGGCTTTGCTGAGATCCTCCATGGATTTCTGAACTCTCTCCAAAGATTTCTGTAATCTATTCAACTTGTCTGTTGACTGGTTCACCTGCACACAATAATGAAAATAAATCAATACTTTATAATTGATTATAGATATTGAGTCATAATCCTGGTGTATATCAACAGTAGTCGAATCCCTTAAGAGTCTTTGGAGCCTAGACACTCCAAATCGTAAAACACCGTTAGCTTCCATGGACTCCCTTGGAGAACAATTCAAAACTATTAAGAACATTTCTAATCTCACAGTTTACTAGATATTTAAACTATAATCACTTCGGTGTTTGAAAAAATATTTTTGGCTGATAAATAAGTAACTCTCCAGCAACTGTTTGAAATCATCCGAGATGGCTGCTAGCCTCTAACGACTTTTAAATGTTACTTTGAAGACAATCAGAAATGCCATTGACTTTCGGATACCAGAGTAATCATAACTGTTTTATGTACTAGCTGCAGCCAATTTGTGAAAAATAGATGGTAGATGAATAAGGAACTCTAGGGTTTGCTATAGTCAGATTTCCATTTCCTCTAATCGATTTGTTACATTCTAGTTCACGTTTGGCTTGCTTAACAAGTTAAGCATAAATAAGCGATTGATATCAGGACACTGTCGGAGGCTCGATTTAACCATTTCCATTTTCATTATAAAACTGGCAACAACTTTAAAGGGAGAAAATAGAATGTTGACAACTGACAGCTGGTCCATACAGATGGGATGTCTACTCTACAGTCTAACATACCTCGTCAATCTCCGCCTTGATTCTCTTAGTGTCCTGCTGGTTGGTTTTTATCTGCTGGTTCTTGATCTGGGACTGTTGCTCCAGCCTGGTCTTTTCCTCTCTTACGCTGTCAATTGTGCGTTGCAACGTCGCATCCTCAGCGTCACCAGCCTCGCGCAACTCTTCCAGCTGAGCCTCGGCATTGCGTATTGCGCGTTCCACACTTCCCAAGGAGCGAACAACATCGCCTTCTGTCAGCACCGAGGCTGTTAACAAAATCGTGGGTGTTATTAAATTAAATGAAAATTCATTCAAATATGCCTAATAACACTTGTACTGTTGGCAAAGACAACATACATACAAAAGATGGTAAGTAGTAATTGATTGTGATTGGACACTCCAATCATCATCAGACCCAAAAGGTGAATTTTATTTAGTGATGCTACAAAATGGCATTCACAATCTGAATTGGAAAGTGAAGGAACTGAAATATTACAACAAATCAGAGACAAGTCCGACTCACCAGAAAGGTCCAGCTGGTCAGACAATAAGCCCAAAGCTTTGTTGCGCTGCTCGATCCGTTCACTGTTTTGTTCTTCATCCCTTGTGAGCTGGCCGAGTTTTACCTACATTCAAGATCAAGTTAGCACATCTCACATTATCTGAATGTAAAATTATCAGGTGGTCAACAGCTGTTACAAATTATTTTGTCAGGCAAAGACAAAAACATCTTTACGACATATTATAGTAAACATGGCTGTTTTCAATACATGCATTGCGAGGCTAAGTGTATTTTTTATGTCCCAAGGTCAATAGAGTTAGCAGCTGGAATCAGGGACATTAGCTGTATATTTGTCTCACAAGTAAACTTTGATTGCAAGTAATCAGAATGTAAACTTCATATTTTGTTGTGGTGTTTCCGGACCAATTGATTGACAAATAAATAAAAGGTTAAAATACCTGCTTGTCGCCTTGTGGTCCAAGTGTTGTCCTAGTGGATTATGTACATTTCGGCGCGAGCGCCATCGTCGGATCCATATACACACGTCTGGCGCGCCTCCATATCCTGCCCGTGCACGCGTAGCAAGAGTTAAAAAATGTTAATTAACGGTCGACCGGTTTTTATATGTGTTTTGTGTTGTGATCATCTTACGCACCTCTACAGGGAAGTTTAGTGTAAACAGTTCTTATATGGATCCGACGATGGCGCTCGCGCCGAAATGTACATAATCCACTAGGACAACACTTGGACCACAAGGCGACAAGCAGGTATTTTAACCTTTTATTTAGAATGTAAACATTTAGTATCGATTGTAGTTTATTGTTTCATTTTCGGTTCTGTTGACTGGATTTTAAATTGTTTACTTTAAACAATTTGAATCCCACAAGATTGGTGACAAGGGAAACAATCGCAAAAAACCAAGAAATTCAAGTTTACCATTACAGTAGCTAGAATGATAAATAGATATTTAATTTCAACAGTAGAATATGGAGGGAAGATGTTCACAGTGAGTATAAAATGTTCCTTCTAAGTTATACAAAAGAGAAAATGTCAATTTGTTGCAACATTTACATTAGACTAACACTTGTTCAGGCAAAATTGCCAAAAGGTATTTAAAATCAACTCAAAACTGTATGACATAATAGTAAAAACTGTATCTTTTGTTTCATGAGCTTAAGTAAAAAAGGGAAAAACCAAAAGAGATAAGAAGGGGGGGAAGAGATAGAAAGTGAAAGAATACATTACGGGCTATGTATTTAAAAAAAAAATAAATAAATATAAAATTACCTGCTCAGTGTTCAGTTGCTTTAGAAGTCCTTGTTCATCTCTCTCTGATCTTTTCAGTTCTGCCTCCAGTCCTTTCAGCTTAGACTCTTGCTGACTTTAATTAACAAAAATACAACTTTACAACTTGAGCTCTTTGGTATTGGTGTTAATGGTACTATGGGTTAGAATAGAAAATCAATAGTATTTAACAAACTATGCTCATGCTGATTTCTACTTATACTTAAAGACAGATTTAGTTTAGTACTGGTACCAAGAAATAAATCACACCCCTTACATACGTTGTATTAATGCTACAGTACCTGAATGTTACTGTATTATCATGTGATTGTAAATTAATTCCTACAATACGAACTAAAACCAAAAAAGACTTATTTGATTTATTTTTTACATTTGTTTTATTAATTTTCAACATAAGAAATGTTTAGGATTAAAATAAAACAGATTGACAATAAAGTCCATCATAATAAATTGAAATTTCACTGGAACTTAAATATAAAAGCCAAAATTTGTTGTAAATAAAACATGAGTTCCCTTTGTATTGCTTTTATAATCAAAATAAACTATACCGAGCCATGGCTCGGTCCCCTGTTACTATATAGCTGATAGCAATAATTAATTACTTTTGTAACACACTAGCCTTCAATAAGTTATATTAGGTATTTAGATGTTGGTGTGTAGTTATAATGCTTACATTATGCCCCAATAACACGTTGCAACTCGTTTCCAACACTTACTTGCTGTCCTGTCTCACCCATGTGGTTTCCCAACGGGGCCTACTATACAGTGCAATTTAGTTTCAAGGCGTAAAACTAGCAAAGAAACAGACCACAACAAGTTTCATGTTTCTGCAAATTGTGGGGCGTTGGGCAATATGAAACTATTTATTATACATTCTGAAAACAGTGCACGCACACTATCTTTTCTTCTTTTCTTTCATCACAGTGTTCTTGTTGGTAAGTTTATCTTTTATGAAGGCAAAACCAAAATTTAATCAAATCATGACTTTGACTTTCAGAAATGATTGCAAAAACTTTTTTTCTTTAGCACAAAGGTTGATTTCTGATGATTGGGCATACAGTGAATCACATCGGTTTCCTTCTCCCCCTTCTCTTATTCAGCAGAGCTAAGAATAAAATGCCAGCAGTAAACCACGCACCATGGCGTGGTTGAGAGGGTCACTACACTACAACTTCTATGCTGCCAATTAAGAAATGATTGCAGGTGAAACCATCATTATTGCATGCAACTCAATGAAACTAAGTTTCGGAAACAGAGTTGCAGCGTATTACACTCAGCTCAGGGTAGAACCATACAGTTCCCCACTATATTATGTTTCATACGTACCTGGATTGATCTCGGAAGTCGTCAATGGCTTTGCGGAGGTCTTCCAAGGATCCCTGGAACTCTACGGTGATTGCAATCTCATAGTCTTGTATGTTGTTTTGGACCGATTCTAGTTTGGTATTCTTCTTTTCTTTCTCTGTTATCAGTTGTCCTATGTCCATCTCCCTGCATATCAGCTCGCTCAGTCGCCCTTGTCAAAAATACAAATTAATTTAAGTTTTTTTAGGGAATTCTCCATATAGGTAATATTAGTGAATTTCCATGGTCTGGAATAAGCTATAACAAAGATCTCACAGTAAGACTTAGACCGGGAACTGAATTACTTTTTCCTTACTGTGTCTTATTCAAATATATATATCCGTTAGAGCAATAAATCAAGTGAACATTTCTTTATTTTGATGAAATTAGTACATACCTAAATTTATTCAAAGGTGTTCCTGTGTTTTACCACCAAAACATAAAATTTTGCAATTTTATTCTCAACCCTTTTGTAAATTAAAGCTTAAAAAATACAAAAGGCTTAATTTAGAATACTGAAGCGTTGTTGTGCGCTCAACGATTAGGCCTACAGGAAAAATAATTTTTGTCAATGAAAATGAAAATAAAAAATTCAATGTTATTTTTATGGAGTAATCTAAACTGTTTCTGAACTTAAGCTCGCTTGTTTATTGGTTCTGCTTATAAATATTTATTTGTTTTTTTGACAATTTAATTTGTTTAAACTTTAACCAAGCTTTCAACATGTAACTAAAAACACTTTATTACCTTCACTGTAACATTAAACCTAAGAACTTGTTAAACCTCAAATCAATGTATTATTCAATTTAATAAGGAGATATTTTAGTGAAAATACAACTAGGCAAATGGAAATTGGCTTAGTCTGTAGGTTTGCTGCAATGGGGGGAGGAGTTTTCCACATATCAAAGAGGTAGGAAGTAAGATAAAATCTTCTGATACTGTCTTATCATCATAATCTTATCATCTTATCACATTACCATATTGTGTAACACTTTACATAGCATATAGTGTTTGTTTTATCGTTTTATGTTGTAACGAGTCCTCATCTAATTCAATACTGTGCCAAGAAACCTTCCTTGAATATTTAAACCGGCATAAACTTCTTGGTTATGATTTGGTTGTATGTATAGAAATTTTAAATTAGTTTTATGATGATAGAAAACAAAATTATGGTAATTGAGTTTTAATAATAATCCAATTGAGTTTTTAAAAATAGTATATTTCTTACCTAGGGTCGAAAATGAGGTTTTGCCGGCTCGAGATAGTTTTTAAGTTCGAGACGAACTTAAAACGATCTAGAGCTGCAAAACCATTTCGGTTTGTGGTACGAACGCTATTTTTCACCACACGCCCTATTACCCTATTACCACTATTCACCACAATAATAATGGACACTGATAGTCAACACAACTACAACTTTAAGGTTATGTTGATAAATAATTTGAGGAATCAGCAAAAATAATAATAAATAGTTGATAGGCAGCGGTGACAATAAAACAATTCTATTGCAATGCTATGGATACTGATTGTGTATTTAATATGCATTCATGTTTCGAGAAAGTAAGCGGGCAGCTGATTTTGCGGCCCTAGGGATGTAAAAACCTGCTCGGTCCCCAAATGACGATGACAGCTGGCATGGCCAGCAAAACGTAACTTTCAGCCACCAATTAACGTATGTAAAACAGCTAAAATCATCATAGTGTGGTGAAAAAAACATTTTTGTATTTTAACCTTGGATAAAAAGAGTGGTAATTTATAATTACTTTTAACTGGAGCCAATTCATTATCGAACTCAGTAATTTGATCATTGATTGTGTTTAGTCGTGTTTCTTCTTCACTTAGATGACTCTTCTTTGTAGCAGCTTCCGTTTTCTTATTTAAAGTCTCTTTTAAATCATATTGCTTTGCTGCAATGTCTGAAAGAAACACAAAAATGGAAATAGAATAAGACATATCAATTTAGATCAAAGTTAAGTCCAAGCACTGAATTCAGGGTCTTTCGGTAAGAGGATTGTCAAGTTGGTATTTACACTATGTCCAAACCAGACGTTTCGCCCATTTTATGATGAGACATCCTTAGGGGCAAAGCTAAGACTAGGGATGCGCCGAAAAAATGACAGTTGTCTGACCTAAACAGTTGTCAGAAAACTGTTTTCTGAAACTGCCTGTTGTCAGAAAACTGTTTTCTGAAACTGCCTGTTGTCAGAAAACTGTTTTCTGAAACTGCCTGTTGTCAAAAACTGTTTTCTGAAACTGCCTGTTGTCAGAAAACTGTTTTCTGAAACTGCCTGTTGTCAAAAAAAACAGTTTAAGTGGAAACCGTTACAAAGATGCAGGGTCGCGACAGCAGCTTGACACTATCAAAGGATCTAACTAAACAGTTAGACACACAGCAAAACAAAAAAAAAAAACAGCTTTGCTGGCTCTAAACTGTTTCTGGCAGGCGAAGCATAGGCCTATTCTCCAAACCCCCATTCCCTCAACGTGCTATGTCGACAGATCACATTTCTTAACGTCAACCAGAAACAAATGTAATAGTATTTTATCATTTTTTATCTGTGTAGTTTTATAATTTTATACAGATTTTACATTAGCCCCTAATGTAAACAATTAAACTGCAGTAATTTGTTTTTCTTTTATTCAACATTACTCTATTTATCATTCAAGAAGTGAGATACCGTATGTCAATTACTTATACAGAGCTAGCTTCCTCACAAATATTTTTTTGGCCAGAACAAGCCACAGTTTTTTTAAAGTAAATTTATTTTCACAAGTCTAAGAACAAATAAGTAATACCATTGACTATTGGATGCAGAAGGTAATACTAAGCATTTGAAAACAGTTGTGAACAACATGACTGACAGCAGGTTCACTTTATAAGTTGGCGGCTACAGGCTCTCGGCTAAACTGTTGTGTGACAACTGTTGTCTCGACAACTACTTAGCTTGAGCATTTAATACTAACCAGTATGAAGAGCTTTTCTCTCATTTTTAATGTTGTCCAAGACTTTGTTGTATTTTGTGACGTCGAAAATAGCATCAAACTTTTCTTTCAGTTTCTTCCCTTCATCCAATGGCCTGAAATGAGGACAAAAAGTAATACAGTACTAGTGTACCTGTCACATATGGAATCATGCTCAATCTAGACACAGGAAAAGAAGGAATTTTTGCTGATCTTTTTTTCAATTGGTGTTTTCAGGTAGATATTTTGGTTTGGTTGGTAAAGCGGGAGATGGTGGAAGGATTGAGTTCGCAGTTTACGTACCGTACATTCTGTTTTTTTGTAGTTTTTTTTTTTGAAAGTCCGTTAGGCCTATCTTTTTTGTCGTGGTGGGTAGGTCTACCCATCACCATATAAACCTACGCACCACCATCCACCACGGCAGTCTAGACTTCACATCCGGCCGGTACGTGTCGCTCACTGTCTCAGTAGTTTTTAGTGTTATGTTAAACGTTACTATCCGTTCATTCAATGTTCGTTTTTCCATTTGTTAAAACTATGGCGACCTTCAAATGAAGTTGACAACTAACCTTGTACACCTGAAGATGACTCCATCTAGTTGAAACCGGTTGCAACATAAAGCAACAAATTGGATGACTTAAATGCAGGTATTTAAACCACTTTAAGTTAAAATGATACATCAATCTTATAAATGACTAAAGTAAGACACGTAAAAAAGGTACAGGGAAACTCTTATTATATTAGGTAGGCCTATCTATATATATGGGTTACTAAGGACATTTCATATCTCCATTAGTAGTGGTCTGCTAGCCAGACTCTTTTACTTCATGTTGGGTCGGGTCAAAATCAAGTTGCAAGTTTTGACTTTAAAAAATATTATAATTAATTGTAATCCTACAATTAGTTTGTAAATAATATAATACATGAACTCAACCATATTGTGGCAGCAAAAAAATAGTTTTCACAAAAAAATTTTGAAAACTTGTTTTCTTACTAATGATAGGTAGCCTATGGAAAAAGTCCACACTGATACCACAAATAACGACCAAATAATATAGTGTTTAAATCTTTCACATACCAGTTAGAGTCTTCTTGGTGACAGAAGATGACATGGTTCAGGATCGGTTTAGAGACACCGAGTGCCAAACACATCTCAGTGTCTACGTCAGCACATCTGCCGCTGATGCTGACCTCCTGCAAATGAGTCTTGCAAGTTAACTCTACCACATTGGGACTTATGAATAAAAAAAACCTGGGCGGCAAGATTGCCAAGTGTGTGGGACCGAGCAATCATCTAAAGCAATATTTTCCCCGGCCATGTTGTCTGACTGGCGTCACCTCGTGAAGTATAATCTGTATAATTTCCTTTTACTGTATTTAAAACAGCTGTTAATTTATTCTTAATATTTAATGTTATATTGTTGTTATTGTTCTGTAAACTCAAGCTCCATTCTCACACTGATTTAACCTCTGATTTAACTCCCATATGATATCACTAAACTGATATCATTTTTCTGGAGTCAAAAATATGTTTTGACCGGCAATATGATTGCTGGCAATCTAATTGCTCATTGACGTGCGACCAAATTGCCTAATGTATGGCGGTTTACAAAAAAGTTTTTTATATAAGCTAAACGACAAAGTGAACAATTTTATATGAGCTTACCTGTCCAGCTTGGTTTTTACGAGTAATAGTCTGATCCAAAGTTTTGAACTGCAACTTCTTTGCCTTTTGCATGGACTGCATACATCTAGAGATGAATACTGGTTTGCCTTTGATATCCTGAATTTGTAACTTGACTTGAGCTCGCACCTGAAACATGATTTACTTTTAGATAAGTTTTATATTAGATTTACCTTGTTTTTGCCCTAGTTGTAGGTAAGATTTTTGTGTCACCCTATGCATTTCACCACCTTGTGTGCAGGGGTCCCTTTTGATTTCATTTTCATACCAGTAACACTATAGTCTACAAAATATATTTAGACTAATATCAATAGTCACTTGTTTTGCGGTCGGGTTGATGGGACAACAAGACGACTGAAACACACTGGAGTCAGGACAAGAAGTCTTTCTTTCTCCATTTCATTCCTAGGACTAGGGGTGTTGGCATTTAAATTTGGGCGGTTCGACGATTGACGGTAGATTAGACTTTCCTGGTTTAAGGTCGGGCAGGTAAATTGATCTCTATAGTGTTGCTAGTTTATTGCAGTGTTTCCAGTTTTGACAGTTTCAATGATGTATATTTAAAATTGTAGAGCAGCTGTAGTCTTACTTTTTTTTTAGTATGGTGTTTGATCCATTTATTTACATACTGGGGACTAGAGTGACGGGTTGCTGGCAACTTGTATGAATGAATCATTTTAGGATTAAATAATAAGTTATGTTAGGGCCTAATTGAGATTAAGCCTAGCCTAATTATTTTAATTCATGTAAGTGAGTAGTTTTATCCATGTTTTAGAAGTTTAGTGGTAAAGAGTAGGCTACTTGCAAGTCCTAGCTTGGCCTCTTAAATAAATACATTTAATTATTATATGGTCATTCATGACATATAATTTAACAGACTAACTTAGTCAAAACCTCTAACAGTCATTTGTATACTTTTGAGTGTGTTTTATGTGTGTAACTTAGTACTGCTATTTGGCAACGGCACTGTGTGCCAAAATTATAGGCTATAATTTAGGCTATGCCTAACTTAGTTAACTTAACTTATTTCCTTTCTTTCTTTCTATAAAAAATTTCTTGTTTACCGTACTTCTTTATAAATTATAGGCCCTATGTAGGTATTTTGGATTTTGCTAAAACCATCTGATACAGAGTGTAAACACTTCTATTTGTTATTGTTTGTTTGTTCCTGAAGAAGGCTAATGCCGAAATATAGAACTTTTTTTTAAGTGTGTGATTTGTTGATTTTGTATAGGCTAATTAGTTAACTAAAGGTAACTTACAGCAAAAATATAGCTAAGTTGACAAATGAAAGATTGCCCAAAAGGGAGTCCTATAGCCTGGATTTGTCCACGTTTTAAGGGACTATACAACATTCTGTTTCAAAAATCGTGTACAAACCTCGGTGCAGTTGCAGAGTTTTGGATCATGGACAAACCCAGCACCCAGACTGCAGTTGGAAGGCATGTCTCCACATGTGGCATACTTGAGAGCTTCGATGATAGTGGTCTTGCCACAACCATTCTGTCCGAGAATAATCGTTAAAGGTTTAGCAAATTTTAATATTGCAGAATCTTCTTCATTGGGTCCAAAACTTCTTATGCCTGAGAATAGCAGCTTCTCTACAGAAGCCATCTGCAAATAACCGAAAATATTAAAGACTGCTAGGCATACGTTACGAATATTTCACTATGGGTTCTAAAGTTTATAAACCAGTAAACAATAGCCTGTCATGCAAAACCAAAAATAAGTAGGCCTGAGCTAGGCCTTAGAGAAGTAAGATACAGACGAAACTTTCAATGGTAGACCTACACTTAAGTACCTAGTGTCTAGCACCAGTCGCTTGTGTCTAGTGCACTTTCTATTGGTCGTCTCCTTACACTCTCCTTTCCCCCCTCACCATCACGTTACTACAGCGCTCACGCCTATGCGCTTGCTGTTGTAAACAATAGCCGTTTGGGCTCTTTCTTGTTCGGTAAGTAGTAGTACATTTCCAACCCACCGTTCCCGAGCTAAAAGTGCACGGTTGTTCCATAAGAATGTTTCCATTGTTTCCTATGTATCTTACTTTTCTGTAGCTAGGCCTACTTGTAAGTTAGTCTTTGCTTTGATAGCTGAATTTCAGTCATCTAAGAAGCTTATCATGTAAATATAGGTAGGTACCGGAACCTGGCCTATTCAACTTTAAACAACTAACACAAATACATAGGCTTATTTAAAATATTTTGAAATTATACCCTATTACAAACTGAAATAGTTCAAATGTATAATCTAATATTGGCACTAAAACCCCAGTATTCTTAGGCCTAAGCGTCTCTGGTGGGCTAATAGTACTTTATTATTACCGGTACCTTAACTTTACTTTATGCCTAATACTTTTCATTGAAATGACGACCATACAAAGTTAGGTATATTAAGCCAAGTAATGGAGACAAGTGTAGAATGAGTGGCGCAATCTTGTAGTCTTTTAAGTGACCAAGGCCCATTCCTTAGACACAGCTGTTAATTATCATCCCATACGGTACAGCTAATGGCAACTAACGGACCTACAGTTTATATACTTTAAGTGGAATCCGAACCACATTTTTGCCTAGGTATTAACAAATTGGTCTCATTATCAGGTAGTACTGCGGACGTTAATCCACACCAGGGAGTATCGCATCCACAGTGCATGCCTATAGATAGATATTCACAATTTGTGACCTCCTAGTAGCCTAGCTGGATTAGGTACAGGATGCCGCCACCATAATGCTGGTGGACAATCCTAACTCAATAAGTTACTAACTTAATGTAAATTAATGAGCTATTACAAAAATGTAGGGTATATAGCCTAAACATAATTTTAAAACTATGGATTACAGTATTACAGTTGTTTAAACCTCAAGCCAAAATTAAACTAAGTAAGTCATAACCAGATCACAATAAGTTTAAGTACTAACTTAACTGCTGGTTAAGTTGGTGGGTTCATTTTCCCTTTATTTTGTGAAAGCAAATTAAAAGAGAAGAGATTGAGATTATTGTATTTAGCGTCGTTTAAGGTTAAGGTTAGTCATACTCACAATATATGAGTTGAGTTGATTGTATTCAATCAATTAATTATTCACTATCTCCTTCCTTAGGAACTCTCACTGTCGCAGTCGCGTCGCTGTTGTTGTGTTGTGTTGTGGAAGTGTTCCAGTGTTCCAGTTCCAGGTCAGTGGTCTCCCTTCAGGCTTCAATTCAGGCAGGGCAGGACTTCTTCAGAAGTTCTTTGAAGTTCAGGTCAGGATCGAGCCGCGTTCCCGGTTTCCCGCCACTTTGAGTTGAGTCTTGTCTTGAGTCCTTCCGACTCCTTCGACTTCCTTCACAGGCACTCACTCCCTCCACTCGGCACACTACACTACAACAACAATATTGTACAAATTGTATTGTTCATCAGTTTTGCATTGTTACTTAGTTTTAGTATTTAGTCATGATGAGTATCTCACTATATTGTAATTCTTATTGTAAATTGGTGAAATCCGTTGGCAATAAATAAATAAATAAACAACGGTACAGTCACAGCACGGCCGCCTTTCACAGTGTCTCTGCCATGTAGCCTAGTCAGTCAGTGACTCTGCTGAGTGCTGCTGTCTGCACCTACCTGCTGGTTGGTGCTGGGCTGGCTGACAGGGACAGGAGCACTCACATACATTCACAGTGGAGCCTTAGTTTAAATATGCCCATAGTATCAACCATTGTGTAACCTGGTGTAAACCGCTAGGAAATAAATGTGATGTCCATGGTAATCATCATCGCTAATCAATATTGGTGTTAGCATTAATAGTTAACGGTTCTTAGTTAGTCGTTATAGTGTTACTGAACAGTATAATAATTTATTTGGGTGATGTGTTTTTTGGTAACCAGCTGTGCCAGCCTGCTAATGCCAGCTGATTTCTACGTTGTCTGTTGTTGAGTCTGACAAGTGACAAGATGTCATGAAGAAGACTAACAAATAGAAAACATTGCAAGTGAAGTGACATAACCTGCCTCAAATTTTAAGTGTTGCCTATTTATTCAAATTTACTAAATTCAACCCGTTATTCAGCTAACATTACAAAGCCATTATGTAGCATAATTTACAAAGTTCCTCATCTTAATCGTAGTTTTGTTCAGTTAATGATGAAAAATAATTCAGTTTTCTATATATGAAGGTCACAATGAAGTTCATGTAATTAGTCCTAAAATGACTTGATTGCCAGGTATTTAATATGATAAGTATTTTGAGCCATTGTAAATTTACTGTAGGCTCTCAAAAGATTTTAAAAAAGCAATGCTTGAACCACATACAGTGGAGACCTCAGTTTAAAATAAGGTAAAGTTAGCCTAGGCTATAAAATAGGATATTTTGGGTACAGTTTCTTAACTGGGCTATGCTAATATCGATTGAAACTATCGATTCGATTAGTAAACCTTTGTGCGATTTTTTCACCATCAGCAAGTTTGGTTGGTTAGGTTAGGTTATGATAGTTAAATTTGATAATAAATATATTGAAAAATATCGATTATTAATCAATATTTTCAATTCGAAAGTTTCAATCGATATTAGCATAGCCCAGTTATGAAACTGTACCCGATATGTTCACTTGCTTACTTAACTTATTTCAATTTTATGTAGCCTACCCAACGTAACTTACAAATTTATTTATAGTTTTTGTGTATCCACACATACATTTTCAGGTTGGGTAAACTTGCATATCTGTTGGCACAAAGGCCGAATGAGTAATATTGATTATTCGCTTGTTTAATTCGATATGAGTTATCGTTTGGTTAGTTAGGTTAGGTTAACCTTACCTAATTAACCAAACAATATATCAAGGAATCGATATTTTCATTCGGTTATTTGTGCCAACAGATATAGAAGTGTACTCTTCAGGTCTGCAAACACATTCAGGTTTTTGTTTTGACAGATTTTAAAAACAAAATGTTATAATAACTTATAGGTAAGTTGGAAACGTATAATCATATACCAAACTGAATGACTTAGTTTTTAATTTTTTTGGGTACCGTAATTATTTTTCTTTTTCCTTTTTGGGTACCGTAATTATTTTTCTTTTTCCAAACAAAATCACTTATAACTGAGAAAATTAACCCTTTCAGTAACTTAGCCCCGTTAACCCTGCATCGGGCGCTCACAATTTATAACACCATCGGGCGCTCAAGGAGGTTTCTACCAGGTTAAAAAAAAAAACTAACTTACATAAATTACATTAAGAGTAGGCCTATACTTTTTTATTTTAGACACAAGTTAGTTTCTCTTGTAACAAATTAACTGTTATAAGGTAAAAAAACTTGGTAATTTTAAGAACTGTTAACTTAGTAATAAAAATATATTTGTAAAAATGAGTATAGGCCTACTCCAACGAAATAAGGTAGCTGTGTAGTTACATATCTACGCTAAAAGCTGAATGTGTTCTTATGAGGAATTACAGGTAGTGTGACGCTTGCGTCACAGCGGCGACGCATCAGACGGTAAAGATCAGCTGATTGCTGGAGAACGGGGGAGGGGGTAGGAAGCGCAGAGACAGATCATTGTTTTATGATCTGTACTACTATTCTTTATTTCGGACTTTGACTCGGCGCCTTGGCACTTGCGAGGGTGGGTCGCGCCTATCACTGCCCTAGGCTGGAGTTTTGTTGGTCTTGATTGCTGAAAATCACCTGGTTGTGCTTGTCAATACGCCTGGCGTTGATCGTTAAATCTACCTTGGGCCAGAATTGGTTCTGAGGTCGTGTCGGTTGTCGCCACCATGGGAATTGTTGTTGGTACGTTTGACGTGGCCTAAACATACGATCGTCGTTTGGTCGATTCGCGCCATATCGTACTGTGTTGGGTCTATAAGGAATTCGGGGTTGCCCTAATTGCATTTGGTTTGCGCCGCTATTTCGGTTTTCATGGTCTCTCCACGTGTGATTTGAATCTCCAATTCGTCCTTGGGGATGCAGCCTGTCTGGGAAAAATTGATCTGTTGTTTGATTTTTGACGCGCGGCCTATCCGTATTATGATCCGAATCTCTGATTATCTCCATTCTTGATATTAAATTCAACAATTCTTCTACTGTCCTGGGAGCCGGAAATCCTGCCAAGTTGGCTCGGCTCGCTGGGTTCATCCCTGTGAGAAGTATATCTAACAGGTTGACGTTGGATGTCAGCAAAATTTTGGCTGAATTCTGTACATTGTTAATAAAGTCACTAAGAGGCTCGTTGCTTCCCTGGGTGCGGTAAATCAAATTAAAAATCAATTGCTGCCTAGCCCTGTCTGGTATAAACCTTTCGATGATCTGGTCGCGCAATGTGGCTATTGACACCTTATTAGCAATGGCCGATACCCAGATTGATCTTAGCTGACCGTCGGTTTTCGGCAAAATAGCCACTAGGGCTGTCTTTTCGTCGGTTAACCCTAAGTCGAATATTTGCTGTACTTCAATTAAAAATTTTAATCAGGTCTGACCATCCGATCCTGTACATTTGTTCATCGCTGCCACCATGTCATACAATGCTCGTGGTGTGTCACTAGACGTTGCCGGCTCCCGATTGCGTAACGCAGCTACAATGTTTTGACCCACGGCCGCAGCTGTCACTTGTATTATCGACGTCCAGTCTCCTACTTGAGTAGCCGCTTCTGGCTTGCTTACAATTGCCGGCTGTCTGACCTCACAGTCCGACCAACGGGCCTGAGTCTCTGCCCAGGAGGTGCCAGTCCATCAGCTGGTCCACCTAGGTGCATCCTCTATGGGGATCCTACACCTCCCTGTGTGGGGGACGGTCCTTTACTCGTCCATGCCTCGCACCCAGCTTGCCCTCGACACTGCGGTCGCTGACTCTACTTCTGGAGACTGGAAATCGACCCCGGGGACAGAGACAATCCAAACACCCATTATGAAGCACTGATTTAGTAGTCTACCGGTATGTAAAACAATTGAAACAAAATGCATAATCTTCTAAATATATCAAAGGCAAAGCCCTCACTGACTGACTGACTGACTCACTCACTCACTCACTCACTCACTCACTCACTTATCACTAATTCTCCCACTTCCCATTTACCTAGGAGGCTGAAATTCGGTACACCGATTCTTTGGGCATTAAATAGGAAAACTAAGTAGTTTTTATTCTGATCGGGCTTTCGGGCTCCGCCCCAGTGGCTCTGGAGTTTCCCATGTTGACCTTATGATTTTTCATATTTAAAAGGAATTTCTTAACAGCTGTTTCAATTAAACAAGTTGGTTCTGTTCTATGATGTTCAATAGCATTAAAGTTACAAGGATTACCAACAGGGTGCAGCACTATTATTTTTTAAATTTATGACTACAGCCAATTTGCAACCAAAAGGTGAGTGAGCGTAGCGAACGAACTTCAACCTGGAAACGAGTTAGCGTAGCGAACGAGCTAACCTGAAGGCAAGTGAGCAGAGCGAACAAGCTCCAACCTAAAGGTGAGTGAGCGTAGCGAACGAACTTCAACCAGGACGTGATTGAGCCATGCGAACGGGCTCACTTGTAAAGTTAAACGGGGCAAAGCCCGCGGGTACAGCTAGTTGTAAAATAAAAGAGCTAAAATATTTATATTTACAAAGATAGGAAATATCCACGTGTTTTCCAAACAGTTAAGTTAGCCTAAATACTGAAGTAGTCTGAATTATTGTAACATAGGCCTAGGCCTACGTCAGATTTTATGTTCACGGCAAGTTTGAATTTTGTTTCATAAACTTGTAAAATGTTGTTCTTCTCTTTCAAAACTTGCCAACAGTCTTGCCATCCTCTCTTCTTCACATTCCATTATATTTGTACAAAAAATAAATGTCATATCACAATACCTACACAACTATGCGAAAACAATATTTATTGAGCGGAGGGAGCGAAGCTCTTATACGTTGACTCTTATGCATTTCGTAATACGCAATCTATATGGCGTTCAAAAAGTCTCTCAGGAATCCGCCCCACTGGGTTTCAAAGTTTCAATGTAATCCTTACGGAAGATGTAATTGACACATAAACAAAGGCATATGATCAGCTGTTGTCCTTTGAATGCAGTAGAAAAGAAATAGCTGATAGCATTATTCCACAGATATTAGAACATTAACGGTGATATTGATATTAGAACCCTTGATTACTCCGCTCAATTTTGTGGATGACTCTGCGAACGCCACCTAGTTACAATATAATTGGGGCACACAAACTTTTCCTGTAGTAAAACAATTTGCTTGGTATCGGACGCACACAGAGGTTTTGTCCAGTTCTTAACAAATTTACAGCTAACGCTGACGATGGAAGCAGTACATGCAAATTTGGTATTGTGTCTAGTTCCTAGAAAGGGGCATGTGAGGTACAGGGCCGGGTAGGCTACCAAAACCAGGAAAACGTCTTCTATTTACAAAATTAAAAAGACACGGATGAAACCTCCGCTTAGAAGCAGGGTTAAGCTTATGCCCTACAAAACAAAAACGGTTGTTTCTCAGTTTGTTGTCTAAGTTGAAAGATCTTAAGTCGTTTTAATTTATGTATCCTTGCAATTACATAGTTTTGCTGCTCATGACACCTCTCAAAACAGGAGCTGGGGCTAGAATTTTTTATAAAAAACTGTCATCTCATAGTTTTCCTTAAAGACGATGCCTCTACATTTTTAATCTCGGCCTAAATATTTTATCTGAAAATATTGTCAGATCACTCATGTCTTTGAAATATTTTCTATGTATAGATTAAGTTTAAAGTGCGCTATAAAATAATTTGTTAAATATTTTCAGTACCAAAGCCAAAAATCACTATGAGGTTCTCAACTTGTCAAAGAATTGTTCTACAAAAGAGATCCGTGAAGCTTATATCACACTGTCAAAGCAGGTAAGATATATTACAGCAGCCAAACAGTTAATAACACTGATAATTTACATGATAAAAAGCTAAAATAACTTCTACATTAGCATTATTTGTGTTGGGCCTATTTTATTTTACGTTCAAACACAATTTGATGTTCAAGTTACGTACTGTAAATATTTACAAGAATAGCGTTGGGAGATGCATTCGTTATTATATTTATTTCTATAGACCTCCTAAGGGTTAGCCTACCCGGTTTTGTTTGGGTTGCTGAAAATAACTTAAGTACAGGGTTATTACAAATGATGTTCCTGATTTCATACATACATAAAATATAGTTTTATTTGTTATACAAAGAAATAAAATGGTTACAACTTTTGAAAAACTCAAAAAGTTTCGACACAGATACACAGAACTGTAAATGCTCAATACGGGAACCCCTTGTGGCACGACAGATGTCAATAATGTAGTCAAGCTCTTGCTAGACTTTGAAAAGTGTGTCTAGGTCTATTGTTTCGATAGCATTGGTAATCTGTCGCTGGATCTCAAGTATGCTATCTGATAATGGTGGTGTGTACGCCTTATCTTTGATGTATCCCCACAAGAAAAAAATCAGGGGGTGATGTCCGGAGATCTTGTAGGCCAGTTCAGGGGTGTGTCATTATTCGGACCACCAGCTCGTTCCATATCTCAGGCAGCACATTGTTAAGTTCAGCCCTACTACAAGTAACATTCAAATGCAGCCATTTCTCTTAAATTTCAAGTGTCACTTGCCAATATAGTGGTTACTAGGAGGATCATCGTAAAACCTGGTTCTAAAGTGTCGTTGCACACTAATAAAAGATTGGTTAATGTAAGATTCCAACTGGCAAAAAGCTTTCCTGCCTTCAAATTCAGCCATTACACAACACTTACAACAATTGACTTGACAAACAGCTGATATGCACCCAAACCAATGTAAATGAAACTTTATGAGTTTTTCTTTCCAATGGTACCAACTAAAATAGTCTTGAAACAAATTAACCCAGTAATATTTATAATCAAAATCAGGAACATCATTTGTAATAACCCTGTATATACAGGGTGGTAAAAAAGTCCCTGGACAGTTAAATATTTTAAAAAATAATGCAGATAGAGCTACAATACTTGGTACAAAGTTACAGGGCATAAAACTCTATTTTAACACATATTCAGTGATCCAATAACTCTTCAGGGGGACGGCCCACAAGGAGTCGGAAGAAAATCTTAAATGGAAGCATAGGTCAATATGCACATCAAATTAAAGGTATTTTTTAGTAGAATACAATGCCGCAAACCGCACTTCAAAAGGTTGATCCTGCGCAAAATGGCAGATGTTCAAAGATTTCTTGAATCCGCCATTTTGAATCTTTGAACGACTGTCATTTTTTACTCAAGCATTATTTTGAGCTTGAATTTACGGCATCGTAATCTACTAGTGAAGACCTTTAATTTGATGTGCATATAGACCTATGCTTACGTTAACAATTTTCTTCCGATTCCTAGGGCTGTGCCCCCTGAGAAGTAAGCGCATAATAGCAATGTAAATTAAATGAATCTTTGAACAACTGTAATTTTGCGCAGGATCAACCTTTTGAAGTGCGGTTTGCGGCATTGTATTCTACTAAAAAATACCTTTAATTTGATGTGCATATTGACCTATGCTTCTATTTAAGATTTTCTTCCGACTCCTTGTGGGCCGTCCCCCTGAAGAGTTATTGGATCACTGAATATGTTTTAAAATAGAGTTTTATGCCCTGTAACTTTGTACCAAGTATTGTAGCTCTATCTGCATTATTTTTTAAAATATTTAACTGTCCAGGGACTTTTTTACCACCCTGTATGTTCATTCATTGTAACAGAAAATGTGCAATATCAAAAACTATCTTGGTGTCCTAAATAAAAGTGTTCAAATGTAATTTTATAAATGCAAATTCTTTTACATCATGCTTTGTTCATACTAGAACTCTGAATGGACAATCTTTTCCTTCTTGGTCAACTGCACCTGACCTAGTAATCTGATAGTTCCCACCCAAGAAAATAAATGTTTGTTTAGTCTTTATTGTAATGGCTTGTGTCAAATATAATATGTACAACATAAACACTAAAATATTTTGTTGGCTGAAATAAAGGTTTTGTTGTTTTAGTACCATCCTGATAAGAACAAAGGAAATCCAAAGGCTCAAGAAGAATTTGTGAAAGTGAGTGAAGCTTACAATGTTCTGATCAAGCCAGAAAGTCGGCTAGAGTATGATTTCAGCTTAAAAAGATTTACAGAGCCAAGTCGTGTCTACAAAACTGGAAAGAAGGATGACTTTTATGAAGTTCATCGATATGATTCAGGTTATCGAGAGTAAGTTTACTATAAAATCTCCTCTTTTACTTTCTACCCAATTTACTTGCAAAGGGTTTGTTTTGTTGGAGTATGAGAATATTTAAAATGTATAATCATTTATATAAGTCCAGGGCAACTTTAAAAAGACTTGTATGTAAGCAGTAGGGGATAGTTGGACAAAAAGGGGCGGTTGGGCAAAACGGGATACCCTACGTTTTAGCGATACTAGTGCTACAATCTAGCGGGAAAACATAGGTTTTAGCTCTTGGCCGCCATCTTGGCATTCTCAGTTGAACACGGAAGGCCAGAATTCAGTTTGCTTGAGTTATGATGTTTCAAAGTTTTGTAGCCTACTGAGTTTTCGGCCAAAATCGTTGGTTTTTGATTGACAAACTTCTTGATATAGTGTCTGTGTGTGAAGGAATACAATTTTGGTAGCATTATGTTTTGTTTGCTGTTTATTTCCGAATATCTTTATGTGATCACCTTGCAGTTTTCTGTTTAGTTCTGGCAGCAGCCATATTTGATTCCAAATGTGTCAGGGTTGGACAAAACAGGATGGTTTTGAGTTGGACAAAACGGGATAGGCATTTTTAGAGTTGGAGCTGGAAGAAAGAGAAAGGAATGAAAAAGAAAATGCCAGAATTGTTAAAATGAGAGAAATGCTAATAAAAAGGGGCTGTTTGATATAAAAAATAAAATTTGAAAAACAAATGGATAAAAACGGAAAGAACCAAGAAAATCTTACCAAACCATCCCTGTTCAACAAATACAAAGGTCCATTGCACAGGAAAAGTCCTCATCTGTAGATAAAGAAGATCAAGGAAAATCAACTTCGTTTGGTTTTTAAACGATAACCGCTTATTTTTTAAAATATTTTTTTAGATTTGATGATAAACATATAACGTAGAAATTCCTATCCCGTTTTACCCAACCATGGTGTGTAAGGGTTTAGGAAATGTATATATATACATGTGTAACGTATCGTAAATTTCAAAACAGTGTTTGTATGATGAAATATAACAAATATACTACACTTTCATCTACCATTTTCAGATTTTTCATCAATCCATTTTTTTTATAAAATAAAAAAATAATGGTATCTCGTTTTGCCCTACTTTCCCCTACTTGTTTTTATTTTGGCATCCAGAAGGATACTACTTTTTAATAAACATATTTGATGAATTTGGTTGATGTAACATGAGTGGTAAGTCAGAGTTGACAGTCCAATCACCACTTGCGTAAGCGTTACCTGATGAAGGTTGTTCCGATGTTTCCAGGCAGATTTTCTGTTTCTATCAACAATAAAGAAGCAACAATGCTAACTTAGATTATCTGGTTATTTAATAATAAACCTAAAGTTTTAAGTAAATAATATTAGCGTTTTATTTGATTTTTTAAAGCAATACAGTGGTCTCAACCAAAGACATATTAGATTAATTAATGCTACTAACTGATACCATATGCTTAGCATATTTCCTGATTTTCATTATTTTCTCATTGCTTGGAAATCTGTTATTGTTCTTTCACTCGTCTTGTCAAAATGTAGGTCTATATTGTTGCGAATAAAATCAAGTGAATGCAAAAAACTACTTTCCGTAGCTAAAAAAGAGTATAAACTATTGTTAGCTTCTACTCAAGAAAGTAAACAACATGTCGAACTCATTGTTTTACCTGTTTCAGTCCGTGGAAAGATCCTTCATTTTACCGAAATAGGAATTTTTCAGAAGATAATAATGAAGATAATTACTATGGGATTAAAGGTTTTAAAAGGCAGACCAATCAACAGCTCCTCTTTTGGATTTTCATGTTTGTTGGAATAGGGGTTATTCTTCAGATTTCGATTCTAAGGTATGTAGCTGACCAAACATAAGTGTGACAATACATTTTTATAGGCTACCAAGAAAACCTGTGCGATTTCACACTTAAATTAGCCTAATTTGCATTATCTTATATTAATGTAATCTATTTAGATTAGGCCTAATTAACTAATCTATAGAAGGTGGATATAAAAACATGTTCATAATTCAATGGTCAGTTGAAATCCACTACTTACAAATTCGCTTTGAAAATTGCATGGGTTGGATCACATTTTCACCTTTGTATATCTATACAAAATTTAATAGACATTGAAGCTTTTAAAAGCTTTGTCCTTGGGTAGGGAAGATTTGGTGTTACCTCTGTAAATGTTTTCCATGCATGATTTGTGTATTGCACATAACAACAGGTAGGAAACGTGTATCATGTTATTAGTCTTAGAAGTACAAATTCAGACAGAGAAAAGCTATCTTTATGAACCAAAATTTGCTGATCTTGACTCAACTCCTGTATAACTGTTCATTTATATATTTCCATACAGTTAACTTAACTGTAACTTAACACATCAACTTTCTGTCCAGTTTCATTTATTATGCCTTTGTACTCTGTCGGTAGTTCAATTCAACTATGGTACGTCTATTTACAATAAAAAACCGGCATTACCTTTAACATATATGAATGGAGTGTCTTTTCTGTCAATAAACAAAGTTTAGCCGATATCAAGTCATTATGGGGAGTGACCTTCTGCAATGATAGGGGCTTCAGTTCCTGAGGTCTTGGATTCAAATCCTGGCAATCAGGAATGGATTTTAGATATGTGATGATCCTCTAAGTCTACAGGTTAATGTATGGTATACAACTGTTCTGCGCTAGAGCCTACCGTAGTATTTAGATAGGTAAAATCTTTTGTAATACAGGGTGTTTATAAAAGAATGCCGGTATTTTAAATGGCAATTGTTTTCGTATTATTAATGGTAACTAAACGTTTTATACATCAAATTGAAGCTATAATAACTAAGTTTCTTCTCGTGTAGCAAGGGAGGAAACTTTGATTGTGTGGATCATTCAATTTTGCTTTCTAAATTAAAAGACTACGGTATAAAGGGTAAAAGTTTTTCTTTATTAGACTCTTATTTACAGAACAGAAAGTATAGAACAATAGTGACCAAAAACGGTGTGAAACATATGTCAAACTGGAATTTATCTAATTATGGTGTACCTCAAGGGTCAATATTGGGCCCTCTGTTTTTCCTGACCTTCCAAAAGCTATTGGCAGAGATTTAATCTTATTTGCTGATGATACAACAGCAGTCATAAGAGAGGATTCAGTAAATAACTTAATTGTATCAATGGAAAACACTTTGGATTGTATGAAAAATTGGTTTTCAGATAATGGTTTAAAGCTGAATATTGACAAAACTCATATAATCAAATTTTCTTTAAAAAACAATGTAATTCTTGATAAAATTCCAAATTTAGTAGAATCTCATAGATTTTTGGGTGTATTGCTTTCATATTAATTGGAAGATTCACATAGATAAGATGAAAGACAAACTAAGATCTATTTCTTTTGCTTTCTTTCACCTAATAAACTGTGTACCCCAGGATACATGTATCACAGTTTACTATGGATACGTTGAATCCATCTTGAGGTATGGAATCATACTGTGGGGAGTGTCAACAGAAGTCACATCCCTACTAATTTTACAGGAAAAAATTATTAGAATCTTAACCAAATCAAGAAGGAGAAAATCATGTAAAAACCTGTTTAAAAATCTAAGAATTCACACCATTTTTTGATTATACATAAATGAAATTCTAAATTGGATACATAACACTAAGGAAAATTTGTCAGATGTAGTCAAATTTACACATAATTATAATTTAAGGAATAAATATAATTTCAGATTACCACATCACAAATTGACGACTTTTAGGAATAGCCCTCAATATATGGGACTTAGATTGTACAATAAATTACCCCTGTATCTTAAAAATTTAAATGCTACTCAATTCAAAGATAAAATAAAAGATAAAATAATTGAGAAAGCCTACTATTCACTTGACGAATTTTTGGAGAACCCTATAGTGTAGATAAAAATTCACTGATATCCTACATGAGTTTATTTTAATTATTTTAACTATTAATTTAACTATAAAATACATCACTATGACGAAACACCTGTTCTTATGTATGAAATGTACTTTATAAAGAACGTTTTGTGTAAATAAAATATGTCTTATGTCTTATGTCTTGACCTTGGCATGCGCATAACAGGTGCACAATGGTAGGCCGCTATTGTGACTCACACGCCTGACGTCAGTCGCCAGTACATGTTTACGGCGCAATAGAAAATACTGAGTGTAATCTGTGGTTTGCAGAGTTTAAATTGATTGCTAAATTAAACAGAATTTAAATATACTTGATGATAAAGAAATTTACGCTGGTTTAACGAGTTTTGTGGTACTATAGTGTTTTGAAAAGACATTCACCTAGCTGGCTAGAAACAAGTGATGACAGTCAAAGAAATCAGACAATTCTGCATCAGAAGCACAAAAAAATCGATTGACCGACAAAGTCTTCAGTTGAATATACCCGCTGATCGCACAAAGCGTGCAGACTTTGCCAGTTTTACGCTCATGAGATTGATGAAAATCAGATTTTTTTAAATATTCCGAATTTTATCAAAGTTAGAGAAAAAACGTTGTTCTTTTCTCTTCAATTTGACGCTCAAATCGTTTAATTATCTCGAATAGTCCCTGATCAACGGCCGTTTAAAATCCCGGCATTCTTTTATAAACACCCTGTATAAAGTTAATGAGTTTCAGGAAGTTGTGGAGTAGTACATGAAATGTCGTTTACTCTCAAGTGTCATACCTAAATGATGATTAAACATCAGCTTGGTATGTTAAGTTTGCTGAGTAATGCTCTAACTTTTAATAAAACTATTCGTTTACAGGTTTGCTAGTACAAGCACACGGTTGACAAGAGAAAAACAAAGTGAGGAAAACCGGAAACACTTAGAATATGTAAGAGCAAGAGCTGCGTTCTATGGCACACGTGAACGTCAATTAGAAGAATTCAATCAACGGCTCAGGGTCGCAGAAGATGATGAATAATCTGCCAATGATCATAGGGTGATAAAAAACAGTGGACATATAGAAAACTGTATGCACAACCAACTAGAATGTAAATATTGTTTTAAATAAATATTTTGAATAAGTTCTTCTATCTTTGTGTTACCCCTATTTATTATTTTTTTTTAGGTAAACTGATTAGGATCTTAATTGTTTGGGTAGTCGAGTGGTTGTGCTTGCCTTAATACCTAAAGGTTGCTAGTTTATTATAAGCAATATCCTTCTGGACCCATTAGAAAAGATAGAAACGGACATGAAATGAAATGAAATGAAATGAAAATGATTTATTTAGTCAGGCAAAGTTAGGGCCACATGGCCCTCTCTTACACTTAACCTGTTTATACAAATCTAAACATACAAATAAAACAAAACAATGTATAATACAAATAAAATACTATAATCTATTTACAATATTTAATGTAAAAAGAAACAATAAACTTTTAAAACATACCACCTTACATAAACACCCACACACCTACACACGCACACGCACACACACAACACACCCACGCACACCTGTCAGTGATCAACCAAGCGCACGCCTAGGATATACCAACCATGGCCATACGTCCAGAAAACAGATTTTTTAGTGCTGTCACAAACCGGGGACGGCTATCAAGGGTTTTTATGGCTAGAGGGAGATCATTCCAAAGGCGACAAGCAGAAACAACAAACGCTCTGTCATAAACTGCCGTTCTATGATGAGGCATACGCAAAGTTACTGAAGCAGAACGTGAGTTTCTTATACTTTCATCAGCTACAAATTTGAAGTCGTTTAAAACATATTTTGGAAATTTTGTTTTTAAGTTTGAATAGGTTATCATAAGAATTTTTATTGATCTTAGGTCACATAGTTTTAGTAATTTAGAATCAACATAAAAAGGAGTGATGCGCTCATTACGTCTCAGATCATAAACAAATCTTAAACAGTAGTTCTGAGTGCGTTGGAGAGCATCAGCGAGATTTACAGTCATGTCATTGATCACAGAGTTACAGTAAGTGAAGTGAGGGAAGACAAGTGATGTTACTAGGTGTAACTTTATGTGTAAAGGTAAAAAATTCTGTAACTTCTTCAGTGAGTGGATTGATGCAAACACTTTTTTACGTATGTCTACTACTGCATCTCCCCAGGTAAGCGTCGAGTTTATAGTAAGTCCTAGATTTTTCACTTTGTCATAGTAAAGTAAAGCTGTCCCATTTATAGTTACAGAGTTCACTGTGTCAAAGTCAATTGAGTTTCGTAAACGTGAATGACAAATTATTATTGGTCTTGTTTTTGTATGGTTTAGTCTAAGTCCATGTTTATCAGTCCAGGTAATGATTTTCTCAATGTCTTTGTTGATTTTTAGAACACTGTCATTGATATATTTTGCTGAGAAATGCGTATAAATCTGTAAGTCGTCGGCATACATATGGTATTTACAGTGTGTGAGGACTGAACTCAGGTCATTTATGTATAGCACAAACAGCAGAGGGCCAAGGATTGACCCCTGAGGCACACCACGAGTAACTGTCTCCCAGTCAGATCGTACGTCATCAACCACAACACATTGCCGCCTGCCTGACAGATAAGATCCCAGCCAGTCCAATACACCATTTGAAAACCCTATGGCCCTTAACTTTTTCAGAAGAAGATTATGATTTACGCAGTCAAAAGCTTTTGAAAAATCAAATAGTGTTAGAATTGTACCCTGCCGACGTTCCATTGCTTGTCTAATGTCGTCCGTCACACGTAATAGTGCTGTTTCTGTGCTGTGAGCCGTTCGAAAACCAGACTGAAAGCTGCAAAGTATGTTGTCAGTCAGAAATTCCATACTGTGCAGCTTTCAGTCTGGTTTTAGAACGGCTCACAGCACAGAAACAGCACTATTACGTGTGACGGACGACATTAGACAAGCAATGGAACGTCGGCAGGGTACAATTCTAACACTATTTGATTTTTTGAAAGATTTTGACTTGACATTGACTGGGCCAGAGTACATCCATTGACTATGTAGTCTATGATACATCCCTTTTTTGTCCTAGGACGCTAGGCACGAGCCCGGGATTGTTTTTCACATTACTTCAGGCTAGACCTAGGGGTTGCGGCATTATTACTTAGATAAAATCCATTGGTGATTTAGCGGGATTTGAACCCGGGACCTTGGAGACCGAAGTCCCGCGCTCTTACCACTAGACCAGCTCGCTCCCCAATGGTACATCCCATTATTCAAAATGTTATTAAATACACCCACTTACAGTAATAGTGGAAATTTAATATTTATAAAACCACCATACTTATTTGTGTATTTTTCTGCTTGTGTTGTTCTAATTATAGTTCGGCCGCTTAGAAAGCGACCTCCTCCAGCATTGGTTTAGCATTAGCGCGCAGGTCGTTTTCTAAGCGGCCGAACTATACAAATGTAGAGCTCAATTAAAGTTATATAATATTAATTTTTATTCTGAATGCATTTGGATCGTTTTTGTAAAAATTTTTGAGTTTAGTGTGAATATTGCCATTTTGGGTCCCCTGAACCCAAAAAAGTGGGTTTTGTATTTTTGTGTATGTGTACACAGCTACAGACCACACATAAATGGTTGATTTTGATGAAATTTGGTATTTGGGTACTTATCCATGGTATCTCAGGCAATTTCTTTCACTTTTAACGAATTTCCTATGACAGGGAATAGCCTTATTAGCTATTATCGTAGGTCTCATGGTAAGACCTGGATCCAGTGCCGATTTCTTTTTTCGTTTTGATGCCTTTCTCATTTTTGACCCTCAAAACATAAAATTTACCAATTTCTCTCTAAACCATTTTGAACAGCTTAAAAAATAATAATTTAATTTAGTTGGTTACGAAGAAGATAAAAATAATTGTAAATAAATTAAATCGCCGCAGCAAACCTGCAGACTAAGCGAATTTCCATTTGCCTGATTGGATTTACACTAAAATGTCTCCTTAAAAATATAACATTTATTCCTTATTTAAATAACATTAGTTTAACGAGTAGGTACTTAGGTTAGCTGCAACAGGGAGGGTAAAAAGTTGTTTTTATAAAATGTTAATAGTTTAGTATGAAATGAATGCATTTTCCAAATTTGATCAAAATATGATCATAAACAAACAAACTACAACAGTTTACTTATTCTCCATAAAAATAACATGGGAATTTTAAATTTAAAGTTTTTTGGAATTTTCTCCGTAACCATTAGGTGCATAATAACGCTTTAATATACTAAATTAATTTTTTTTAAGCTCTACAAAATAGTTTGGAAAGAAAATAATAAATTTTAAGTTTTTAGGGTCAAAATGGGAAAAACCAATTTTTGCCCCATAAAACCCCCCATAAACCCCTGTTCCCATAGTCCGTTCATGCTGGTTCACGAACTCTTTCAAATAAATGTAGGTTTACACGTTTGTACCAAATTTCATCAAAATCCATTATCATTCATTATTTTTGCTCGAGTTATCGACTAACCGACACATATATAAATATATATATATGAATTTGAACGGATGGTGTTTTTGGTCTCTAGGGACCTCAAAACGAAAAAGTAAATCGGTCCCGGGTCCAGGTCTTACCATGAGTACTACGGTAATAGCTTATTCCCTATAGGGGAAATTCGATAAAAAAATGCCCATGAGTTATTCTTATGGAGAATAAGCAAACTGTTGTAGTTTGCTTGTTAATTGTTGTATTTATTTGGATCAATCTTGGCAATTTCTCATTCTATACAAGCTGTTGTATTTTAGTAAAAACAAACTTTATTACCCTCCCTGTAGCAGCAAACCAAGGTACTTGTTAAATCGAACGATATTCAAACAGATTTAAGTGAAAATCTAACTATCAGGAAATGGAAAGACGCTTAGTCTGCAGCTTTGCTGATGATGGGGTATTTTGAAATTAAAATAATATGCTTTTAACCATAAACATCTTCCCCCTACTTGCTTTCCCGCTGCTTACCCCTTATAAGGGTTGTTATTAAGCTAATAGGAGAAAGTATGTCAGATTGATGATAGATTATTTGAAATCGAGTCCTGAATTCAACAGCTGTAGCTCAACAGTATCGTCTGACAAATACTTATCTCCCAAGCTAAGCATAGATAAAACACTCCCTAGAAGTTAAAAGTTAAAAATTTAAACAATTATATTGGGTAACTGGAGGAGTCGTTAGTCGTAGCTAAAAAGAAAAACTGATTGTATACCTTTGAAATGCTGAGGTTGTGGGTGAAATAAAAAAAATCGCAATAACGTTTGAACCATATGATTCATTCAGCGTTATAAGATGAGCTGGTTTTTTCAAGATAAAATACTCCAACATATTAATTTTTAACCAAAATCGTTTAGAGCGTGTTTTGTAAACATCTTATTTGTCTGTTATTTTAAAGAAAAAATCGCAACTAAAAATCAAAATATCAAATAAATGAAATAACACCTGAAAAAATACTATAGATTAAATAGGCATACCTATAGGTAATTATAGCGAATTTCAGCAAAAATAAAACCTCTTTTTGGGTTCAGTATCACGGAAGTGTGTTAGCGAATTTCCCTAGGGAAGTAGCTGGGCTCAGTAAGACCTGGGCCTGGGACCGATATAATTTTTTATTTTGATGTCCCTAGAGGCCAAAAACACTTGTTCAAATGTTTGTATATAAACGTCCCTTAATCAGATAACTTAAGTAATTTTTATCCGATTTTGATTGAATTTTGCTTCAAGGTGTAGGTTGGGATAAACATGAATGAGTTTGTGAACCAGGATGATCGGACCATGCGACTGTGTGTTTAATGGTGTAGAAATTGGGGTTTCTCATTTTTGACCCTCACCGAAAATTTCAGAATTTATCTTTAAAAATTTTAAAGACCTTAAAAAACAAATAATTTAGTATATTAAAGTGTCTTTTTATGGCTATTGGTTACGGAGAATATTAAAAAAGTTATAACTTTAAAATTCCCACATTAATGGAGAATTAGTTAACTGTTTGCTTGTTTATGGATATATTTTGATCAAACTTGGCAAGTTTTATATTTTCTAACAAGCTTTTAATATTTATCTTTTAGGGCCTTTATTACCCTTCCTGTAGCAGCTAATTAACCTAGACTTGTTAAACCAAATGTTATTTAAATAGATCTAAAGGAAAATAAAATCAGGTAAATGGAAAATTAGCTTAGTCTGCAGGTTTGGTGCACACTTTAATTACTTCACAAAGATTGGATTTTCAAACGAACAATAATTATTAATCAATGGTTTTACCAAAGATTTTCTTCTAAAAGTCTCTGTGGTGTCTCCAAACATGTCGATACTATGGCCCCCAGAGAGTGTTTCCGTTTCCAACTCTCCAAGACGAAGAAATCTCGAAGAGGAGCATGCTGGTAATTGGTAATCGTATTGGCTAGTGAAGTGCCACCTGCCGAACAGATCTTGTGAACGGGTTCTAGAAGGCACATGGAGGTCCACTTTGGGCAAGTAAAGTGGGACAATCAATTTGGCCATCGAGGGGTTTGTGGAGGAAAACAACGTCTGCAACACAGCGTCTCAAGTGAAGATCTTTCAGGTTTAAATTATTTTGAAGGACGGCCACTCTGAGACTTCACGCGGTACTGCATGCCTTGACAGACACCGATAAATCGTGCCCTAGGTGGAAGGGTGGCCAAACTGGGCTGGCGTACTCCAACAGCTGTCAGAGGGAGCAATATACTATACAGAGTTTTGAGATGAGTGATGACATTAGTCCACGGCGAGCACGAGGAAGCCCAGTCACTGGTTTAGCTCTATTACATATTGAATCCACATGCTCGTTGAAGGAGAAGTCTGATGAGAAGATCACTCCCAAGTCTTTTACCATTGAGACTTTCTCAGGGGTTATTGGTTCATAATGGAATACTCTGCCATGTATGGAGTGTGAATCTTACTAAAAGTCATACTGGAGCATTCAGACACACGTCCAGGAGCATGTTGTTTGAAGCACCAAAATCTTGGAAAGCGTTAGGCTAGTTGACGGAGAGTGTCTTCAGGGAGTGAATGGAGGGATACCTAAACAAATATCTTAACATCATCTGCAAACAAAAAGGTTCTCCACATCTAGCATATCCACGATGTCGTTAATGAAAGTTAAAATAAAGAGGTAAGGTGCTGTATATATCAAAGCATAGCTCTGGGGGACGCATGAGAGTTGGATAATCGGAGTTGCAAAAGGAGCAGTTTTACATTCAAGCCTCGCTCTGTGAGATAGTCTTCCATCCACAATTGAGAAATGGACCAAAAGGAACCCATATGAATAGACTTTCAGTTTGGCAATAAGGAACGATCTACCTTGTGTGGCCTTATGCCTTGTCGAAAGCTTTTGCAAAGTCAACAAAAACTACGTCCAGCTGTCTTTCGTTTCTCAAAGCTGATAGAATATTGTTTTAAAGTAATAAAAGGTAGGTAGACCTCGAGGCTGTGAAACCCATGTTTTTCTTTGGCTGATAAGAGGTCTTAGTAATGGCTCAAGTCTAGAGACAACAAGATCTTCAAACAATTTACCAATAGCAGGTATTATAGTTTTAGGCCTGTATAGTTTATTACTTCTGATGGATTTCCAGCTCCCTTCAAAATTTGAACTATACTTGGCTATGACCTTGTGAATTTCCGGAAAGATCCCTTTTATCAAGTAAAGAGTTGTAGAGAAACAAGAGGGGTCCCGCTAGGGAGTGTTCGGGGAAATGTTTCAGGAACGATGGTGGAATGTTGTCAGGATCAAAGTATTTATTTAAGCTTGGAAAGGCTATCCAAAACTTCGGATGGAGTGAAGCTGATAGAGGCTAGAAGTAGAACAGAGCTACTGTCAAACTCGAAGTTAGGGGAATATTACACAGGCTGGGGGACTGGGAGAAGACTGACGAGAAGAATCTGAAGAACATAGTGGCCATTTCTTGCGGGAGTCATACACGTCATTTCAGTGTATGATTAAATGTTTTGTATTATACAAAACAAGTACTACCAAATTACTTAATATACTTTTTCGGCATTTAAAATGAAAAAAAAAAAAAAATCTTTACAATACAAATATCTTTATTCAACAGCTTCAAGCATAGATTGGTGTCATTCTGGCTTTAAACATAGTATGTTTATGAAAGTCATTTTTTTTTAGTGGTATGGTAAATTCAGTTTTGGTTGGCCATGGATTATGCAGGCTGCTTTTCTTTTAAATTACTTGCATGCAGCTGCAGTGCTGCTGTTGAGTGTTGCTTGAGTGTTGGCTGCTGCGCTGCAGTCTCTGAACCTGACTCTGACTGAACTGAACTGAACGTCTGTCTGTCTGTGAGTCTGTGTCTGAGGCTGAGCTGAGGAATTTACACCCGGATCGGAAAGCTTAGTTTTAGTAAAGTAAGTAAGCTTAAGCTTATTTCCTTAAAGTTCAACTTTAACGAATAATTTAAAAGATCTGTGCTGTAATCATTTTAAAACGTGATAATTGGTTTTGAATAGGACACCATAAAATATGTGAGTGCAAATTTTATGGACACTGAAACTGTCTTTACACATGGCATGCAGGCTTCATGTTCTTTCAGTCTATTTTAAATTAAAATTAAAAGACTAGTTTAATTTGGTGTTGTTTTTATTTTTCAGTTGAAAGAAAATTTTTCAATATATTGCAAATATGATGGCTGATCCTGGAAGTGCAAGTGAAAGTGATTCCAGTTCAATTGATGGTGGGCCTATCATGATGCCACCCTCCCCAGTAACTAGGGAACAACTACAAAAGAGGATTGAGTCCCTTCAGCAACAGAACAGAGTTTTAAAAGTTGAAGTAGAAACATATAAGTTAAAAGTAAAAGCTCTAGAGGAGCAAAATCGCAATCTTCGTCAGGCCTCTGTAATAATTGTAAGTAGGCCCTAGGCCAGATTAACTTTAAATCAGTGTTTAGATTTATCAATTAGATCCAAGTTTTAGCTATTTAATTGTATGATTGTTAGTATAAGTATGTACAATTGTTGGGTAGGCCTACAGTTCCATATCTGTTCGCACAAACAACCGAATGAGTAATATTGATTATTCGATTGTTTAAATCGATAGGCCCTTTATCGTTTGGTTAGTTAGGTTAGGTTAACCTTACCTAACTAATCATTCGGTTGTTTGTGCCAACATATGGAAGTGTACCCCAATTGTTTTCAAGATCAGAGACCTAGAACTCTCAAAGTAAAGCAGGCTACCATTTACCATTTACCATCCGGTGTCTTCTCCACAATCCAGGGATCGGGGAATCGTCAAACTTCTTCCTGATCAAACTTCAGGGGAATGATGGGTTTGTAGGCCTATTCACGTCTCAGGTGTTGGAAAGTGTGCTCCACAATAAATTCGAAGACTGTGTAGTATGGCCTATCTGTTAAGTATTGTTTTAGTTTACTATTGAAGGTGACAGGTTTTTTGATGGTTTTGAGTTGTGGTGGTAATAAATTGAAGAAGTAAGAGCCAGAGTAGTGAGGACTATTGTTGAATTTCTGCAATCGATGTTGTGGCAGGTCTATGTTATGTGTGTTGCGGAGGTTGTATGAGTGTTGTTCTGATCTCAGGGTAGGTGTCGATTGTTTTGCAAGTGTGATGGATTCCAACAGGTACAGGGATATAACTGTAAGGATTTTGTGTTCTCTGAAGATCGGCTTGCAGTGTTCATGATTTGGCAGTTGAAAGATTGTCCTTATGGTCTTCTTTTGGATGGTGAGGATGCGTTCCATGTTCCTGTCCGCTGTGGATCCCCATGCAGCAATCCCATAACGCAAATGTGAACAAAAGAGGGAGTGGTAGGCTATTAATGCTGTAGTTTCATTGGCGATGGCTCTAATTCTTGGAACAACGTGGTGTGCAGAAGATAGTTTTCCACAGAGGTAGTCAACGTGGTCCTGCCAGCTGAGATGTTGATCGACATATATTCCGAGGAACTTTGTTGAGCGCGATAGGGGTATGCTGAGGTCATGCCAATTGCCACCAGATTCGTTTTTGTTGTTAGGAGTAAAGTTTACGAGGACAGTCTTAGCTTTGTTGATGTTAAGTTTCATAGAATTGCACGTAGTGGTTGCGCTGTCAATTGTTGAGTTTACTAGGTTACTATTGTCAATATGATGGTTGGTGGGTACTACTATGGTTGTGTCATCTGCAAACAATATACAATTTATGTTGCCGTTGAATGATTCTGGTAGGCTGTTGATATAAATCAGGAAAAACAGTGGACCGACTATCGAGCCCTGTGGAACGCCTCTGGTAGTCTTCCTCAAACTTGACTTAATGCTTGAAACAGTGTTTTTCTGCTGGTGCTGAATTTCTACAAACTGGAGTCTGTCTGTAAGGTAGTCTACAATCCAACGCTGGGCTTTGTCTGTAATGTTTAATTGTTGCAGTTTGCTCATAAAAATATTCCAGTCTTAAGTTATCGAATGCCTTTTGCAGGTCTAGAAAAATTCCTGTTGCACTTTTTTTACCTTCCCAGATGCTATTTATGTCCTTGCATAGCTTAGCTATTGCTGTGTTTGTGCTAAATCCCTTCCTAAACCCATGTTGGCAAGGGGAAAGTAGGTTGTTGTCTTCCAAATAGGCTATTAGCTGATTATGGATTGTCCTTTCAAGCAGTTTGGAGATGGTGGGTAGGTTTGAGATAGGCCTATAATTATTGGGGTCCAACCTTTCGCCCTTTTTAAATACTGGGTAAATTTTGGCAATTTTCATTTTACTCGGGACAACGGCTTGCTGTATGGACGAATTTTTTATGTGGTGGACTGGTTTTAGAAGTTCGGTTTTGCAAAATTTGAGGATTTTCCCAGACAGATCGTCATAACCAGCTGAGTTGTTGGACTTTATTTTGTTCCAGAGTTTGTCGAGTTCGAGTTCTGAGATGGTTTGGAACATTGAAAGCGGGGGTAGGCCTGTATTGCTTTCCTTTTGTGGTGCACCTGTGCCTGTATGCTGTTGGTTACTTTGTTGAGCAAATAATTTGTTAAAAATGTTACTGACATGGTATGGATCTGTGATAGTTTTACTATTGTTGACTAGGCTAATCTGGTTTGTTTGGTTACATGATTTGCTTCTTTCCTTGTTTACTGTCCTCCACAATTTTCTTGTTTTGTTTTCGGCTTGTGTGATTCTATCTATGGTGTGCTTTTGTCTTCTACTTTTTACCTCAAAATCATACCTCTTCTTCAGTTCTTGGAATTTGCACTTGTCCTCTAGTGATCCTGTTTGATGATATTGATCCTGCGCTGCACATAAAGTGTTTTTTTGGTTAATTAGCTCACTGTCCCAGAAGACATGTTTATTTGAATTGTTGATTTTTTTAGGCTCTTTTGGCATTACGTGATCCATGTTAAGTCGAATGATTTCTATAAAGTTGTTGTATTTAGCCTCCACTGTTGTTGGTTGGAAGACTGGTTCCCAATCAACTTGTTTCAGTTGATCCCTTAGTTCAGCCAATTTCACCCTAGAGAAATTCCTGGTGTATTTATATGTTGCTTGGTGTGGTTTATTTTTGTTTTTTACTTTGCAGACCAGATAGTGGTGATCAGATATTGTCGTGTTATACGCTTTAGTCTCGATTCATGCTTTTGGATATTGGAGTAGCATCCATCTATACTTGAGGTTGAGGTCGGTGTTCTCCTTGTCACTGGAATGTGGTAAATGTAGCAGCCATGTTCAGCTAGAATGTTTTTAAGATATTTACTCCTGGTTCTTCCGGCTTCAGGATATTAAAGTTGGCATCACCCAAAATTACGATTTGGTCAGCTCTTGTCGAGTGCAGTCTGAGTAGGTTGTTAAGTTTTTCCAGGAAAACCATTTCAGTTCCAATGTTTGGAGACCAGTTACATCCAATTAAGACAAGGTTGTGAAATTTATATTTAAGTTTTAAGGCAACTGTCTCAAAGATTTGTTCATCAGGTTTACAGGAGTTGTCGAGATGTTGTACCTCTGCAGTAGTAGAGAAATCTGTCCTTAGATACAAGGCGATACCACCCCACATGCGCTGTGTTCGACAAAAATTAGGGCCTAATTTATATCCATCCAGGTTTGTGAGGGCTAATTCTTCTTCTCGGAGTCCGTGCTCTGATACTATTATTATGTCAGGTTTGTGATGGTCCAGCTCTATGTGCAGTCTGTCTATCTTTCCCTGGAAACCTCTCTGTATGTTTATGTGGAAGATGGTTAAGAATTTATTAGTTAAGAGTTTGTTGCGTTCACTGCTATTTCTAACTAGGTCTATGTTGTTTATGTTTATATTATAATGAATCGGTGGAGAGTCCATAGGCCTACTTAAACTATGGTGTATTTGTTGGATGGTTAGGCTAACTAGCCTAATTATTGTATTCATAAGTTTAAGTAGGCCTCGGTAGGCCTCGGTCTAGATCTGTTAAATCCCAACTTTACCACAAGGCGATATTATCAGCTATTCTGTTGACCTGTTACCCTCCCTTCCCATAGCATTTTAAGATTGCAGATACCTAATCTAATAGTCTTAAACAGTTCCCACACTCCGGACTGCACGCCTTTACTACTTCCTTCACCACTTCCTACGTCGCGGACCTGTTTCCCTCCCTTCCCATAGCATTTAATGATTGCAGATACCTTAATCTAATCGTCATAAACAGTTCCTCTGCTCCGGACAGCTCGCCTTGACTACTTCCTTTACCACTTCCTACGTCGCGGACCTGTTTTCCTTCCTTCCCATAACAATTTTGGATTGCAGATACCTTAAACTAATCGTCATAAACAGTTCCCACACTCCGGACTGCAAGCCTTTACTACTTATCTTCATCACTTCCTAGGTCGCATACCTGTTTCCCTCCCTTCCCATAGCATTTTAGGATTGAAGATAGACAATTAGATAGAAAATTAGGAATCTAATCGTCATAAACAGTTCCCACACTCCAGACTGCTCGCCTTTACTATTTCCTTTACCACTTCCTGCTGCACCCTGTTGGTAATCCTTGTAACTTTAATGCTATTGAACATCATAGAACAGAACCAACTTGTTTATGAAATGAAATGAGTAAGTGCTTTATTAAACAATAAGGTAATATGTACATCCAAAAATATAACACTTTTAAACAATGGTTGATAACAACCGTGTGTTTGGTTGACACAATCTTTGCCTTCTAAAATAGTCTTTAAACAACATTTAGCACAAAAGAAATGAACATTTTTATACAATAAATAAAATAATAATAAAACACAATTAGAGTACTCAATAGATAACAAAACATAATACAGAATTAAACGTAATCAGATAAAAATAAACGAGTTTCAAGGTTTTTTTTTTGTTTGTTTACCGTACCTAAAATTTAGAAATTAAACTCGCTTATAAGATCCCATCTATACTTCCAAGCTTCTCTAATGTATTTTGTGAAGATACACCAATCCTTCCCGTTTAGATTGATCCAACTTGTTTAATTGAAACAGCTGTTAAGATTCATTAATTCTATTTAAATATGAGTACTCATAAGGTTAACATGGGAAACTCCAGAGCCACTGGGGCGGAGCCCAGAGGTCGGAGGGTAAAATCCTTTCTTAGTGAGTGTCTACTACCCAAAAGGAAGATGCCTGCCAAGTTTCAGGTTCCTAGGTCTTATGGTTTCTGAGATTTCGTGATAAGTGAGTGAATGAATGAGTCAGTGGTATTTGAGCTTTATATACAGTATATAGATTATTTAACTATTATTATTATATTATATTATTATTATTTTGGTGTTATTATTCATTTATTTCATTTTTCATTATTATTTTTCATTTTTTTATTTTGTTAGGACATTTTTTTTCAAACGCTTACTAGGCCTATGCAATGAAAATGATCCAGAAGCGTAATAATTTTGATACCGTTGGAAAGAGGAGATTCTGAACTTTTATTTTCATGTATATAAACGAACCTCGTAGCACTAAACAGATCAATATAAATGCTATTATAATTTGAACAGTATGTTGCGCGCGTGACATTTTCGAGCCGCGATCAACAAAATCTCGTAAAACACGTTTTCTTGGAAAAAAATCTACAAGTCTTAATTTTGGCCTAAACATGAAGTGGTGTGTACCTTTGGAAAGAACTTGAGTTGTTCTTTATTTTTGTTTAGAGAACTTTGTCATACGACGTTAGGAAGTCTGAAAAATATTTTTTTGAAAACAGCTGTTTTGTCAGTTTATAGGTTAGGCCCATAGCCTAGGCCTAATCCTAACCTAGCCTACAATCCGTAAGTGTGTCTCACGTCGCAATAATGCTTCTGGAACCTTTATTTGTTTATATTTCTGTATATTAATGTAGGCCTATATTTTATTGTTTAGAAATACATTTTCTATAAATGCATGCAATACTTATCAAATTTTAGTAAAGCATAAAAATTAGATTCAACTTTGAAAAAGTAATTCTTGTTTTCCACAAAACTCAAATTTTGCTTTTCAAATTTCAATTCATATAAATTCATAAAAACAGTCATAACTTTGTGCAATATGGCATTATTCTGAATAAATGTATAGTTAGGCCTCCCTTAAGTAATACCTATAACAACTTTTGTATATAAATTGTATAACTTATTTCTGATTATATTTTTATGTTTCAAATGTACAGCGCAAATTTGGCGATTTTCCCCAATTTCCGCATTTCCACCCGTAATTAATCTAAAAAGATTATTTGAAACAAATCAATTACATTTCCACGTAGGGAAATAAATTGCCTACGTTTGATATAGATATCTGGTATTTTTCGATTCATAACAAAACGAGGAAAAGCCTACAAACATATTTATGATAACCCAGCCTTACCTAACAAGCAGTACGCTGTAAAATAAGTGGCCTCCTTATAATACAAAAGCACCGGTACCAGCATTTGAAAAACTCAATTTTTGAAAAACTTCAAAACAACTACTTGGATTATTATTTTTAATTTACTTACACAAAATGGGAGGAACCAACTATTTACAACATTGGAAACAAACACTACATATTAATATTATTGAACATAAATCACATATGAAATAATACCATCTGTTCCAAATTCAAATACATTGGAATAATATTTTCATGGATATTAGAATTGATCTTCAACACAGGGGACATCAAAATGAAAAGGATAATGGTCCCAGGTGTAGATCATTCTGTGGCGCCTACGGTAATTATAGCTTCTTCTTAATAGGGGAATTTGCTAAAATTTAACTTGGCACTGAATTTAAATTCTAGATAGGTTTGTCCTTATAAACGTCATTTTATAATAAAGCACCTCCTACAGTGCACTGTTGAAGGATGACTTCATTTCTAGTTTGTGAAGGGGAGTGCTTGCTTGTTGCTGATAACTTTGGTTGCCCAGTATTTAGCAGCGTTCCAAGCTTTGGTTTGGAAATTCCTCTTGACTCATTTAAGTTTTCCTTTGACAATATCTACTTTAACATAGGCCTATAATTGCTCAATACTATTATAGCAAGCCAAGGCTGAACAAGAAGAAGAGTTTATAAGCAATACTCTATTGAAGAAAATTCAAGCTTTGAAGAAAGAGAAAGAAACCCTAGCTCATCACTATGAACAGGAAGAAGAATGCCTTACAAATGATTTGTCTCGTAAACTGACTCAGGTAAGCAATAAACGTAAATCCCTTTTTAAGTTATTTCGGCCTTTTTTTTATATGTACAGAATACAATTGTATGCCTACGTTAATACTTGAACGTATTTTAGAAAATGGTATATTAACAGTTTTTTTACTTCTACTTCTTGTGGTGTAGCATAGCATTCTTTAATATAAGGCTGCGGTGAGACAAAATTGGCAACCCCACACCCCTGCCGAGTGCTGTTGCACTAGGCCTGTTTCATAATAGATCGCCTGCACAATGATTATTAACACGTTCCCTACCAACTGTCACACTCCTCTGCAACTGAGGGTTGAGTATAGTTGGTAGCTAATGTGTTAACACGTTCCCTACCAACTGTCACACTCCTCTGCAACTGAGGGTTGAGTATAGTTGGTAGCTAATGTGTTAACACGTTCCCTACCAACTGTCACACTCCTCTGCAACTGAGGGTTGAGTATAGTTGGTAGCTAATGTGTTAACACGTTCCCTACCAACTGTCACACTCCTCTGCAACTGAGGGTTGAGTATAGTTGGTAGCTAATGTGTTAACACGTTCCCTACCAACTGTCACACTCCTCTGCAACTGAGGGTTGAGTATAGTTGGTAGCTAATGTGTTAACACGTTCCCTACCAACTGTCACACTCCTCTGCAACTGAGGGTTGAGTATAGTTGGTAGCTAATGTGTTACAGGGTGTCTACCAACCGGGAAATCCGGGAAAACCGGGAATTGTACTTAATTTTTTACTGGCCATGAAATGTACGGGAATTGTCCTTAAATGCCAGACTATGTCCTTAAATTTTTAATGGGCCATAATTTTATCGATCGCTAGTTGGTTAGGAGCACATAAAAGGTTTATCAGATGTTTGTTTACATTTTCATAATTTATTACTAGAGTAATAAAAACCCTAATAAAAACCAAATATGCAATAAAAACCCCAGCATTCTCAAACCCATTAATATTTTATCACGACAATCAAGTGTCAAATCAAGTACTTCCAAGAACTGTTGATTCAGTAGTAGTTTAGCTCATAAAAGCTGTATCACTTTTATTCCTTTACAACATTTATTTATGACTAGGGTAATCATTATTAGATCCCAAACATATTTTATCATGGAAATAATAGTTTTATAATGGTTGTTAAATTTCACTTCTTACTTGTACTTCAATTTGCCGCTGGCCATTGCCTAGGGCCATAAAACTGTTTATGGTTTCATATAAAACATGTAACTATAATCTTAAACATAACTAAATTAAACCCTTTTTTTATGGATATTTTATCTTTCAATTGACAAAACCAAAAGCATCATTGTTTGCATTACATTTTTATCACTACGTAGGCCTACTTGGTTTCAAATGATGTCATAGCATTTTCTGTATCTTTGTACATTGTTGGCAGTCAGGTTTCAATGTTTTTTATTTCCCATATTTATTTATTGAGTTGTATGCTTTAAGCAATCTAAATCTTATTAACTATTATTAACTATCTTTTTATCTTATTATCTTATTGTAGTGACTTTGCTGTATAACCTCATAGTTTGTTTCTCAGTTTATATAGGCCCTCCTAAATAATTAGGCCTAGGCCTGGGTATTTTGATTCTTTGAAAGTGCTGTAAAATATACTAAGAAAATGTAATTGAGCCTAAGATAAAGTAATGATTGCTATGTGTCGATATTAACTTTGCAGATGAAAAGACAATAATCTTACTCTGTGCTTACTGGTACCGATTTGTACCTAGAACCGAGTTACAATATATTCATTATGCATTAAAGATTTTTTTTTTTCAAAAGTAGTCGAGGACCTAACGTTGTGCCAGGGCGAATAATGCCAAATTAATCCACCTGCATCGGATAAGCTATGTTATGATGTTTCCGTGACCGATGGAGATATTTAGGATTTTGTCGCTATTGCAGGAGACATTGATTGCGTTTTTCTGTTAAACTATAAAAGCTGTACCTAAAGTATATGTTTGTTTACTTCAATAAGTTTCTATTTTGAAATTTAATTCTTGTCTATTATATTTTACTTTTCTCTCTGGAACAACCACGAAGAACAAGATTAATACAGTTTGACAAATCAGGAATATTATTCTGTAATCACACCAACAAAGGTCCTTAAATGTACGGGAATTGTCCATGAATTTTTTATCCAGAATGTAGTAGACACCCTGGAACACGTTACCTACCAACTGTCACACTCCTCTGTAACTGAGGGTTGAGTATAGTTGGTAGCTAATGTGTTAACACGTTCCCTACCAACTGTCACACTCCTCTGTAACTGAGGGTTGAGTATAGTTGGTAGCTAATGTGTTAACTTGTTTCTTTAGTGTTGTTACCATGGCAATAGGCCGTTGCCACACACCAATGCCGCGGCCATATAATGGAGGAGGCTATAGGTATAAATTTCAATTTGAATCTAAAGTATTTTCTGTATTTCTAAAGGATGATAATAATTCAACTCAGTTTAGTTCTTTATAACAGCACACACTTTGGTGCGTATTTTAAGCTAAGTATGAATGAAGTCCGAGTGTAACGGAGAGATGATCTGTGTAGCTTTGTTACTGACTAGACTATGTATGACTGCTCCAGTTTTTAACCATCGACAAGCTAATATTCAACCGTCGTAGTTTATGTAATAAAATGTAAATTAACTGTTAACTTTGTTTTTTGACAGCTACGACAAGAGAAGTGTCGGTTGGAACAGACGCTTGAGCAGGAACAAGAATGTCTCGTTAACAAATTGATGCGAAAAATCGAGAAGTTAGAAGCAGAAACGTTAGCGAAACAAACAAATTTGGAACAATTGAGGAGGGAGAAGGTAGTATAATTTTGCAGTCTTTCAATTTATTTAGTAAATGCTCTATTTCAGTAGCCTATCTTAATTTTAGATTATTTTATGGCAGTTCAGTTTTAAAAACTCTTTTCCTAATTTAATAACAGCATAGCATAGCAATAACAGAATTGAGTTGAAATGATTTTTTGATGTTTCACTGTAGTATATTTTTGTTTTTTCCTTGGGAGATGCCTGCATTTATTTTATTCTTATGTATTATTAGTCCAATATTAACTATCCGTTGTAATTTTTTGTGCATTATAGGTGGAATTGGAAAACACTTTAGAACAGGAACAAGAAGCATTAGTTAACAAATTGTGGAAACGTATGGATAAGTTGGAAACTGAGAAAAGGTGAGAATCTACATGGTGAAAGTCCTATATTTACAATCTTACATATTGGATGTAATATAATATATCAATTTCCAAAAACCAGACAACATATATTGATATTGGTTCCCCTTTTCAGTTGCCACACCAGTGTTATGTTCTGGATTTAATGTACTTTCTTCCTTACACTATGTCACAGTATCTTAATGCTCTTGACAAGCTAAACAAAAATGCACTATCATATCCAATGTTTATCTTAAGTTAAATGGTAAATAGCCTGATAGTATCGTTAAGGCCGTGTTACTTAAGTATTTATGCACCTAGGTGGGAATATTTTTAATACATGTTGAAAGTTGACATATTTTATTGACTGTAAAATTTTACAAACTTAGATTTTCCCACAGATTTAAATAACATTTTAAAAAAGCTTTGCTAGTATAGTTAAAACATATTAGGGAAATGTGGTAAAAACTAAATATGTATGACTTGTAGGCTTTTACAAATCAAACTGGACCAACCAGTCTCGGATCCTGCGTCACCCAGAGATATCAGCAACGGAGACGCAGCCAGCAATCTGAGTGCTCACATACAGAACCTTCGCGGGGAAGTGACGAGGCTGCGCAGCCAACTAGCCAATGCTCAACAAGAACGTGAGTTTGGCCAATTACATTTAATAGTAGCCTTCGACCAAACATTTTATAAGTTCAAATTCCACATACCTTCGAACCCATTATACACCAAATTTGCTATACAGATCTGAAAAATTTCTTTTCAAAAAGTTGCACAAAGCAATTCTCTTTGAATTAAGAGAAAATATATTGTGTGGAATCTGCTGAACAGAGTTAACGTATCCTTGTGAAGCACTAGAATAAAATCCTCTACAATTGAGCTATTAATTTTTTTGCTTTGATGCATTGACTCAAGTTACATTTAGGCCTAAATATTTAATATTAACCAAATTTAAGAATACAATTGAATTCAAGTTAAGCTGAAAACCCCTTGTAGCATGTGCCCCATAATTGGATTGCATTTCATGGCTTCTTAAAAATGATCCTAGTTTTTTTTTTTTTCTAGGACTCTAGGCACGAGCCTGGGAATATTTTTCATATTACTTCAGGCTAGAGCTAGGGGTTGCGGCATTATTACTTAGATCAAATCCATTGGTGATTTGGTGGGATTTGAACCCGGGACCTCTTGGACCGAAGTCCCGCGCTTTAACCACTAGACCAGCTCACTCCCTCCCTCCAAAAACATTATCCTAGTACTGTACCTAAATATTCTAAACCTGTCAAATTGACTAGTATATACTAGTGGCCTGTAGGGGCCATAGCCCCTAATTTAGACTACAATAAAAAACCCATATATAAAAAGACAAATATTCAAAATATGTTTTTAAAATTATCAATTTTATGTTACTTAAAATTAACAGTGTTTCTTGTTTTATATCTTGGTTTCCCTTCCGTTGGAGTTGTATATTAGTTGCTTCTGATGTGACAATGAAATACAATTGTAAAATAATGATTAAATCAATAACACAACATATTAACAAATGGAAACGTGCACACGGTTTGGCCTGAGCCCGGAAAACGACGAATCAGAGCTGAAATCATATAGGCAAACATTGCACATCTTTTCTAGTTTAAAATTGAAGATTTGTTTTGTAATCTTACGAATTCTGTTATAGTTTCCATTTTGAGAACCAAATGTAAAGGTTAACATTATTATTAATTATTATGAAGGCAACTCCCCATTTTGCGGTAGTAAGTCAGAAATATATCTAGATGCATTTGCCCCTGAATTTTAAGACAGTAAGGCCCATTTCCCGGAATCTCTTTTTGTGTAGCGGAAAGCGACGCAAAACCCATTGCACTGTTGTATTACCTTATGTTTTTTATGAAGTTCGAATCATGTAAAAACAGTTCTTTTAGTTTATCATTGACTTGTGGTTGTGGCATGTCCATTGTGGCAACATGCGTTGAAATGTCCATTTGTGGCCTCCTCTGGGAAGTGAAATGCGCCACAATGCATGCAAGTTCTTTAAGAGGACCTAGATTGTGAGAAACAACACTCAACTCATTTTCCAGCGTTCTTCTAAAGACAGGTTGTAAAACAGCTTCTGGATTTCTTTCACAGTTAGGCCCTACATGACGTTCTCTTTTGCATTTCTTAAGTCTGTTGAATTCCTGGACACTCTTCCACGTCTTGCAGGTCTTCTCCTACCCTGTTCTAGTTACTTCACTCATTATAAAAACGGAAAACAAAAAAAATAAACACAATTCATTTTGGAACATTATTTACCAACATTGACTTTCGGAATAAATGTAAACATTGCAAATAAATAAGTAACAGCTGATAGAATGCAGACGTTTTTCAGTCCCCATGCATTTCTTATGGTGGATATTTTACGTTATATCTCGTTTTCTGGTAACTTTGTGGGAATTCTGCTATTTTTCCCGAGTCCCTGGGGTCAAGACCCCTCCCACTTTTCTGCGACTTACCAGACGTCCACAATTTTCTGGTAAAAATTTGGTCTTACAGAATGTTTTATATATATAGATATAGGGCCTATATATATATATATAGTATATATAAAAATTAGACATCATCTTCAATTGTGATAATTTAATTTGAGAAATATTGCTTGTTACAGATACGGAGAAAATGGAGAAATTTGTCAAGGAGGAAAGATGCATCAAAGAAGAGAACCTTCGACTGCAGAGGAAGCTGCAGATGGAAGTGGAGCGAAGAGAAGCGTTGTGTCGGCACTTGTCTGAATCAGAGAGCAGGTAGGTTGTTAAAGTTGTTGCCAATTTTAGAGTAAAACTAACCTATTTGAATTTAGCCACTAACACATCCCTGGTGTAAATAACTGATTAACCAACCTAAAGTGAAAGAACAACATACAGTCAGCGAGTCAGCTGTATCTTATTTTATGACAAACATTTTTGTCATAACATTTTAGCACAGCAACCAGATCTATGAGAGAACAGGTAAATTTAATTTTAAAAATTGTTAAAGCTGGTCTGTATAGGTGGGATGCCTACTTTACAGAAGTACCTGTCCAAAAGTCAATGCTGCACCTAGGCTATTGTCGATTTTGGTACTGTGCATCAAGCGTAGGCTTTTATTTTAACGCCATGAGTTAAAAAGATCCTTATTGTTTTATTTTATAACTTTAATCTTGTCAAAAAATTAACATTACTTATTTAGAAATTCTAGGGACTTGGAAAAATTTCTTATCATTTTGATATAGCCTACAGAATTATTTAGAAAATTGTATCCCGAACAAACTTTGCCTCTAACCTTTCTCTGAGTATCAGAATGTTTGGGATTGCAGCTCATCAGGCAAATATCAGTTCTATTGTTCGGTTATCTACTTGTTTCTTTTATTTATCTATTAGTTGGTCAACACTATTCACAAAGGTAAATGTGTACATAAGATAAGCATTTAAAAACCAACAAACAGAAAAATCTTCAATATATGGCATACCGTCTATATTCTTATTTTTGTATACAAGCATTAGAATATGTATGCCAGTGGAATGTTGACAACTTATAACAACTATACCTCACCCACCAAAAATACTTTTAAGATAGATTCAAAAGTTGAAAACATCAAGAAAATTACCTTTTTAATCACCTGCAAGTGATGGTATGCTTTAGAATATGCTTTAAAATGTCACCGTAATTGTAAAATTTGTTATGCCTGGTACAGGTAATAAAGGAACGTTACACTAAAAAACCTCAATTGTATTAAATTAATTTGCTGCCTAAAGTTTCAAATGTTCAACATCTGTTTGTTATATTCTAGCTTAGAAATGGAAGAAGAGAGGCACTACAACGAGATAGCGTCCGTTCGCTCCAGAGCAGTCTCCAGTCCGATCCCATACAACCCTTCACCCAGTGTGTCCAGGCCACTTAGTCCGGGAGGTGAGTCATGGAGCCTTGGGTTCAAACCTGGCCAATCACCAAAATGTCATGTGATGAAGTAGTCATGACAAGTAATTTATCTATACCTACATTTTCCAACTTAAAAAGATGTCCAGATAAAAGGGAGTTTCCTCAGAAGGATTTACTGTCAGTGACTAGTACGTTTTAAGCATTGACTTGAGTAGTGGAAGTAAACCTAACCTCTTGTGAAATCTAAAGCTTATTTTGATTAGTGCATGTCGGTTACGTTTTAGTACACTGTGTCAGGTAAATTTTTTATATTTTTTAAAAGCCATTTAACAGTTTGAAGCTAAATTTTATGGTTGTAACATCGGAGGAAAAGTTCATAAATTATTGTATGTTAAAATATTGTTATGATTTTAGGCCTAATTGACCATAAATAAATGAACAATTAACTGTAACTTACATGGACTGAACAGAATTATATCATAAAATTGCGTGTTGATAAAACTTATAAGGGCTATGTTTAAGAGGCGGCCGGAGTCAACCAAAATATCACCGTTTCACAGCGCCTTCAAATACAAAAATACGGTAGCGCCACCATCGCCGCGGTCACTAGTAGGACTAAAAACCCTCAAGCTAATAGGAGAACACCACCCACCATCGGGAGCGGGTCACCAATATTGTAGTACGGTACAGTAAATACTAATTACTGTATATTTTGTGTCCTACTGCCTCATACTCGCGTGTCATACACTAACCACGTGGAGAAAAGACTCCTCTAAAAATTCTCGATTCACTTTTTTTTAAGAATCGTTAAGTCATATTGATTTACATTTATAGATTGAATAACAACTATTCTTTGAATGTTATATTAGCTATAGAAACATATTCTGTAAATATACGTAAGAATAATATAATACAAATTTCTAATTACGTTGCTTTTCGAGTAAAAATAGCAACCTTGAAAATTAAAAGGACTGTAGTAAATTTTAACGACTCACTTTTACAATTCTATTCATTACCGTCGTAACTATTACAAGACCAGAGATGAGGTAAACCAGAAACCATATTAGTCTGTACGAAGAAAATGGGGACATTTTTAAACATTCATCATAAAAAATTTAGTGAGATTTGAATCGTTTGTTATTTCAATCATCTATATAAATTGTTCTAAGCTTGTTTGCAATCTATTAGTTTTAAATTAGGCAAATATATTATTTTGAGAATTATATTTTCAAGAACGTTTATCATTTTAATTATCAAACATCCTACGACACCAGACATTGTGATGTTGAACTAATGAGGACCAATAGCTGACTGTCTTCTAATTGTAACGGGGTTAGAAGTATGACTCACTCAGGGCCGTCTCCACGGCTGTGTCCCCAACTGAGCAGACACAATAGACCCAAGGGTTCGACTATTAGCACGGTCCAATGGTTTCCACATTGTTTGTGTTTTGGCATCCTATCTACTCAAGACTCAAGCGTGGCTGTACCCACCTTCCAAGCAAATCGACCTCAACGCCGCACTTCATGACCAGCTTTCTCCTATGTATCTGTCTTATATTAATTGTATAATCGGCGACATTATTTAAATAAATTTTACATAAAGATCGAAATATAAAAGGGGAAAAAACTAAACAGATTTATAAATTTTTAAACAAAAATGGTTTTATTTACTTAAGTAAACATAGGCCTAAATGGCAAAACCCAGAAGTAGACCTACACATCGATTATAAAAGTAAGAAGTAAGTAATATATGACAATAGATCAATATTAAAACAATAGCATGAATATTGATATGGTCATTATGGTAAACAATTTCAAAATATGATTAATAATTAATGTATTAATTATCGTTTTATTAATATATTAATAATCATACAAATGTTATATAACAATATAATCGAGTAAAATATACACCGGACATAACAAAGAGAAGGGAAGGTTGGCATTGTAATAATTTCGAAAAAGAAACCACGCTGAGATAAGCCTGTGGACGGTTCAAAATTCAATAAAGATATAACACGATTAAAACAAACACTAATAAATATAAAAAAATTGCATAAAATAATAATTGTCTTAATTAAAATCCTAACAGTAAACACAATTGTAACAGAAATTGATAATCAAATGCAGACTATTTACAAAAATATCAAAACATACCAACTAAACATATACTTTACATGGGATACGAGATAAAAATAGTGTAAAAAAACAAGGGAAATTTAAATGGGATACGAGAAAAAAACAATATAAAACAAATACAAGGGAAATTTAAAATACTAAAAAATATACTTAAATACAGTAATATACTTAAAACAATAGCGTGAATATTGATATGGTCATTATGGTAAACAATTTCAAAATATGATTAATAATTAATGTATTAATTATCGTTTTATTAATATATTAATAATTAATACAAATGTTATATAACAATATAATCGAGTAAAATATACACCGGACATAACAAAGAGAAGGGAAGGTTGGCATTGTAATAATTCCGAAAAAAAACCACGCTGATATAAGCCTGTGGACGGTTCAAAATTCAATAAAGATATAACACGATTAAAACAAACACTAATAAATATAAAAAAAATTGCATAAAATAATAATTGTCTTAATTAAAAGCCTAACAGTAAACACATTTATAACAGAAATTGATAATAAAATGCAGACTATTTACAAAAATAACAAAACATACCAACTAAACATAAACTTTACATGGGATACGAGATTTAAACAGTGTAAAACAAAAACAAGGGAAGCCTGTGGACGGTTCAAAATTCAATAAAGATATAACACGATTAAAAGAAACACTAATAAATATTAAAAAAATGCATAAAATAATAATTGTCTTAATTACAAGCCTAACAGTAAACACATTTATAACAGAAATTGATAATAAAATGCAGACTATTTACAAAAATAACAAAACATACCAACTAAACATAAAACTTTACATGGGATACGAGATTTAAATAGTGTAAAACAAAAACAAGGGAAATTTACATGGGATATGGATATTAAAAAACCCTAATGAATGCCTAGTACAAAAGAAAACAAAATACAAACAATCCCGCAACAAAGTGCATTACTGCATTGGCGTATTTTCTGGCTTGTGGGTTTTGCACAGACTTTTCTTTTTCATGTCTGCTTTGGCCTTTGCTTCTTCTATGTAGGAGGGGTTTCTGATCGGCATTGACCTGTTGTGTCGCGGGTCGATGATTTCCGGAAGAAGGCAGTCCTTGTAAGATCGCTGCAATTTTGGAAACATTTTTTCCTTCCAAAACTCGTCGTCACGGTCAACTTTGGCTATTTTTATCCCCTTTGGTGTCCATAATGTGAAATAGCAAAATTGGCGCCTAGTCACTCTCAGTTGTCCCTGTATTTGGTAATAAAAATTATGGTTCCGGTTAATGTCACCTATTTCACCATTTTTCTCAAGTGTCCAGAAAGTACATTTCCTTGTCTTGATTGCGTCCTCTGGTGTTAAGTCTTTAGCTGATGATGGACACTTGATTTCCACAGTGGCAATATCACTCACCAGACCATCAGGACTTCCTCCAAGGAAAGGGTACTCACTGTCTATAAAAATTCCACACTTTTGCACATTTTCCCCGATTTCCTTTTCTAGGACTACTCTCGCTGTCTCTTCGTTGGTCCTGCCATATTGCATAGCTTCACAATCGACAACTGTGTAAAGTATTTGCTTGACCAACGACTCGCAACCAGTGGTTGGGCGCATTTTGCACACTCGTCCAAAGTTTGATGCCGTAAGAAGGCTCCTCCGCAGTTCAAGCCATTCGCTGCTGTCAGACTGAAGGACTGTTTCTCGCTCAATCCGGTGACGTTCTTCATCTGTTTTTTTTTAGACTGGCCAGAAACTCTTCTGATTCTCTTTCCATGGTTTTCTCGTCAATATCCGGCCTTTGTGCGTTTAGTCCGTAATCAATTTCTTCATTCATATTGTTTGAGAATAAAGACTTGCGGCATCTCTTGCTGTTCCTCTTCTTGTCCATTTTCCTTTTCCTTTTCATTTGATTGCTTTTAGCAAAAGTACCGGGACTAGATTTATATACCGCCTTGTGAAACTTGTAGTGGGCTTGGCCGGAGTTGTACTGTACCACAGCAGCTGTACAGCGACCTTGATACGAACCGCTTAAGGCGAAATTAATTCGCTTTCCACCAACGAATTTCGCAACAATGGAGTTAAAGTGTTCAACATAGTTGCTCGTGACATCAATCAGCAAACTCCGGCTATGTCGACTTACATCTCTGAACACTTCACAGATCGCTGAATATAGTCCAACAGAGGTGAGCTGTGGTACTAAGTTGTTTGTTGCTGGAGCAGTTGTTGGGTCTTGTTCGCAGAAATATCCTCGTTCCTTACACTTTTTGTGTTCGCCAAAGATGTGGCTCGGAATATTGAGAATATCTTCCCTCAAACAATCAATCTTCTCGTTGATAAGTCGGTTTTCTGTTTTCCGGTAATCTTTAGCTTTTGTTACGGCCACCCTGCATCGCAATATGCTATCCCCAATTTTTTTTCGAAGGAGTACAGAGGACTTCTGTGTTTTGGAGCATGCAACAGCCTTCATCCTGGTACACATATTTCGAAGCAGATGGTTTTTACATTCTACTTTTTCGACCGTAAAATGTTTATATGGTCGGCTCTCTAATATTCTTTTATAGACACTACTGTCGCCATCTGCGATTAATCTAGCATACCGTATTTGATGCATTTCTTCACTTTTCTTGAACCCCTCGCAGATAATCGCTGCCTCCATGCTGGTCGAACTTTGCTTTATCCCCCAGTTTTTGTAGCATGTATGTGGTTGAGCTGCATCACCCTTTCCTTCGGCCCGCGCACAGGTAGTACAATATTTGTTCTTCACACCAAGGAAAATAACTTTTCTGGTTCTGAAACCCACGATTGCCGCCTGAAAAAAATAAGAACAAATATGTTGAAATAGTGGTCATTTTTAATGGTTTAGTTAATTAAAATAACATGTTATGGAATGCTAATTTCTTGTACTTTAGAAACACATATAAAAACACATTTTTGTATTTTTTTCTTTTAAGTACAATATCAATAACAATGCCAGTTCAACTCGGCACGGTGTTCGCGACAGCGTGTTAAAACGCGTAATAATATTTTGTATTAATGTAATTTTGTTTGGCTTTTACTAGCAGCCTGTGAAACTTCGTGACTTCTACATTCGTGATATATATTTCAATTAATTTACAATTTACTATTACTCTGTACAACCACAAAATCAAACGTAATTTATTTTATTCTTTACATTTTATACAAATAAGAGCATAACAATATTTTACTTGAATTCACTAAAACATAACAAACTGTAACGATAACCTTATTTTCGTGTAGATTTAAACAAAATATTCTATCATGGACATCTGTTATGATGTAAACAAATGTAAACTTGTAAAAGTTCAGGCAATTGACAAAAGAATTCAGCAGAAACTCTGAAATTTTAAAAGCCTACGAACGAAGGGCTTTCACGGGATATCATCCAAACCCGCACAAACTACATTTAGAGGAGAAGAGCCTTAAATTGATAATCAATATGCCTATACAAATAAAATATTTAGGGGTCGATTTGCTGCACACAAAAATCCAACAAATTATTTAAGAATACAAAAATAATAAAGGGTCACCGGAATTTTATCCCCTGGTCAAAGCTGACGTCACTATGACCACAGAAAACGTACTACTATAACCTATGACGTAGTAACCAGAGTGGCCAAAATGTTGTTCGCGGCCGGAATTTTACCCCCACGGATTTGGAAGTCTAATGAAAATAGTCAGAGCGTGATTAATTAGATTAGCGGTAAAAACCGGAATTTTACCCCCTGTCCATATAACTAGAGTTTAGACACTGAAGATGTACGGGCCGGATTTTTACCCCCGGATTTTTACCCCCGGAATTTTACCCCTAGCCCATTTTAGAAATTGAATGATTGATTTTCTTATTTCTGTTTTTAATTAATTGTAAACATTTCATTATTTAGTAGCCTATCTTTATTTATTTATTTTACCCCTGGTTTGTGACGTCACGTTTGCCCAGGGGGTAAAATTCCAGGGGGATAAAAATCCGCTACCCCATAATAAATAGTACTATAGCTGTAGGATAAAAGTGAAAGGTTAGATGAATAGCAATATATATTGGATTACTTACAACGCCTGACAAGGAGGAGTAATTTGTCCTGTACGATCTTTTGCACCAAGCCCCGTCAGCAACCACGGTGATAAGCGGCATGCCGTCCTTATCAAGGTCGCCGTCCTCTCGCGCCAGCCGTGCCTCCTCTGCAGCCGCTGCTTCCATCTCCAACAACGCCGTTGCTGTCCAACCCGCTGACACCTTCTCTTCATACTTTTTAAAAGTTTTTTGTGACATTGGTGGTATGTCGAGGACACTTAAAAACTCCTCTACCTGAGCATGACCACCGCCAGTTGTAACCGTCCCACAAACAGCACCAGTGTTCACATCCATCATTTTTTCATTATTTAATTCAGTCCACAAAGTACTTTGGTAAGAGCACATTTTACATTTGACACCGAATCCACTTTTGATGCCGACCCTCTTCTCCGAAACTATATCAACATCAGCGAATTTGCAGCCAAATGGGCTGTGATTGTCCAACTGTTTTATTTGTGTAAAAAGGTCCCCAATATTCACTATTCTTCTACCACTAATTCTTGTCCCACACTCTTCATCCTCCACACAGCTTACTTGTTGAAGCATACAATTAGTCAGATTTCCCCCTTCAAGCTGCTGATCTGTAGAATTTCCATCTTCTGCTTGCCTTCTAAAACAAACACAAATTGAGTTAACATTTTATTTCTTTAGTGATTTGTTCAAGTAAATACAAAATTCCATCACACACCCTACATCTATCAAATAAACCATACAAAGTTTCATACAAGTATATTCTTGATAGTACAAGCAATAATACAATTTAAATTATTCTTCACAAGAAAACATTTGATGAATGCCCATTGATGAATGCAATCATTGACTATATAACACTATGCAATTAATGAATCCCCATCTCCACTTGTCCTGTTTGATTTGTTCAATTTAGCAAATAATTTCATTCATGATATCCCCGTGACATTTGAGGTGCGTTTATCAGACCGCGTTGCACCAGGGTGATAATTTAGAGATGCAAAAATGTAAGCAAAACAATTACAGTTTGTAGTTAGATCTATTCTTTATAATAACAAATGTATGTTTGTTTAATGAATTTAATTAGGAAATGAATTACCAGTACTGTAATTATTTTATAGCGTACACAATTATTTGGGATGCGGAATTAAGTAAAATGTTTTGTTCAAGTCATGTTCAGTTTGGGAGTAGTCTAAACGTTTTCTAAGTTTTTATTAAATTTATATTCATTTGCTGTACAAATGTCCTGAATCCCGGATAAATGGAATGGTGTAAGATCGTGGAATTTGTGCATGTACCGTTCCATCCGCGTTGGGAAACAAAAGTCAAGGGTAGGGGTGAAAGTGGATGTCTATTGTTTGGCGTACTGTGACAGTGAAGCGACTTTACAGCCGTGAGGTTGTTGACCTAGACCTAGTCGAGCCTAGAGCTATAATGGAAAAGCGCGCGAAAAAACACCTATGCCCTCATCTCAGTCACACTGACATGCGTTGATACAACGATGTTGTGTGTACGTACATGACGACTGGAGAGGACATGGTCCTAAAACAGCTTCAGTCCAGTGGTGTTCGGCTCACTATAGTGAAACTTCACTAAACTAACTAACTTAATTAATTGTTCATAATTTCACTTCAGGATTGATTAAATTATAAAAATAAGGTTACTGACCTGTTTTCACTCAATAATTTGTCATGGATGAGTAGTTTCTGGGTTTCAACCCCACTTTTGATTCAGTTTCTCGTCAATGGCCATACATAATCATTCAGCACTTGCCGTGGTAAAAAATAGTTATACATAAAATTTTTAAATTATTAAAAGTTTATACTGTATGTGTGTATTTTATGTATAAAGTATATTTAACGACGGCAAATGTTTATGTTATATGAATGATTATGTTTGACGATTGGCAATAAAAAGGATTTTAAAATGGGCTTGAAACCCAGAAACTAGTTATCCACAGCATCCCGTAAGGGCTATAAATAATTCACAAATTACAGCTTACCTTCTCTTTTCATTGTACTGAACTAGTGCTGGGTTTAATCTTCTTTTCTTGCGATGAGCTGATAGGGTGAGTCTCGCTTTTCCCATTTGTACACAATAAAACACTTGGATGAACAGTAAAACAACTAGCCTATTTATTTAAGGTGATAACTACGGCAAAACACTACAAAAATATTTATTTACACCACTAGACTTATAAAACATTTATAATATCATTAAAAACTACTACGCTTTTAATGCAACTATAATTATAACAGACAAAATATTAGCACGTCTCCTCAAAGCAGTAGGTCACGCACGAATGAATAATGTTGTGAAAGTTCAAAATTATATTCTTAGGGCCACCAATGGAGCCTATTTTGACGTCATGACAGTAAGCGACGGTGGTGCTATCCTTCAGCCCTTCACGGCACTACTACGACACTATTTATTTCGAGAGCGTTCTCCGCCTACTAATAGTTGATGAGGGGAATTCATAAAACTGAATTTAAACATGTTTGGAATAAATTATCATCCATTTTTTGACTATAGAGACCTTCCCCATGAAATTATCTTTATAATGGTATAGTTTTCAAAAAAAATTACAGTCGCAGGAAAATATAAACCCCTACCGCGATTACGAAAAATATCGGAGTTTCTTATGGGTACATTGATCTTGAATAAAAATTATAGACCGATAATATTGACAGATAATAAAAAAATCAACCTTCCACTACCGATAGGACACTAAGTGCTCGGTTTCTATAGTGAAAGTTATTTAGATTTGTGACAGGTACTTTTTAAAACGCAGTTTTAAGCAATTTCCCCATGTTATAAGTGGTGGCAGCGGCGTAAGGCCTGCGGCTGACTCCTGCGCCCTCTTAATCTTCTAGCCTAGTCATTCTAGTTGGAGCTAAGTACCTGCTCTATTCATTTATGAAACAATCTTGCTGATCTGTCCTAAATTCCCAAATGGAGAGGAATTTGATGGTAATGTCTGTTGTAGCTGGTCTGTCTGCTCTGGGTGGTCCGGTTCCTAGTACCCGTGACAGTCTGGGTGCTGTTGTGGGTGTTCCACCCGTAGTACCAAGGTGTTACGCATGTGGTCTGGGCACAACTCATTCTGTGCCGCCTATCAGCCACACCTCTCCTCCTGCTCCTCCTCATGGGGTTAGTACTCTACTTGCTTTGCGTTGCCGTTAAAAACTTTTAATTGTTTTTTTCAAGCATTTACTTCAAATTATAAGTTTAAAAGTATTTAAAAACAGATGTACCTGATACTTGGAAACTAACTTCTCATTACTTTTTTCCTGAATTGTTATTGTTGTGTAGTAGGCTTATATAACTCTCAGAACTCGGGCCCCCAAAACCCGGCAGAAATTGTTTGTAAGCTGATTGATGTTGCTTGAAAAAAAATACTGGAAGTCATTAATTAGCTTGTAATCGGTTTCTGCATTATGCCCAGCTGATTAACAACATAAAATTAGTTTTGAAAAATCATTTATGCAGAGCAGTTTAATAATTTTTTTCTACCTCACCATTTAGGCAGAGTGTGACTTAAATTGTTAACCCTTAATACAAAAAGGTCCTGTAATTATTTAAAATCACAGTACATTCAACATCTCTTAGTACTTGTTGCTCTTTGTACATTCCTAACCTTAATTATTGTAAAGTAGGCCATTAATTTAACTAATCCGCCAACATAGGCCCATCGCTATTGTTGATGATACTGTATTTTCTTTCGTGCAAATAACCAAATAAAATATATTTAAAAAAAGAGAGGTTGTCATTTAAATTTTGAACAGATTGTCCTGTCAGTTTTTTTTGTTTATGCAATTTAGATTTTTGGTGTTGAGCATGAATCACAAAAAAACTTACATTAACGTTAGCATTACTTTTTTAAAATTGTTAAGAAAAGCATTACTTCAGTGGAAACTTTTGGTATAATTAATGAGATGCCAGTGGTGACAGCAGTCTGTAAATAGTCCTCACTTTTTGCGGCATTTTGCCAGAACACCTACAATGTTATACCTAGACCACTTGCCATTGATTCAAGTTATTTATGTAGCCAATATAATTTCATTCTTAAATAAACCATAGTATAATGGATATTAGTATAATGGTTTTTAGGGAACATTAAAAATTATAGCCTAGTTAGAGACCTAAAATATTTTAGCAAATTTCCCTGTAAATGCTCCTTGCAGCATCTAAATTGAACGTACCCATCAATTCAATGTTATTTACCGTAGGGGCTATTATATACTCGGAACCGACTTAATTTCATTTGGGTGTCCCCATGGGTGGCAATTTTAATTAGACAAAGGTGTGTAAAGAGTGTCACTTTAAAGCTAAGGGTTTATTTACACGAATACAATTAAGTATTGTTTAATATTTACTAAATGTAAAAAGTGCTATTGTAATATTTGGTGTTTACCAGGTCCACCACTTGAGGCCAGGACAGCGGCCCTCTGAACGGTTTATCAAGCCAGCAATTCCCCCCTCCCCTTACTCCCCTCAGGGCCCTACTTCCCCCTCCCCTGCCAGCCCCATGGACACATCCAGGTCTTAGTCTGCAGCAATCCACCGACTCGTTATTCATTGTGATAGATTAACATGTGCAAGATTTTTCTGGAATATCGCCCTCAAAAGTGGCAGTCATTCCGCCGATACTCGTAATTCATCATTGTAATGTGTATTTGGACTTAAACAAATTTCCAATGATATTTAGATTTATTCTAGCACCACATCCTGTCAATTTGTGCTTTCTGAGTGCACACCGAACTATGTGTGTCATATGTGTGGTTTATGCGTTGTTTCCCGAGATATGAATTACTAGATTGTTACGGTTAAAGCGACAGTGAATGACCGTTAAAGCTTAAGTTACTTACTATCAAGTAAATTACCGTAAACTTGTCACACAGTCAAATTCTGGTTGTTTGTACGAGACACTATACACTATAAAGGTAAGCTTGAAGATGAACTGGTTGAAACACTTAGTTTTGTTTGTGTTACAAAAAGATGATTGACACTTTCTTTTTTAATCATTAAGCCTTTATATGATGTTTTTTATACAACACGGTCATTCACTGGTGCACTCACCCTATATTGTATGTGTAATGTTGGTAAGATTGATACATTTTTGGTATTGAATTTAAGATTTATTTCACATCACGGGGTCATCTTTTGCTGATTTATTCCAGTTATAATCAACTGATAGAATTTCAATGTTGAATCACGCTTTTTGCAGCTTTAGGCCATATAGTCAATGCTGTTATATTCCATAAGCTTATTTTGTAATAGTTGTAAATAGGTTTTCTTTGATACATTAATTATTCGATTTATAAACCATTATTTTTAAGTTAAGGTAGCTTGCTTAGTTAAGTTTGTGGGCAATAGGTTTCGAGGTAGTGCATATAATCGTTTTGATTTTAGTATAAAACCAAGACCTGTGATCCGTTTGTGGGATTGATGTGATGAAAACCTTGTAAAATGTTACCACTGCATGTAACGTTTTTAACAATGAATACATCTATCTACTTAATATTCCAGTAATGAACTTGTTCATAAGACATTTTGAATTTCTATCTTTGAAAAGGTCTCATAATTTTTTGTCTTCAATAAAGGATGTAGTTTTGGTCCTTCAAGTGTCCACGTCTAGGTAAAACAATTTGAAAAACTACTAAAGCAATAATCAAAATATCAAGCAGTAAACATTTTACTAGGTTTTATATTTTTGTAAAAAAGTAATAGTTTGTGTGATCATAAAAACTGTTTATTTTTTATAAACAAATGTTAGATCGCTAGGCAAACACCAGCATATAGGTGCCTTGGCAGGATAGTGATCCTTATTAATCCTCGTGGACTGTCAATGTTCACTAGCGGAAGATATATCAGTTACAATTTGAATAACAGCTTTAATCAACTAATCATTGTATAACAAACTGTTTCCAACAGGCTAAGCTATATCAAACAAAGGCATTGTTATGAAGCAGCTTGACTGTTTAATTTTAGCTCTAGACATTTATAACTTTTGTTGTGTTGAAATTTTGTTATTTAGGAATTGTTACTGAAGTTCATCTTTTCCCTAGGATTTAATTTCCAATATAACAATTGAGTCTGACGTGTGTATTTCAATTTAACCAGTAATGTTCCTATGTTTAACTGAATCTGGAGGATAATATCTCTAATGTGCTAGCGAGGGTGGTTCAATAAGTCTTTAGAAAAAGAAAGAATAACACAACAACTCTATGGGATAAATTTGATTGATTTTTTCACATAATATCCTTTCCTCAACACACTTGGGCTATCTAAATGTTTCTCCAACTTCCTTATGTTGTCCAAATTAGTTTGAACTGGAAAGGCTTTTGAAATACTCTTCTGTGATAGTCCAAAACGTTTATGAAATCAAATAAACGGTATCAGCATTCTGACACATACTTTCTCCCATAAGTTTGTCAACAACCTTTATCATGTCTAAGCGGTGAGAGTAAATATACGGAAATAGTATTAGTACAATTTTAATCAGAATTAAAAGGACTATAACATACTAAATTTTTATCAAAATTGTTCGGGCCAATTTGTGAAAATCCGATTTTTCCGTCATTTTACGGGCTTTTATGGGAAAACAACATAATTGACAATAACTTTTGAACCGTTATTTTTAAAGAAATGGGATTTGTACCATTTTGTTCAAAATATAAAGGACTATAACATACTAAATTTTTATCAAAATCGTTCAGGCCATTTTTGAGAAAATTCTATTTTTCCGGTTTTTATGGGAAAATCCCCATTAAAAATCAAAATTTCAAAAAAATGAAAAAACGCCTGGAGATACCATGGATTAGAACCTACATACCAAATTTCATCAAAATCGGACCACAGGTGTAGTCGCTAGCTCGTACACATCCAGACACACAGACATCACTTCGAAAACCACTTTTTTGGGTCCAGGTGGACCCAAAATGAATATATCCACTCAAAACTCAATCTCGAAAATTTTGACGAAAACAATACTTTCTCCATATACTATGGTATAGGGGGAGAAAGTAAAAAGTCACTCAGGGACTAAATCTGGCAAATACGGTGGATGAGGCCATTCTTTTTGCCATTGAAACCCTGCAGGTGTGCAATGTCTTGATGAAGGAGGATCTTTTTCTTTTTGAAATGGGGATGTTTTGCCTTAATTTCATTGCCCAACTGGCTTAATAATGAGAAATAGTACCTTCCAGTTATTGTTTGTCCATTTGCCAGGTAGTCAATGTAAACTATTCTACCGTAGCAACCACGCACGGGCAGGGTAGAAACTCAATGATCGATGCAGAAGAGAATTTAATACTTAATTATTTACGGTATGTTAAATGAACAAAATAATTTGTAATAAGTTACTAGCGATTGAAAATACAGACCATTTAGAAGAAACTACTTAAAATGAACATATTTGGGAAACGGACATGCCCACCAGCGAAGAAGGGAAAGATAGCGCATAATCGCGGCTCACCGACTCTTCAAACCCAACTCTGACTGACTGTCTACCAAGGTTCGGTGGTCCTACACGTCACACGGAATGATGACACCTCATGTCAGCAGAACAATCAGGCCACACATTCCATGCCACGATCCAAACATCTGAACGTGATGTAGCAATAGCAATCGATGTACTCAATAATACCATTGACTATATATACGTACTATAGGTATATATAGTCTATGTCAATACTTTGTGACACTCAACAAAACCCCAAATAAATTGCAAGACAATGCTGGCTAGCGGAGTTGCGACATGCTTCCACTGACCGATTGCCAATATTAACGTCAATAGCCAAAACTGGGCTTTGGGCTGGTATCCATAATCAAACTAAAAAAATACGGTCATTTTCTGAGAACACTGTACCTTGCGATACACCTGTAGCCTCAACTATTTCACACACTTTTATTCGGCTGTCGTTAGGGGTGTGCGATGCAGCATATTTTTTTCGATTCGATGCATCGATGCGATTCAAAGAATTTCGATTCGAATCGATTCGATTCGGTGCAGCACGGCATGATTTTCTTCAAAAATTAAATACAACATGTGTTTCTGTAATGGATCCTTTACCTTAAAAAAAGTTAAAGTAAAAAATGTACTAAATAAAATTATGAACAAGAGGATAGTTGCTGACCTAACCTCATTAATGGACACTGCTAATTTTATGGTTGGCCTAAGGAAATTCACCCTTCACTAACAATTAGAATAAGCCTATATATCAATAAAGCAATCGTTAAGTTTATTATTATTGACCTGTATTAAATAAAATGGAGTTTATTTTATGACGTACGGTAGTATTGTTACTTAGTTTTCACATTTATATTTGTTGGCTTTCAATACTTCTGGTTCATTCTTAAATCAGCACGAACCAAAAAAGTTGATTATCAATGTTTACTGTCTATTTTAGTGATGGTCGGATCTGGATATCGGACTACCGGATCCGCCGGATCTGAGCTAGAACCGACGCCCGATCGTATCCACAAAAAATCGGATCTTGGGCTGGATCCGGTTTTAATGGATCCAATTTTATTTATACTATTAACACAAAATGGACGAGTATTCGAGATTTTGAGTTTGAGTAAAGTACAATATAGAAATAAGCAAGAGGTAGTTGTCCTAACCTATTTTTATAGCTATCACGACAGAATAGGTCAACTCAAAGCAGTCGCCGGCGACTGACTGGCAATGGCAATGGTATACTGACTTGACACAGAATAGAATGACATGACCGGTAGTGATTTTGTTTTAAAGTAGGCCTACTGTTTCACAATAGAAAATTTCACTACTGAACTACGTAAGCAATAAATTTATGTTTATAAAAGTCAGAATAGAAACACTATAAAGGCAAAACAATAGACGGGAGGCAGGCGTTGTGCAATGACCTTGAAATGAGCGGAATAGTAACGCTGAGTAGGGGAAGGGAAGGGTGAGACCTTTGAGCTATATTTAGACTAGACTTTCACCACTTCCCAAATGGCTGGGTATGGGGATTACAATAGCAGGTTTTTTCCTTGCCTGGTTTGACTTTTGTCTTTTTGTGTAGGAGATTTGAATAATCAAAAATATAATTTGAATTGACCACAATTGTTTAGCATTGATGATACAATTTGCAAGGGACCAGGAGGAAATAGAACAAAACACTAAAATTAATAGAATAACAAACAAAGTAAACAACAAATTAAATACAGAACACGGTGATTTAACACTGTCACTGTCACTCAATTTTGTTGTCTAGAAGGGTCGGTGAACTAATCAATAAATAGCCAAAACCAGTTTCCTCCCCCTCTAACCACCACCCCTCCCCCCTAAGCCGGGAGGCCCAACACTTTGTCCTTGAAACACTCTAGCCTCTGAAACAATAAACCCTTACACCTGCTGCTGTTTTGACAACAGGTTTATGAATGCGTTCACTATTTTTCATTTTCCAGAATTAACTATCAATTATTATTATTTGCAAGTTACAAATAGGAAACTACATGACATTATGGTACCTATTCAATGACCCATGTATTATCAAAAATTTATAATTGATTACTTATTTTGATAATAAAAAGCATTCATTACAGCACGCAGCACTTATTGATATATATATATATATATTTAAATATATATATATACTGTATAATCATCAAAGTATCTGTTACTTTATACAAAATAAAATAGGTACACAATTGTGTGGCCAGTCAAAATTTATAAACAAACATTTTATTCTATAAAATACAGATGGTAAATAGGGGTTGGTTTAAAGGAAATAAAATACAAAACAGATTAATTAATTATTTTGATAAACGATAGAAAGGTTATGGAATTGATTGAACTAAAATAACCACAGGGAATCTTAAGTAGAAAAGTCGTCAACCACAATCTGTTTAATCAGTACATCGTTAGAGAGAGAGAGGGGGGAGAGAGAGATAGCAGATAGGGGCGTTTGATAGGGAATCTGAAAAAGTAAACAAACAAGGAACAACGACGCGACAATACTCGTTTATAACCTTATTGTCAAATCTAGGTCTTTGTAAGACAAAAGAAAATCACACCGTTTTAAACTTTAACCTAATTTTATACTCTTTACAAACAAACACGTCCTACATAACGGTTCTTGATATTTATCAATGTATCTTAGCAATCGTCACTTGCTCCATTGAAACACGAACGTCGATTGGCTGACATGACAGTGCAGCGTGGCCTCTCGACCAATGAGAACTCCTGTTACATACTTTGATTTATCTTAGATGGTCAACATTTACCATTCATTATAATATTACAAAATCGACATGGACTATGCGTATGGTGTTTTTCAATCAAAACTTATGTTATAGTAGCACTTAAAACTTCACTTAAACTCTTAAACTAGGTAGATAGTACAGATATAATATGGATCTACTTTTTGGTGCAATAGGCAAGTGCAAGCCTAACCCTCTGACTTCGATGTTGTAATTGAATCGAATTTTTCTAATGATGCGTAATGCAGGGATGAAACTGAACATTTAGACAAGTTTAGGTTATTTATTTTGTTCTAAAAATAAAAATAATACATTTAAAGATCTGACTTATTGATACAGACATTTTTTTGTATAATTTCGTGTTGAGGACACTCGCGCGCCGGTTGTCTGAGACTGAATTCTGACTGTCTGACATCTTGAAATGTAGATTGTATTGTGTTGTGCAATATCATCTGCCTGCAGTGCAGAGAGAACAGCTGAAAATAAACTTTAGCTGTTTTGAACTAAATAGTGTGCTAAGTTGGTTACTAAAGTTGTTAGCGTGATTACAAAACTAATAGATATCAAATAAATAAATGTTAAAATAAAATATCTATCCATCCCTGTCGGCTGTCGGTATCGGCGGAATCGGGCGAAATCGATGTTTGGCAATCGATTCTTGTTACCGATATTCCTAGTATCGGCAATGTCCGAGTATCGGTGGTAGCGATAATTGACACTTCCCTATCTAAAACTCATTTTGGAGTCCTGAATTAGTTTTAAATATGCATCGGGACGTAATCGTTGCATCGGGAGCTAACCGATGCATCGGTCTTTTTCGATGCATCGAGGCCAAATCGATGCATCGTGATTTCGATGCATGCTGAATCGAATCGCGATTCGATGCATCGAATCGAATCGAATCGAAATTTCGATGCATTTTCGATGCATCGCACACCCCTAGCTGTCGTTCAAAACCATATCGTGGATTTTGCCAATCATTTCAGGGTGGTCACTTCCACTAGTCATCCTAAACGGGGTTCATCTTGTGTCAATTTTTAAACTCATTCACTCAGTTGTAAACAGTTGCAATACAGGAGCAGATGTGCAATGACCTTGATCCAACTATGCTTTGATCTCCTTTGGTTTTAAAACCTTTCAAATGTAAATGTTTTACAACCGCTCGGAACTCACTTTTTTCCATTTTCCAAAATGCACAGAGGTTTGTTTACAAAATCATCAGTACAAATTAAAACAGCTGATGAATTTGACAGAAACTTTCAATGTTCTTAAACTGTCTAGTAAGTAGTGAAGTTGGCTGTAAACAAACTATTTTCAATACTTATGATGAGTGGTGTTTATATCTTTTTCTAAGGACTTGTTGAACCACCCTCATAAAAGTATTCAGCCTAATAATTAAACTTTACAAGCAATAAATGCATAAGCCGTCAACTGCAAATTTATTGCAGTGTCTAAGTTGTTTGTAATCAATTGAATGTTTGGAAATGGAAAAGAGCAGCAGCCGGTAATCCTTATCCATCTTGATAAGTAGCGTGTGTACCTAAAACATAACCTTATAGTGGTTGTTTAATTTGTGTGAAATAATTGCACCACTATATGAACAAATTTGATAACGTTTTATTTACATACAAATGAAGAAGTGTGCTAAATCATGACGTAAGTGAATCAAAACTAAACATTTTAATTTTAACAATCCAGCAACAGCTGTTACATAATAAATATTAAAATAAAGTAAAAATCAAAGGCATCACAGCTGTGCCACAGCCTCAATCAGCTTTCAACCTAAGTGTGACATTGTTTGAACTAGTCAAGAATATAAAACAGTGTTTTCAAGATGACTTGTTTAGAAGGAAATAAATTGTTAAAAGCGGCTTACTTTCAAAATTGCTTGGACAAGTATAGTTGGTAGTTTATTACCATCATCTGATGATTCAGGGTGTCTACCCGTCACTGAAAAGTCCCTGATTTTACTAGGAGGTCACCGATTTTCATTTTAAGATCCAAAAATTTACCTGACCGAAGAGTGAGCATAACAGCTAGCTAGGTATGTGATGTAAAATGATTAATCACTTAAAAGGATATATACATTTTCAAACTTATTATTTACATTCTTTATAAGTGACATTTTGTGTATGATTGATAATCAAACCACATCTAAAAAATATATCTGGTCTCTGCAGTTTCAAAATGTAAAACAAAATTGGAACAAAGAAACAACATGTGATATTATAATCAAGAAATATAATAGTAGTACAAATTAAAAATAACTCTAAATGGTAAAAAATAAACCTAGTTTTTCACGATATCCAACACTTTTGACTTTACACAGGTCCAGTACAATTGTTATCCATACTGGTTGAAATTTCAAAACATTTCTTGAGGTTGGACTTCTCACTCCTGGCCTAGTTGGAGGAAAATATTCCAGCCCTAGAAAGTAACGAATATAATTATTAATTACTAAGCAAATTTCGAAACTGATTTAATTAGTGAACAATATTTCATCAATTTGAGTAGACGGGTTCCCAAAAGTAATGGGAATTGGCTGAGGAGGATCTAACCCTCTAGTACACACGCGGCTAATAGTAACACCAGTACAAGCGCGAACTGGCATTCTGCGTTTTACTTCTTACTGGAAACGTTCTTTTATATACCTAATAAAGTTCATATAGCATCAAAATGCAGGTGTTTCAGTTAAGAGCCTGAGGTGTGAAAACATTCCCTTAATTCCTACATTCCCTTAATGTAGGAATCACAGTTCCGTATATGAAATCAGGTGATTGTAGAAGCCATGTTGAGCTAGAGGGGTCCACTTGTTAGTCTGGTACAAAGAATGTCAATCAATCATGAACCTAGTCTGTGTGTGTGAAGCTTAATGGTGCCAACACACACTTTCAATTGGTAAATTACCAGTTTAATTTTGCTGTAATATTTTAGTGAAACGGTTAAGAGCCGCTCTCATTCTTAAACCGGTAGTAGGGCATTAGGAAATAAAATATAAAGCCAATACTCGTTAATACCATTATAGTTCTGGAAGTTATGTGACTTATTAGAGAGTTAGGAGCTGACATTAAAATATTAACTGTTTGTCGTTTCATTTAGATTGCACTTAAAACAAATTATTTGCTTGTAAGTACAAGCAAGTTTAATTTATAATGATTTTCAAAACTTACCGGTACCCAAGTCTAAACTTAAATTTAAAAAACCTAATATATAGTCATGTAAGTTGCTTGGAAAAGCGTGTGGAACAGCATATTAAATTATTAAAAACTTAAACTAATACTAATATTAACTCTATTGATAATTTGGTAAAACAATTACCAGTTAGGGATCTCCAACATAGCTCTATTATCAACTCTCTGGTGAACTGTCGTCATCAGAGTCTAGCGTCGATTCTCCGCTGCTGGTGTCAGAATCACTACTTGTTGAACTGAAACATTTATTTGATTTGAATATTTTTACAATGGACATTGTGCAGTTTTTCAGTCTTTACTTTAGAGGGTTAAATAACAATGAAATGAAGATATATAAATTTATATTTCCAGTAGATACTTGAGGATTCCAATTTGTAACATGTACTATAATGCCGGGTAAATACTTGAAGTGTGCTTCTGCTAATAATTTAATTTCTCTCAAAAGGTTTATTTACAGTTAAACCAGAAAGATCTAGTGATCGAATACTATTGCTATAGTCCTCGCCACCCTAAGTTGAGGCAGCGAAAGGCCGCACTTAGATATACGCCGTGCGGCCTTGGGCTGCCTCAACTTAGGGTGGCGAGGACTATAAACCCTCTGACTACAACTTATGTAGGCCTACACATATTCAACTATGTGTACATCCTTTAGTTCCTGTAGTTCTCGTCCTTTAGTTTTGAAGCAATTGTAGTTTTACATTCTAGGCATTATCAACCATCAAACATTCTTCAAACAAACTAAAGGTTCAATGGTAACATGATGTGTAGGCCTATTTAAAGAGATAAACGGTCAGAAGTTCTAGCAAAATATTTTATTTTTCATTTCCAAGTCAAAGGCCCACGTACCTACTAGCACCAAGTCCATTAACAATAAGGTACGTTGTTCGTTTCTTAGGCGGGTTACACACCGGTATCGCGGATATGATGTCGCCGATATTTCTGATGTCGCGGACATGATGTCTGCGACATGTAATAAAATGCAACCATGGGAGAAGGGGGTTAAAAACTCACCTTTCCTCAGATTGTATTTGAATTTTATTCATTTTTTCAGTCAGGAATTCCTCTTCTTCTTGGACAAGCAAGGCTGCCTGTTCTAATTCCTCTAGATCAAATCCAATGTCATTTTTAGAAACAGTAATCTGAAAACCAAACCATTTTATTCCAACTTTTTTAATTTATTTAACGTGATATAATCATATTGGAAGTGATCAACGAAGCATATGACTGCAGTGGCCTATTAACAGAGCTTGATTTTTATAGAAGTACCGGAATTACAATATCTTTAGAACTATAACCCATCTTTCATTACTCTCTCATTCCCTCCTCATGCTTTTACAGTATATCCAAACAAAACACAATACTATAGCATTAGTTTATGAATCAAAATTTAACGAGTATAGGAGACGGGCCAGACTAAATTAAATTAATGAATAAAATAAAAATATTATTTATTGTCTTTTGAATTTTTACAAATTATAAAAAAAAATGTCAGGATACATCTAAAATTATAGCTCAGTCAGTTAACACGTTCGCTGCTGAAAACATTTACACAGGCGCTCCCTAAACTTTAACGGCGAGGCCCGGCCAGAGCCCCGGCGCACTACTGAATCAGCGATCGCTTTGGGCATTGAAATGTCTCAGTAAGGCGAATCACAAAAGAGCAGTGGTGATTGTTCTGTGTTACCCCAAAATTGGATGTAGTTCACTGAAACACCCAATGGTAGCAGCACTGCCTGGATCAATAGCCAGTGTCTTTGTAATATGGCTCGAATAGAAAAAATCCCCGAAACAGGGACAAAGCATTGCCAGACGGGATTTACAGGAATGTTTAGTACCAACCTACACCAAAATAAAGTTCGCATTCTAAGCTACAGCCTGGCAACAATCACAACGTTCCCGACCATGTCCTGGACTGACACAATGTTTGGTTTGGCAGAGGAGCACACTACTGATTTAGCAGTAGGCCGCGAGCAGCGCTAGTGCAGTGCTACTACTATAGCAGTAGGCCGCAGCGAACATGTTAATGAATACAATAATTGAATACTTATAGCTAACTAAAAAAGGGACATATTACAATAATTATTTTAAATATTACAACTGTAGAATCTTACTGTTAAAAAATTCCTCCAAACTATAAAATGGGTTTGTGGACAGCCAAATGATGACATCACTGCACACTGGCCACCTTGCCTCAAGAGACATGTTGTTTTCATTGTTCTTGTATACAATTCTTCCTCTACATAAAGGCCTGTCTACATGCTACGATATATATTGCAGCGATCTGATTGCACCAACAAATCGTTGCGATAAATTGGACATTGATGTTCGGTCCATATGCAATGATTTTTTGCCCCAACTTTCTTTGCAATTGTTGGTCTTTTCTCAGTTGTGATCAACATGGAAGATACACTGTTGTGGTTCCTGTATGTAATTTGTTTGACAAGAGTGATGAGAAAGGGACAACCCAAACCAAGAAGTAAGTGGGGTCGTTCTTGGCTTCTCAAAAGAGAAAAGTTTTCGCATATGAGATTACGGGGAGAGTTGAGAGATGAATCGAATTACTGGCAACTATTTGAGAATTACAAGACTGTCATATGTCACAAGGCTACATACCAGTTGAGGTTACTGGACGAGAGAACTAAAAAAAGGGCACAATTAAACTGGGTTCAGAGCAGATAATCGCAGCTATAAGTTGAAACGCTGTCTACACGTTCCAACGACGAAATCGTTGCCAATCATCACCAGAAAAAAAATCATAAACTGTCAAACCTCGATATATAACATCGACCTTCCGTCCACACGCTCCGATTATCGTAACGATATGGTTGGTACCGATCAGATCGCTGTAATATATCGTAGTGTGTACTGTAGTGTGTTTGACATGTGTCACACATTGGAGTGGCTGCCGCCAGATATGTAGACTAATCATCACTCAGTCCAGTCTTAACTAGGATAGAGTAGTAAACTTGTCAATGGAGGGGTCAAGATGTTTTACTCATCATCAGAGAAGAGGCTAGAATGTTATAATGGATTGACAACATGTTTCAACAACTGTATAAAATAGTTGATTAATTGAGAAGTACCTCCTCCAAAGCCTTGGTAAACTTTGCCAGTTTCGTCTCAGACGCTCGCTGAAGCCAGATGCAATAGTCATTGATGTACAGCTGGTTCAACAAATATCTCGGCTCGCTGGCTGCAAACATTGAATGAACTTCCACAAGGCACTTTAGCACCCTTCTACGGCCTAAAACAGTAATTAAAATGCTTATTGCTTGATAGCAAGAACAAACATTTGTATTCTAATTCCATATATTATGTACTGTGGCAATCAAGGTAATGTATTTGTAGGCTAGAGTAAATAGTTTCAATCTACTTCTAACATCTACATCTAACATCATCATTTAGGTATATTATTGTAAGTAATAGGTGTAAAATGGATTAAAAAAAAAAATATGTAAATTGCAAGGTTTAAAATTACGGTACTTAATTTCTCATGTTAGGAGCTTTGTGGAGTAAACCTCTAAAAATTGTGTAATTCAAACAGTTTTAGATCCTAATAACTATATAGTTCAGGTTCTCACTTCAAATAAATACCTTTATAAAAATACATAACAAAAAAAAAACAGCAACACCACAGGTCGGATTAAGGCTTTACAACAGTCTACCCACTAATTTCAAAGAAATTAACAGTATTTCAAAATTTAAAAATGATTTCAAACAATACCTTTTACAGAAATATGATTATAAGATTTCCGATTATTTAAATGATAAGTAAATGTATTTTAGTTTAAACTATGTGGATTTTAGTTTTATTATGTAGTAAGACCTCTGACAATATTACCTGTTTCACCACCTAACGCTGGATCTGTGAAATGTTTTGTGATAATAAAATAATATTTAATTTAATTTCATTTCATTTCACACGTAACACTACTCTCCGAGAATCTAGAAGCGTGGGTGGCGACACACGGGAGCAGGTTCCATACTACGGGACTCTTCAATTGGTGCTTAGAAAAAGGCACGTGAAGTACAGATACTCCCCCACCTTAGTTCACAACAGGTAGGATATGGTACTGACTGACATTGGTAGATTAGATATTGTACTATTCAAAAGACCTTAAGCCACATATGTAACCAATAAAGCATATTTGTAACCAAAAACAAGGCTTACCAAGTTTAAAAATGGATATTGTGTCCTTCAAAACCAATTTAGCCAGATCCCAGTTTCTGTAGAGAGGAAACGTAAGCGAACGACGGATGCAACTCACTGTAACACCATGAAGGCTTGAGAAATTCTGTTAAACAGAGAAAGCAAATCATTTACTAGTTCTAAGAAATGAAAAAATGATAAGAGGGGGGTTTCAAGTTAAAATGGGTTTTTTCAGTAGACTAGTGGTTAATGCAGGGCCTAAGGAAAGAGTACCAAAAGCACACATAAAAAATCTTTTTTTAACAGAGGGCCAGGCTTACGAGTTACCGTGGGATTGCACCACAGCTGGAACAGCTTATTGTGCACCACATCACAACATGATAAATACCATAGTTTAAAATAGGATTATGAAAATGGTTGTCCTTTATCAGGTAACCTCTAATTGTATTTTATTATTTATTTTTCTTGTTTTATTAGTTGTCAACATTCTGGACAGCCCTCTGATCTGTTGGAAAGTAGGAACATATTATCAAGATATACAAGTCTAGAAGTTAGAGGATATTAATTTTACTATGAGATAACCCTCAACTTTCTCAGTAGGCCCTATGAGTTGTTCACATTTGTAGGCCTTATTTACAAATTCCATGTACATACTCACAGCAAACCATGACAAAGTGGCACTTAGTTTATTAATGGTCCAAGCAGATTCAACATTATTTTCTCCGAGAGTCGTCCGATGGTTGTAGGCATAAGCAAACACAATGTCAACTAAAGACAGCCACACTCCAGTTTTGTCTTCTCTACTCAGTAGAAACTCTTTGTTGCCAAGTTTCTTTAAACAATCCTTTTCCTTGTGACTTAGTTTCACTGAAAATATACATGCGGAATGGATTAAGTATAGCCTAATGTGTCTACGTGCATGTAGAATCAGAACTACTTTAATGCTTCTGATCTCTACCTTAAACAATCTTGTGGCTCATTATGTTCAATATTGTTTAAAATTCTTACTATATGACAAACTATTTATTTGCATATCAAGTCTAGATAATCTCTCTGTTTGTGTGTAATTTGACAACCCTTCAAGTAACTTAGAATTTCTTTGTTGGCAAAAGACAACAGAAAATATTGGCCTAAGATACCTACCATTATCAAATAAGTTAGTCTTTTTGGATTTATAACTTACAACTCTTCTAAAAGAATTTGGGGAAGATTGGCAGCAGAGTTTGTTTTAGCTTGGATAAGAAAGGAGATTTAATTTAAGTTAATATATTTTAGTCTCAACACAACACTTACCAGTATCAGTTGTCTCGGTACACCAGGGTGGTGTATAACTCATGTATTCTTCTATTACTTCAGGTTCCATAAAGTCAGCTAGGTAGTGGTCTGGGCAAAACCTGTTACTTTCATCTTTAATTTTGAGTTCTTCTCTTTGTGAAGCAAGTATGCCATCTGGTTCTGGCAAGTCAATAATTTCTTTGAATTCTGACTACAAAACAAAATAGTCATGTTATTGTGGGATATAATTGTTTTCAGTAAGGTTGACTAATAATTGTTTAGCCACTTAACATTGTAGCTCCCCTAATAAATTTAATGTTAGGTTAGAAGCTATTTTATTCAGCCTATTTAAAATGACTGACATTGAAAACCCAATTAACCAAATGCTAGTTGTGGGCCTACCTATTAAAAAAGGACTTTAGAGCTGCATAACACTGATCTTAATTACTAACCTTAACCTGTTGAAAAACTCCAGAGGTTAAGTTTCCAAAACCATATTTCGAAGAGTTTTGCAGTAAAGTTACTTGTTCATTTTGGGGAAGTATTTGATCAAACAACCATTCATCCTCATCTTCATCCTCTTCTTCGGCTTCGTTGTCACCAGTATTTTCTGAGGATAGGCCTAAAATATTTAAGAAGATACACATTACTATAGGTTGCCTACGGTAACAGGCAGATATGGTTTGTGCTACTAGTAGGCAGAAAAAAAAAGAATGACATCGCCACGATAGCTGAATTTTCAAAATCATCATAAGCCACTAGGATGAAGTTGGTTAAAATATGAGGACATACAAGAACCCATAGCAATGTTAAAAGAATTGTGCACAATGAATTTTGAGAAACGTAGTTTAGTTAAAACAAATTTTTCTGCGACATATCAATAACATTTTTTTCTTCTTGTATATTTTACCTGAAACAACCTCAATTGTTGGTTTGATGTTTTGTTGGGTCCGTTTGGGCGCCAAAAGAGTACCCAACAAATCTAAGTCGGGAAACACTTCTCCTGCTTGTACCTTTTTAAGTTGCACCTCAAACTCCCCTTTGTCCGAATCGAAACTTGCAGGCGGTTCATCATTGTCTACTATTGCACATGGAAAATGTAGTCTGAAAAGAATAATATCTTATTGTTGAGTCTTATAAGGTAGGCCTAGATGATTGCTGAAGTTGCTCCATATGTTTACAATAACTCACTGTAATTGATAACATCAACACTTTAAACTGCAAAGATTAAATCAGCGATTTAATTTTCCCTATTTTTATTATGTTTAAAACCTCATTTAATAGACATTCTCCTACAGAAAGGTTAGGTCCTCATGAGTTGCATACTACACCTGACTGTGGCAGGATTTTAATACCCAATCAATATTGGAGACTCCTGGCTTGTGAAACAACACCTTACGCTGCTTGTTCAATCATCAACACCGATCAAGGGAAAGGTATAGTTTTCAGCCAATTTCATTGAGTTATACGCCCTACTTGCAAAGATAGTTTTTCAGAGAAGATTTTTAAGTGTTACTCTTACTTGTCTGATATCGGCATTTGAGTCTCAAAAAGATTATAACATGTGCATAGCCTATAATACTGTGGTTAAATTATTGTTTTTAACCCTCCAAGTGTATCTAGTTTTGGTCTTAATGTTCGCCCATTTATTGCGCAATCGCAGGGTTTTATTAAAATGTATCTTAGAAACTTAAAAACAATGTAAAGTAGGCTATACTGTTTTATATATCATTTTGTTTGGAAAATTATGGGCTTCGATGTAACATATAAAACATTACAAAAAAATGTTCAACAATTTTTGTGGGGTTAACATTTCTCAAAAATTATAAAATAAATGAAAAAATATATGTTTGCGCTCAATAAATTGTTATAATTTATAGGTCTACAAATATTTTAAAATAGCCACTTTGTTCAGAATTTTATGAGGATTCCAAAAATATAATAATATAAGGAAGTAGATTTGCAAATAAATAAGTTATGGGCAAAAAACAGATTTCGGTACATAGCGTTTAGCTAAGAATGCATAAGTAGCCTAACCATAGCTAGGAATCTGGCTGATAATTTACATCAATATCACTACCTACTTCTTCAGGATCATCAACCAGCCCTTCAAAATCACTTAAATCTTCTTATAATGCACCACGTATATCACTACTTTTGATATTTAACACTAAAACAATGATAAACGTAATAAAACACATCAGTCATCAGTGCGAGGTTAACCGAGCTGTTTACAAATACGCACGTCAGCTGTCTGCTACAATTATGATCGGCTTGAGAAAAAAAGTGCTTTGAGACAGACCTCGGGAGAAAGCTTAGAATCTGCCAAATAAAATGATACCTAAGTTAGTTGAACTCGATCCAGTTCAATCCGATTTTGTCAGTCATAGAGCCTTCGCCGTAAACAGTGTTTGTGAGTCGAAAAATCGACACATAACACTACACAAAGTGTGTTATGTGTCGATTTTACGACACATAACACTGGGAGGGTTATTAGATTGAATGCTCATAATGTAAGCAAGAATTTATTCCTTTATTTCTAGCTTAAGCAATTCAAATTGGATTCATTTCTTTCAAATAGGTTATTATTAAGCTCAAATTTTGTATCATAAACAGTGTTTTTAAGAGAAAAAAAGATAGGGCTATTAACTTATTAATTACAAAAACCTCAACAAACTTACCTCAAAAAATATGGTGATGAATAGAACCAGAACACAGATTCTAGGACATTAATTTCAACTTCTTTCAGCTGTGTGTATGGAGCATGAATTTTGATGAAGAGGTGTTCGTCATTTTGAGTAATGTTAAATGAAGGAGTCAGCATGTTTTATTCTGAAAGTATGTTACATCCTGTGGTTAACTTATTTAAATAAAATATTAAGTTATTACATAAAATATTCATTTAACTTTTATGGGTAAATCTTTCGTTCGTTTGTGGTAGCCTAAAGAGTATACTGACAGCAGCTATTTCAGCAGATAAAGAACACTAGCATTGACTATATATACCTACAGGTAGGTATATACTATACTGTAGGTATATATAGTCAATGACACTAGCTAACTTACTAAAATGTTTGGATTATGTTTTGAGCTAAGCCTCAGTTTTAGACAGAATTACATTCTAGATTTGATTACAGGATTACATGTAGGCCGGTTGCACTTTAGTTTACGTCCTACATATTATACATTAACTACCAGCTGATTATAAAATGAAACTGTTCTAAACTAAACCTAACCTTAACCAAACTGCAGTATGTGAGTAAATGTAGGACGTAAACTAAAGAGCAGCCGGTAGGCCTAGTCGCTGTAATACATTACCTAGTGCATTTTTTTATAGCCTGTATCAAACAGGTATCTTTGGACCCTACACATAACACGACTAAGTTAGCCTATGCTATAAAAGGATCATAAATTATATTATTGGCCATAACATAATGTATTTGGAAAGACTCTATTTGTGCCTAACTTACAAGTCACTTAGGTATTTTAAGTTATTATTATCCTTGACCTCTGCTGATTAGGGCCTAGGCCAATGATAAAAATAAACTTGTTGCTCTGTTGTTCTTTTTTGGGGAATCTTTTGTACATAGGCCTAACCTAAATAGGTTTGAGTAGGCTTAACTAGGCTACTATACTATATCTACCAGTAGGCCTATTATTTTGTGGACTTAACCTAAAAATATTGATTTCCTACCGTAGATTTCATTGATAAAATATCCTACCTTAGAATCCAAGAGGGAATTGAAAACTAGGTTATGTCATACTAGACTCGGCCTATGCCGATATCACGGAAAATGTAGGTATTGTTTAAATTCAACAATTTAATGCGCTTAAATTAAGTTACTATATAGTAAAGACACTAGTTACTATAAGTTTAAAATGACCATCTTTATCTCTAGACCCGGGGGAATGAGCCAAAATGAGCACGAGCACGTTGTTCGTTGTTTGTTGTTGACTTGTTTTGTTTTTGACACTTTGTTTGACAAATTGACAGTCTGTTTTTTTTTACACTTTTTCACATGTTGTTGTTTGTTGATGTTTTTTTTCTTCTTAAAGTTAAGTTTTCATTACATTTAGCAGGGTAGGCTAGCTAAGAAGCTTAACCATGCAGTTGATAAGTCAATTAAAATATTTTACATTAAGTTTGTGATATGATCTGTAATATTATTACAAAGATTGGTGTTATAATTACTGTAAACGCATCTGTATGATTTTGTAGACTGTAGTCAATGGTGATACTTAAGATTTGTACTTTTGATTCAACTTGAAGGTTTTATTAAAATCACGTGAAACTTTGATAGTAATCGTGATCCCTGATCAAATATTAAAAATAATCATGGCTGCCCTAACATTAATTTAATTAATTTGCCGGTTTTTTATTTGAATTCCAAAAGGACAAACTCCTGAGGGTAGAATTTTTGTTATCTTCAAACTGCTCCTCTGTGGTTTTCTTCGGCGAAATGCACTGTCATCCCGCAACCCTAAAAAGGAAAAGGGACCACCTGCCATGAGGGACTCATACTCCGTGAAAGTTACTTATGCGCGTTTTGAATATACCTCACAGACGTAGAAATTATTGTTCTCCTTGTTTATGAGTGATTTTAATCAATGATAAGAAGTACAAATTAATTAATGATTGTTATTTGAAAAGCCCAAGTAGCAGACGTTTCATAACACTTGATGGTAACTCCCTACATAACTATGTTTGAGTTTCAGTTTTGATTGGATACATCAGTTTTGGGTCCCTTTGAGCCCCAACAAGTGGTTTTCGAAGTGATATCTGTGTGTTTGTGTCTGTATGTGTGGATGTGAACAGATCTACAGACCACACCTGTAGTCCTATTTTGATTAAATTTGGTATGTAGATACTAATCCATGGTATCTCCAGACATTTTTTAATTTTTTCAAAATTTTGTTTTTTAATGTTGATTTTTCCTTTCAAAACCATAAAATAACAATTTTTTTTTAACCAGTCTCGATTAAAATTACTACGTTATGGTCCTTTAAATTTTTGAATAAAATTGTACAAATCCCATTTCCGTAAAAATTACGGTTCAAAAGTTATTGTAACTTATGTTATTTTCCCATTTAAAAGACCCATAAAGATGTGATAAAGATGGGTGTTGGATTAGGAAAAAAGCCGGTTTTAACTGTAATTCTAAACAATTGTGCAATTACCATTGCTGTAAAAAAACACGGTTGACGGTTCAAACGTTATTTCAACTTTTGTGATAAAATATCATAGCTACTCCCACCGCTTACCCATGAAAAAGGTTGTTTACTAGCTTATGGGAGGAAGTACGTATCAGATTGCTGATACCGTTAATTATGATTGTTTTAGAACGAAATTTAATTTTAAAATGTTTTTATTCTTCAATTTTACAGTGGCCAATAATTCACCCAATTCCTTGACAAATAAATATCTGGTGAAAGAAAATTAATCATTCTGAACCTTTGCAACAGGAACAATGACTGTTGGCGAGCACATTATTTTGTTTCATACAAATCCTAATCTTGGTATCATGTACAAGTATTAGTATCCTCTTCACCGGAAGGAAGTGTGCTTAACATATGTTGAGGTCGAATGACGGATTATCCTCAGCAGGGTGACCGGAAGCAAGATTACCAAGCGGAACCTCAGGGTTGCCATCTTGATAAACCGGATGGATTTTCTCTACGTCGATAAGGATAATGAATTAATACCAAACTTCCTGAAAACAAAACCACCAGATAGTGTTCACATAAAGGCGAGAGGACCCCCGGTTTTTAAATTGAATCATCCTTCTTATTATTCTAATGAAACAAAAATTGAATGCATCCTTACATGTTCATTACTGATGGAATGTTATGAAAAATAAAATAAATATTCTAAGGGGGGTCTCTTTATTGTACAGTGAACTGAACCACCTTACACTGGACTAATTAGGGTTCCAAGTCGAACGGATCATATTATTATGGAAAGGCAGCGACCATATTCAGAGACGATTTGGGCTCCAGTTTGTAAGACGCTTGAATAATGTATTTTAAAATTGAAAAATAAATAGTAGGCCTACAGAGCTACATTACTTATGCTCCAACACAATGCCTTGCATTAGCAATTGCGCATTCCTAGCTTTAATCATATGAGATTGTATGACTTCTGTCATATTTTTGGATTTTTTTATCAAGCAAAGTCCGTACCAATAACTAATGAGGTGTTAAATTAAAAAAAAAATCGAGTAACTGATGCCATGCACACAGTATTAAGATGTAGTGAAAATTGTGATATTCGTTTCAACAGGTTGGGTTACTGCGTAATGTTGCGTTTTCGCTGCTGTACATATATAATCAAGATGTATAACCAGTTGTTTGTAATTAAAAATTTCCTTTTGCCGTGTTGACAATTTTTGATTTCAAGGAACTGAGTTTTTATGGAGGAACACCGCAAGTAAAATATTTATGCATCATAATATGAGTTCTAAAATATTAGAATGTATATTAGAAAAATCTATATAATTAATACGCTACATGAAACTTTGTCGGTTGAACTCCTCCGCCATTACTTAACCGATTTTATCCGTTGACGTCTCATTGGAAAGAGCGGGTTGCGTAGATTTGCAAACTGGCCTTACATTTTTGAAAAAGTCCCTTGGGTTCTGCCCCAGTGGCTTTGAAAGTTCCCATGTTATCCTTATGAAGAACATAATTGTTTACATTTTGATCAGCTGTATAATTTAATTGCTGTTATTTGTTTTTCAATTCAATGTAACGCATTGAGTACATTTGTTTACAATTTGAGTTTGTGTAAACGTAACCCCCAAGATGGATCGTGTTAGTATGGTTTTATCTTAAATTTGTGTATTTATGGTTGTTTTGTGTACCTATGATTTGTTTATTTGTTGTTTTTTTTCTTTTAAATGCCTCGGACACGACGAAAACGAAACATAGACAGGAGGCGTAATCGTGATAACGACCGCAGCTACAAATCAGTGGCGCGTAATAGCACAGAAAACATACCATAGTAGTATGTTTTCTGTGGTAATAGGCTTAACTCATCACAGTCAGCACCTGACCCTGGACAATCTCAACTATTAGGTTACAAATGCGCCCTAACACTACCCCAAAAAGACTTTTCGTTCTCAATTGGCCCTCTATCAATGACCTGTGTTGCCTGTACAGCGAGGCATTTTGAGAAGGAGAAAACCGGCTGGAATGCTTTAGGTTTATCAATAACGAAGATAAACATGGTCTGAGTTACACACCGGTAATCTTTGAGTTGACTCTTTTAAACTCATTGTAATTATGGCTGTTATTCCTGTTTTAAAACTCCTGTAATACATTGCAATTGCTCGAATTCGAGCAACATGTACGCTAGTTTGTATTATTTCAATACTAAATACAACTGTACAATTCAGCAATATTACAGTGCACGAAAACAATAAGCACCATGTACAACCTGATTTGGTGGAACGTAAAAGGTTAAGGTAAAAATGCGACGTAACATCTCGTTGACCATTTTATGATATTTATTACCAAATTTAAATGTAATGACCATTTTATAACTGGGTATTTATAAGGGTCAGTTAACTAGGTTATTTATTCGACACATGGGAAGCATTACATAAGTTCACCATTTTATAGATTTTATAAAAAACCTTTAAATGTGTATTAATCGTATGGATATTACTTACCTACAATGAAAAGTGTACATTAAGGTAAATTTAACACAAATCAAAATCCGAAAGAAACTAGATTGCATCGTAATAAATAACCTTTACTTACCAAAGATACTTAGCCTACCTCTGGCTTGTTAATTTATGAAGAGTACCTAGGGGCCGAGCCATGGCTCGGTGTAGTTTAAAACGAGTGTAAAAGCGATATAAAGGAAACTCACGTTTTATTTACAACTAATTTTGGCTTTTATTATTTAAGTTTCAGTGGAATTTCATTTATGATTGAAATTTTAACCTGGCAATCCTCACACATTTTATTTTACAGTCAATGAAAAGTCGCTCGTTTATACTTGCATAAACATTGTTTTGACATTTTGTTTGAAATTAAAACAGCTGATTACTTTGGGGATTAAGTTTTGGTAAGAGAGAGCCAAGTTAAATAATCAGTATTTAATCGGAACTTGGAACTATTTTCACTATATCGCGTTTTCTGCAGTGTAATCTTTGTTCAATAGTAACAAGTGATGTTTTTCCTTTTGTACTGTTTTCTGTTATTTGCTAGTATACTGTGGGCGGATGGCTTATTTTGAACACATGTTACAACTTACGTCTTTTGTTTACTTTTTCCTTGTTATTTTGTTTAACCAACATGGTTACTTAGCAACCCATAAGGCCAATGTTAAAAAGTTTTGACTTTCAATTTCATTTTTTTACTTAATTAGATTTTTGTAGGCAGTTTTAACTGCATTAAACACGTTTTTAAGCCAGAAATTAATTATTTACAACAAATTTAAGGAAATCGTCGAAGCCGTTTTCGAGACCTTTGTGCAAGCAAGCAAGCATACATACAAGCAAACGTTGCTCATATAAGAGTATAAAATAATAATAATAAATTTAATAAAATGGTTGAACCCAAATAAACACAATCTCCCATATCAATGAATTTAAAAATCACAATCAGAAATATTTTCCAACAATGATTCCAACTGCTTATTAAAACCCTGAGCCATTATTACGGTTCATTTGTTTCAAACATTACCAAACATTTACCAACAGGTTGCTACCCTTTTACCATTTGATTTCTGGCACCCCAAGATTATAGAGGTCGTCGTCCCATTTGTTTGGCCAGCAGAGCATTGTCCAAGCTAAGCAAGACCACACAAGACACTCGACCGCAGATTTTGACCGTTTTACAACGTGTTATTTACAAGCCTATGTCGTCGACCTCACCAATGTTTAGATGTCAAAATTCACGCCCCAAGTGTCACAT